AGCTCTCTGCTGTGGCCTGGGAAGGCAGTGGAGGATGGCCCAAGTGCTTGGGCCCTGCACCCGCATGGGACACCAGGAGGAAGCACCTGGCTCCTGGCTTCGGATTGGCGCAGCACCAGCTATTGTGGCCATTTGGGGGGTGAACCATCAGATGGAAGACCTTTCTTTCTGTCTGTCTCACTATCACTCACTCTACCTGTCAAATAAATAAAAAAAAAGACCCCACTTGGGTTGCTTGCTTCCTGATCAGAGTTCCTGGGCTCATTCCAGCTCCCTTTCCCAGCCCAGCCTCCTTCTACTGTGCATCCTGGGAGGCAGCATGGCATGGCCAAAGTAGATGGGCCCTGCTATCCTTGTGGGATACCCAGGTTGAGTTTGGGCTATGGCTTTTGCCTGGCCCAGTCCTGGGTGTTGTGGGCCTTTGGGGAGTGAATCAGCAGACAGGAGAGCTCTGTCTGTCTGTCTCTGCCATTCAACCTAAATAAATGAGTCAGTCAATTTTAAGAATAAAAAATGCACGGAGCTTATAAAAGCAATTCAAGTGCATAAGTCTTTCTAAATTCTACTAGAAATATTTTCCTTTTTTCAGGAGCAACAGACTTGAGAACAAATATAACTAGTTCTTATAGGCATGTAGTCACCTGGTGAGAGCAAACATTAGAGAACCCATTAATCAAAAGGCTTTAGAGTGCAGTGGGCAGCAAGTCAGTTGTCTATGCTTAAAAGAGCACTACTGTGCATGTTCACTGTGGGAAACTTAAAAAATACAATAAACAGGACTTTCTATATAGGATTACTAGTAAGTTTTTGGTCCATTTTCTTTACTTACATGAAATGCAGTCATATGTTGCTTCATGTTGGGGATATGTTCTGAGAAATGCATCATTTGGTGATTTTATCATTGTGCAAACATTATAGAGTGTAGTTACACAAACTATATGGCTACTACATCACTAGGTGATAGAAATGGGACCACTATTGTAAATGTGTTCCATTGTTGACTGAGACACCATCCTGTGGGGCATGACTATGTATGTTCTGCATTCAAAGACTCAACCCGCCTAAGAGTTGTGTCTGTAGCGACCATGTGCAGACTTTTTTTCTTGTCATTATTCCTTAAGCAATACAGTTGAACACTATTTACATACCATTTGCATTGCATAGGTATTATAAGTAATCTAGAAATGATTTAAAGTATGTAAGAGTTTATGTGTAGTTTATATACAAATGCTTGAGCATTCATGGATTTTAGTGTTTGCAGAGGGACTGGGAGGACGATCCTAGAACAAGTCACCTGTAGATATCCAAGGATGACTCCATGAGCTTGTATACATACATGAAGTATGCACACAGACACAATTATGCTATATGCACTATATCATGAAATACATATTTTGTACTACCTATCTCTACACACATACTAAAAGAAGGCTCATGCTGTATAGACAAGGGTATTTCAAAAGTTCATGGAAAAAGGAATTAATGTACATTTTCCATGGACTTTTTGTAGAGCCCTCTTACTGTCTTATAGTCTATTAATTCTTGACACTTTGTCGTTAGATATCCTTTTCCAACATTATTTTCCTTTTTTTAAAATAAAGCTTTATTTATTTGAAGAGCAGAGTTAGAGAGGAAGGGAGAGACAGAAAGAGATCTTCCGTCTGCTGGCTCACTCCCCAAATGGCTACAACAACCATGGGCCAGGCTGAAGCCAGGAGCCTGGAACTCCATCTGAGTCTCCCAGATGGTTGGCAGGGGCCCAAGTACTTGCACCATCTTCCACTGTTTTCCCAGGCACATTAGAAGGGAGCTGGATCAGAAGTGGAACAGCCCAGACTCAAATTGGTGCCTTTATGGGATACTGACATCAAAGGTGATGATTTAACACATTGTGCCACAATGCCAGCCCCACATTTATTATTAATTTTTTAAAAATTAGTTATTTACGGGGGTGGCTCCGTGGCTCAGTAGGCTAATCCTCCACTTGTGGTGCTGGCATCCCATATGGGTGCTGGTTCTAGTCCTGGTTGCCCCTCTTCCAATCCAGCTCTCTGCTATGGCCTGGGAAAGAAGTGGAAGATGGCCCAAATGCTTGGACCCTGTACCCACATGGGAAACCGGGAAGAAACTCCTAGATCCTGGCCTCAGATCAGTGCAGCTCCAGCCATTGCGGCCATCTGGGGAGTGAACCAACAGACGGAAGACCTTTCTCTCTGTCTCTCCCTCTCACTCTCTGTAACTCTACCTCTCAAATAAATAAATAAAATCTTTTAAAAAGGCCGGCGCCGTGGCTCAATAGGCTAATCCTCCACCTAGTGGCGCTGGTCAGACCAGGTTCTAGTCCCGGTTGGGGCTCCGGATTCTGTCCCGGTTGCCCCTCTTCCAGGCCAGCTCTCTGCTGTGGCCTGGGAGTGCAGTGGAGGATGGCCCAAGTGCTTGGGCCCTGCACCCCATGGGAGACGAGGAGAAGCACCTGGCTCCTGCCTTCGGAACAGCGCGGCCATTGGAGGGTGAACCAACCGCAAAAGGAAGACCTTTCTCTCTGTCTCTCTCTCTCATTATCCACTCTGCCTGTCAAAAAAAAAAAATCTTTTAAAAAATTAGTTATTTACTTTATTTGGGAGAGAGAGATTTCCCATCCTCTGGTTCACTCCCCCAAAATGTCCACAACAGCCAGGACTGGGACATGTGGAAGCCAGGAGCCAGGACTTCAATCCAAGTTTCCCACATGGGTGGCAGGCACCTGGATACTTGAGCTATCATCTGCCACCTCAGAGTGTGTATTAACAGGAAGCTGGAATAGGAAGTGGAGCCAGGATTCAAACCCAGGCAGTTCAATATGGGATGTGGGTATCCCAAGGAGTGGCTTAATCCCTGCACCAGATACCTGCCCTTAAAATTTTTTTTTAACTTTTTTATTTACTTGAAAGGCAGAGAGAGAGAAGGGAAGGGATGGCAAGGGAATGGAAGGGGAGGGTCGGGGAGAGGAGAGGAGAGTTCCCATCTACTGGTTTACTACCTAAATGCCTGCAACCACAGGAACTGGGCTGGGACCAAAGTCAAGTGCTTGAAACTCAATCTAGGGGGTCAGTGGTGTGGCTCAGTGGGTTAAAGCGTCCCATATGGGCGCCAGTTAGAGTCTCGGTTGCTCCACTTCCAATCCAGCTCTCTGTTGTGGCCTGGGAAAGCAGTGGAAGATGGCCCAAGTCCTTGGGCCCCTGCACCTGTGTGGAAGACACAGTTGGAGCTCCTGGCTCCTGGCTTCAGTCTGGTTCAGCCGTGGCTGTTGCAGCAATCTGGGGAGTGAACCAGTGGATAGAGGACCTCTCTCTCTTTGGCTCTACCTTTCTAACTCTTTCAAATAAATAAAATAAATCTTAAAAAAAAAAAAAAAGAAAAGAGAATCTAGGTCTCCCATGTGGTAGGTAGAAGGAACACAATTACTTGATTCATCACTATTGCCTTGCAAATTTTCTGTTAGTGGAAAGTTGGAGTCAAGAGCCAGAATTTGGGACTCAGGCATCTTCTTTTTTTTTTTTTTTTTTTGACAGGCAGAGTGGACAGTGAGAGAGAGAGAGACAGAGAGAAAGGTCTTCCTTTGCCGTTGGTTCACCCTCCAATGGCCGCCGCGGCCAGAGCGCTGCGGCCGGCGCACCGCGCTGATCCGATGGCAGGAGCCAGGAGCCAGGTGCTTTTCCTGGTCTCCCATGGGGTGCAGGGCCCAAGCACCTGGGCCATCCTCCACTGCACTCCCAGGCCACAGCAGAGAGCTGGCCTGGAAGAGGGGCAACCGGGACAGAATCCGGCGCCCCAACCGGGACTAGAACCCGGTGTGCCGGCGCCGCTAGGCGGAGGATTAGCCTAGTGAGCCGCGGCGCCGGCCGGGACTCAGGCATCTTAATTGTTATGCTAAATGCCCTTCCCCAGCCCAACCCTCCTCCCTATGCCTTAGCAATCCATATATCTAACTTCTTAAAACCGGTTAGTTTACTGGGATGATTTGATTAATTTATTAGACACAAGATGGACCCACCTAACTCCTTTTTTTTGTTTGTTTTTTTGACAGGCAGAGTGGACAGTGAGAGAGAGAGAGAGAGAGAGAAAGGTCTTCCTTTTCCGTTGGTTCACCCCCCAATGGCCACTGCGGCTGGTGCACTACGGCTGGCGCACCCGCACTGATCCGAAGGCAGGAGCCAGGTACTTCTCCTGGTTTCCCATGCGGGTGCAGGGCCCAAGGACTTGGGCCATCCTCCACTGCACTCCTGGGCCATAGCAGAGAGCTGGACTGGAAGAGGAGCAACCGGGACAGAATCCGGAGCCCCAACCGGGACTAGAACCCGGGGTGCCTGCGCCGCAGGCAGAGGATTAGCCTATTGAGCTAAGGTGGCGCTGGCAACTCCTTTGTTGATACATATACATCCAAGACATTCAATTCTTCACTTTTCTTTTCTCACTAAGCCTGTGACAAGTAAAGAAGTACACTTTGGCAGAAGGTAGAATACCAGTACTCACTCAGGAGTATATGTGACTCTAATCCTTCCATGGCAATACTTGTTCACAAAAGGGATAGTAGGGGCTGGCATTGTGTAGTGGGTAAAGCCACTGCTTGTGATGCCAGCATCCCATATGGGCACCAGCTCATGTCCCGGCTTCTCCACTTCTGATCCTGCTAATGTCCTAGGAAAAGCAGTGGAAGATGACCCAAGTGCTTTTGCCCTGCCACCCACTTGGGAGGCCTGAATGAAGCTCCTGGCTCCTGGCTTCAGTTTAGCTCAGCTCTAGCTGTTGCAGCCATTTGGGGAGTGAACCAGCAGATGGAAGATCTCGCTGTCTCTCACTCTCCTTCTCTCTCTCTGTTCCTTTGCCTTTCAAACAACAACAAAAAATCTTTTAAAAAAAATTGTATATATCCAAGGCCTCAACGGCTTCTTTGCAAAGCTGAATCTTGTACAAGGTGGGCATTTCCTAAACTGTTTATGTTGTCTTTCTCCACCATGCAGTTGATCATGGGCTTGCCAGGTTGGTGACAGTTTATTGCGAGCATGGTCATAAAGCTGCCAAAATCAACCCCCTCTTCAGTGGACAAGCGCTGCCGGATGACGTGCCTGAAATCCAAGCCCTGGTGCACACACTGCAGGGACCCTTCAACACCACAGGTAGGGGAGTCTGAGCTGCTGGGGTGAGCACAGACAACTGCCTGTCCCAGGAGGGTGCCTTTCTCTCTTCCTGAAGAAGTGACGTGGTGCCAAGGCTTCTGCAGGGTGTGGGAAGACAGGGAGGGCTGTGTTCAGCCGCTCCGGAGGAGTGAGGTTGAGGCTGTAGGATGGCCTTCGGCAAGGGCCTGCTTCCCCTACTTTCAAAAGCATGTTGGACTCCTGGTGAGTGCCAGACACTTGGTGCATATTATGTGAATTCTTCCTCACAGCTACTGAGAGCAGTTATTGTCCTGTGTATTTTACAGATGGAGAAGTAGAGACTCAGAGAATTAATTAACGGCAGCAGACAACCCAAGTCTGCTGTCAGGCTTTCATTTTTTAAGAATTATTTATTGGAAAGGCAGAGGAGCAGAGTGCAATGGTGAGACAGAGAGAAAGAGAGAGCGAGAGAGAGAGAGAGAGCGAGCGAGCATGAGCACAATGGCCTGGATTGGGCCTGGCCAAAACCAGGAGCCAGGAGCTCCATTAAGATCTTTTCTATGTGGGTGGCAGAGGTCCAAGCACTTGGAACATCTTCTGCTGCCTTTCTAGGCTCATGAACAGGGAGTTGGATAGGAAGTGGAGCAGCAGAGACCCAGCACAACTGCTGCACCACAATGCTGGCCATAGGTATGCTTCTGTTCTAAAGCCTGCCCTCCCTTAATCTGTTTTCTTCCCCAATCTGGGAACTGAAAAACAAACAAACAAACAAACTTGGCACCCCGTAAACTTTCAGTGTAGTATGCCTGCATCCCATATCAGAGTGCCTGTGTTTGAATTTTCTTTGCTCTCAATTCCAGCTTCCTGCTAATGTGCATCCTTAGGGGGCAACATGTAATGGCCCAAGTACTTGGGTCCTTGCCACCCACAGGAGAAACAGATTGAGGTCTGGTCTCCTGTCCTCAGCCTGGCTCCATGTTAGCAGTTGTAGGTACATGGGAAATGAGCTAGCAGGTGGAGGATCTTTGTCTGTTTGTCTCTCTCTTTCAAATAAAATGAAAAAAATAAAATAAAATAAAATAAAATAAAATAAAATAAAATAAAGAAAAGAAACCAGCTTTGGCCTTGACTGCCGGTCATGATCTTGGGATCCTACATTATGCTGTACTTTTTTTCTTTTCTTTTCTTTATTTTTTAAACATTTATTTTTCTACTTTGAACATCAGAGTTACAGAGAGAGAGAGAGAGAGAGAGAGATCTTCCATCTACTGATTCATCCCCAAGATGGCTGCAATGGCCAGCAGTGAGCCAGGCCAAAGCCAGGAGCCAGGAGCTTCATCTGAGTCTCCCATGTGGGTGGCAAGGTACCAAACACTTGGGCCATCCTCTGCAGCTTCTCCCAGGCCACCAGCAGGGAACTGGATTGGAAGTAGAACAGCTGGGACTCGAACTGGTGCCCATATGGGATGCCACCACTGCAGGTCATGGCTTAACCTGCTGCCCAATGATGCCATCCCCTCATGTTATGCTTTAATGCAGGCAGCCATCAATCTAGTTCCAGAATGTTTCCACCACCCCAAAGGAAACACCATAGCTCGCCATCCTGCATCTCCCTACTGCCTGGCAGCTGATAATCTAGTTTCTGTGATGGTGGAATTACCTATTGTGGACATTACATATAAATCACATGTGGCCTTTTGTGTCTGGCTCCTTTCATCTCACATAATGTTTTCAAGGGTAATCCATGAAATCAATACTTCATTCCTTTATGTGGCTTAATAATATTCAGTTGAATGGCCATACCATATTTTGTTCATTCATCCATTGGTGGACATTCAGATTGTTTTTTCCTCACTACATCTTCATGACTAACCTCTGAGTGACCTTGAATGTGCCTACTGTCTAGATTAAAAAGTGAGGCACAGAGAACTTACGCAATATACAGAACAATTTTTATAAGTTGCCTGTTAACCAATATCAAACATCTAAATCATATTGTGAGAAACTACAAGTAACATAAGTAAATATTGGTTGGTTAAACTTGTGTTGCAGGTTTGCTGTGTAGCTCAGGCCGTGCACAAGCCTCCCCCTTCTTTGACTTTCAGGGAGATTTCTTTTTACCTTAAAGTGTTGCTTTTGTATTTCTGTTTTTTAGAAAAAACAGAAGACATGACTACCTTTTTATAAAAAAAAAGATTTGTTTATTTATTTGAAAGGAAGAGCTACAGAGAGGCAGAGGCAGAGAGAGAGAGAGAGAGGTCTTCCATCTGCTTATTCACTTCCCAGATGGCTGCTGTGGCTGGAGCTGAGCTGATCTGAAGCCAGGAACCAGGAGTGTCTTCCAGAGTGCAGGGCCCAAGCACTTGGGCCATATTCCACTGCTGTCCCAGGCCAAAGCAGAGAGCTGGATTGGAAGTGGAGCAACCAGGGCTTGAACCAGTGCCCATATGGGATGCAGGCGGCAGTTTTACCTACTATGCCATAGTGCCAGCCCCAACTATACCTTTTAAAAAAGATTTGCATCTTTGTTTATCAGAAGGGCAGTTACAGAGAGAGAGATTTTCCATCATTAGTTCATTTCCCTAATGGCCACAGTGGTCAGGGCCGGGCCTGGCTGATGCCAAGAGCCAGGCACTCCTCTGGGTCTCCCATGGAGGTGGCAAGGGCCCAAGGACTTGGGCCATCTTCTGCTGCTTTCCCAGGACGTTAGCAGGGAGCTGCACTAGAGGCAGAGTAGCAGGGACTTGAGCTGATGCAGCTGTCTCGGGTGGCAGCTTAACCTGCTCTACCACAATGCTGACCTCCTTGCTTTGCTGTTAACTTTGCTTTATTTTTAACTGTTCAATGATAGACCTTACATTATCAATATTAAAAAGACTTGAACATTTTGGTACATAAATACTTCAGATTAAGATAGGACATATGGATTTATTTATTTATTTTTAATTTTTTTTCCAGGCAGAGTTAGACAGTGAGAGAGACAGAGAGAGAGTTATAGACAGTGAGAGAGAGAGACAAAGATCTTCCTTCCATTGGTTCATTCTCCAAATGGCCGCCACAGCCGGCGCTGCGCCGATCTGAAGCCAGGAGCCGGGTACTTCCTCCTGGTCTCCCATGCGGGTGCAGGAACCCAAGCACTTGGGCCATCCTCCTCTGCCCTCCCGGGCCACAGCAGAGAGCTGGACTGGAAGAGGAGCAACCAGGACTAGTACCCGGCATCCCAAGTGGGACTAGAACCCCGGGGTGCTTGTGCCGCAGGTGGAGGATTAGCCAAGTGAGCCACATCGCCAGCCCAAGGACATATGGATTAAAGTAGATGAAAAGAAAAATTTGAATTTTAACTTGAATTGAAGTAAAAACTCTTGGTTTTGCTACTTTGTGACTCTTTTTCCCCCAAATGGCCACAATGGCCAGGACTGGGCCATGCCAACGCCAGGAGCCAGGAGCTTCACTCAGGTCTTCCACATAAGGCAGGGGCCCAAGGACTTGGGCCTTCCTCCACTGATTTCTCGGGTGTATTACACTTGATTTTAGCCAGAAGCAGTAATCTCAGATGTGTTAGCACAGAGCTGGATCAGAAGTGGAGCAGCTGGGGCTTGAACCTGTGCTCATATGGGATGCTGGTGTCACAGGAAGCAGCTTAAACCGTTATGCCACAACTCTAGTCCTTACTTCATGACTATTGACCATGTTTTTAGGTTTTGAAACATCTAGACAAGGAGCTGGCGCTGAGGCACAGTAGGTTAAGCTGCTGTCTGCAGTGCCTGCATCCCTTATGGGCGCTGTTCAAGTCCCAGCTGTTCTGCTTCTGATCCGGCTTCCTACTAATGTGCCTGGTAAAGCAGTGGAAGAAAACCCAGATCCTTGGGCCCCTGCACCTATGTGGGAGACCTGGAAGAAGCTCCTGACTCCTGGCTTTGGACTGGCCTGTCTCTGGCCATTTGAGGAGTGAGGCAGCAGATGGAAGATCTTTCTCTCTCTCTCCCTCCCTCCCTCCCTCTCTCTCTCTCTAGCTTTGCCTTTCAAATAAGTAAATAAATATATATTTTTAAAGGTTTATTTATTTAACTGAAAGAGTTACAGAGAGAGAGAGGGAGAGAGAGAGAGATCTTCCATCTTTTGGTTCACTCCCCAGATGGCCACAATAGCCATATCTGGGCCAGGATGAAGCCAGGAGCCTCTTCTGGGTCTCCCATGTGGGTGCAGTAGCTCAAACACTTGGGCCATCTTCCGCTGCTTTCCCAGGCACATTAGCAAAGACCTGGATCAGAAATGGAGCAGCCAGGACTCTAACTGGTGACCATATGGGATGCCAGTGTTGAAGGTGGCAGCTTATCTGCTGTACCACAGTGCCATCCCTGATAAATATATAAATCTAAAAAAAAATTAAAATCTAGTTAAGCTTTGAACATGACTCTAGTTATTAATAATGAATTGCTGGGGCCGGTGCTCTGGCATAGTGGGTAAAGCCGCCGCCTGCAGTGCGGGCATCCCATATGGGTGCCGGTTTGAGATCTGGTTGCTTCACTTCCTATCCAGCTCTCTGTGGCCTTGGAAAGCAGCAAAGATTGTGGCACAGTAGATTAATCCTCTACCTGAGGCGCTGGCATGGCTGCCTGTTCTACTCCCGGCTGCCCCTCTTCCAGTCCAGCTTTCTGCTATGGCCTGGGAAGGCAGTGGAGGATGGCCCAGGTGCTTGGGTGCCTACACCCACATGGGAGATCTGGAAGAAGCACCTGGCTCCTGGCTTTGGATCGGCGCAGCTGTGGCTGTTGCGGTCATCTGGGGAGTGAACCAATGGAAGGAAGACCTCTCTCTCTGTCTCTGCTTCTCACTGTCTGCAACTCTACCTCTCAAATAAATACATAAAATCTTTTTTTAAAAATGTAGGAAGTTCCCCTCCCCCAAAAAATTAAAAACTAAAAAAAAAAGATTGCCTAAGTGCGTGGATCCCTGTACCTGCATGGGAGACCCAGAAGAAGCTCCTGACTTGGATTGGCCCAGCACCAGCCATTTGGGGAATGAACTAGCAGATGGAAGACCTCTCTCTCTCTCTCTCTCTCTCTCTCTCTCTCTCTTTGCCTCTGCCTCTCTGTAATCTGCCTTTCAAATAAATAAATAAATCTTAAAAAAAAATGCTCTGAGGTAATTATTTTTATGTGTTTTTGAGTTAATTTTCTATATGGTTGATTTTTCTTTATAATGTTCCTTTTGATTCTTTATCATAGGATTATTGAACATGGGGAAGGAAGAGGCCTCCCTTGAGGAAGTATTAGCCTATCTCAATGAAATCTACTGTGGGCAAATTTCTATTGAAACCTCCCAACTTCAAAGCCAGGAAGAGAAAGACTGGTTTTCCAAGAGGTTTGAAGAGCTAAACAAGGAAACATTTACCACAGAAGAGCGAAAACATCTGTCAAAGCTAATGCTGGAATCTCAGGTACAAAAGCAGAAGGTAGCATCAGTGGACTAGGTCAGCTCATTTCCTACAAACACCTGTAACTACTGAAGCGAGGGAATGAAGCTATTAATTCTGCACTTATACCCATTGGCTCAACACGACAAACAATATGATAATCTCCACTTTATCCTGAACAGAAAAAAAAAAAAAAAGAAAGAAAGTGGATCACCATTAAACAATCAAGCTATTGTGGTTCTCTGTAGCATTAAAATACTTTTCATATATTTATATGCTCTGTATATAAATGACACAATCCTTCAGATCTCACTTCTCTTTATTATTGGAAGAGATGGAAGACTATGATGGATACAGTCAGGGGATCTGAATCTCTACCTGGGCTGTGGTGAGGACTCGGGCCTGTCAAGATGACCAGAAGCCTCTTCCCTAGAGTCCGGGTGGTTGGATGGTTTGTGACCCTATTAACTAGGACTGCAGTACTGGGAAGGGCAGGAGGAATCCAAGGCCTGGCCCCTGGTCTAGGGGAATGCTCATCCTGAGGGCCTTCCTCTGGGGCTACGTGATTCTCCCACTCGGGTTCTCCTCTTGGCGGCCCCTGCTGCCATCCAGGGTCCATGGCAGAGCTTTGCCCCGTTGCTTCTGCCTTCCTCTCCTCCAGGTAGTGGAAGGGCAGTGCAGCAGCTACTGGAGTAGTGTGGAGCCCTCTCACAGCACACATAACCTTGTCTGCCTTTCACCCGGGTAGCAGGCCATCTGCTGGCAGCTCATGTCTGGCGTGATGTTCCATAGGAGTTTGACCACTTTTTGGCCACCAAGTTTGCCACGGTGAAGCGGTATGGAGGCGAAGGGGCTGAAAGCATGATGGGCTTTTTCCATGAGCTGCTGAAAATGGCGGCCTACAGTGGGATAAGCGATGTCATTATTGGGATGCCCCACAGAGGGAGGCTCAATCTACTGACCGGCCTTCTGCAGTTCCCTCCAGAGGTAAGGCTGTTTCCTGTGTCTCTTACCAGCACTGTACAGTTGACTGTTTCAGGATCAAACTGATGAACACAATAACCATTCCTTCTTGAAAGCCTAAGAGTGCTTGGTCCAGGGAGTAGTTTAGTTGATTGACAGAACTTGATGTTGACAGTTGGACCTGCTATTTAGGTTGACTTGCTGTGTATCCTTATTCTCTCTCCTCTCTAACTCTCTCGAAGTTAGAGGTTATTTGGTGTCCTCAAGGATGATGTGAATGGTTGAATTCTGTTCGCTGGAGTCTGCTTTTCATTTAATACAAATTGTTCAAATGAACGCAAAGATCTTTGCAATTTTGCCTTCCAGGAAGACACAGGTCCATTTATGTGCAGAGTCAATAACAGACTGTACTAGAAACCAATAATACATTGTCATTTCAACAGGCCACACAAATGAGTGAGTGCTTTTAAAAGCAGTTGGATCTTGGTGTTCCTGTTCAGTCCAGCTCAGCTGCTTTGTAAATTTCTCAAAGGTTTGAGAGGCAGGAGTGAAGATTTTCATGTCAGGGAACGTTAGAGAGACCTGATATTTAACAAAGCTTTGACCATGGTGCATAGGTAATCTCACTACTGTTCTCATCCAGGGGATTTAAAAACAACTGTAAACGTTAAAGGGCTGTTGAAGCTCATGGAAGGCTATCTTAGATTTAATACCATTAGAAAATATACATGGTGTTGTGTCTAAGGGCCAGTCTTTGCCATGATCACCCATACCTCACTTGTTCTGATGGTAATCAGCTTTTCTTGTTTTTTAAAGAATTATTATTTATTTGAGAGGTAGCATTACAGAGACAGAGACATACAGACAGACAGAGAGAAAGATCTTCCATCTGCTGTTTCACTCCCCAAATGGCCACAACAGCTGGAGCTGAGCCAGTCAGGAGCTTCTTCCAGGTCTCCATACGGGTACAGGGGTCCAAGGACTTGGGCCATCTTCTACTGCTTTCCTAGGCCATAGCAGAGAGCTGGATCAGAGGCGGAGCAGCTGAGACTCAAACCGGCACCTATAAGGGATGCCAGCACCACAGGAGGTTGCTTTACCTGCTACACCACAGCACCAGCCCCTCCAATCAGCTTTTAAGAGACACATATCTTAGAAAGATAGAATGTGACAGACTGAAAAGGTTGACAGATGATGGTATGTGCTTAAATACATGCTGAAATTCTTAGATCAAAGATTTTTTTCCTAAATCTTCTAGACAAAATTTGCCCCAAGATGCAGAATTTGTTGTAAATTATATGTTTAGGGGCTGGTGCTATGGCATAAGCAGTTAAAGCCACCACCTATTATTCCAGCATCCCAACTGGGCACTGGTTCCAGTCCAGCTGCCCTACTTCTGATCTAGCCCCCTGGCTGGTGTGCCTGGGAAAGCAGTGGAGGACAGCCTGGGTCCTTGGGCCCATGCTCCCGCGTGGGAAACCGGGAAGATGCTCCTGGCTCCTGGCTTCAGATCGGCCCAGTTCCGGCCGTTGCTGCCATTTGGGGAGTGAACCAGCAGATGGAAGACATCTCTGTCTCTGTCTCTGCCTCTGCCTCTATCTAACTCTGCCTTTCAGATAAATAGATAAAATATATATTTTTTTTTAAATTGCATGTTTATAAGAAACACACACACAGAGACACACACATGTATATACACATCCACCCCTACACTGGGTGACTATATATACTCCTATCTTTAGGTAGGAGACATCAGTAAGCTCTTGCAAGCTAGAGAAGTTTTGGGGTCTTTCTGAGAGTTTGGATGATTTAAAATAATCAGATATTCTTGTCAAATGCCTTGCTATGGGACCCAGCTTTGTTATTTACTAACCAAGGATCTTTAACAGTTGATTTGCCTTCCCTTGTTTATTCATTTTCAAAATCGGTAATAACATCTATGTCACAGAAGACTGTGACAATAGAGTGGGGGAATATGTGCAGAGGAATTTTGGGGGGAATTGGACAATGTAAGCCTTTAGGTCTGACTTGAGGTGAGTAGTATACCTTATCCCCTGTATAAATGGGATTACGTTCTGTTCTATTTGTTTCCTCCTTACCGCTAATGAAATGAATATTACAAAGGTTTTTAAACAAATGTATTATTTTTAAGACTTTTTTTTTTTTTTTTTTTTTTTTTTTTTTTTTTTTTTTTTAAGCAGAGAGACAGAAAGACAGAGAGCTCTCACATCTGCTAGTTCACTCTCTGAATGCTCGCAATGGCTGGGACAAGGCCAGAACCTGGACACTCGATCCCAACTATATGAGCCATCCTGCTGCTCCCCAGGGTGCACATTAGCTGGAAACTGAATTAGGAGAGGAGCCAGGACTTGAATCCAGATGCTGTCTGATATGGCATGGGAGCATGTGGGTGTGCCCCCAGGTGGTGTCTTAACTACAACACCCAAAGCCCGCCGTAATAAATATATTTTAGCAAGTGTGTTTAAGAAAAGTGGATTAAGAAAAGTTGATTGCAACCCATAGGTACTTTTGCATTTTTCTCACGTTAGATCCCCTTTAAAAGTATTGGCAGACATCTGATGCGCTGGTTATGATACTGCGTGGGATGCCTGTGCTCCTTATTGGCTGGGTTCGAATCCTAGCTCTGCCACAGATTCCAGCTTCCCGATAACGCTCACCCTAGGTGGCAACAGTGACTGCTCAGGTAGCAGTGGGGCCCCTGCCATCCCTGTGGTTCCAGTTCCAGACTCCCGACTTCAGCCTGGCTGAACCCCAGCTGTTGTGGGCATTAGGGGAATGAACCAGCAGATGGAAGATCTCTCTGTGTCTGTCTCTTTGCCTTTCAAATAAAATGAAAAGCAAGAAGGAGGGAAGGAAGGAAAGAAAATCTGCTAAAAAAATTGTTGGAACCTCTTAATCCTGAAATTCCCTAAATAGTTCCAAGCAATTTGTTATAAAAGCATGTATGTGAAGTTTGTCCTCCCTTCCTCGCCGCTGTGATAGAAGACTTCTTCCTTGTGTGTGTATGCCCATAACAGTTGATGTTCCGGAAAATGCGAGGCTTAAGTGAGTTTCCAGAAAGTCTCTCAGCCATTGGAGATGTCCTGTCTCACCTGACATCCTCTGTGGACCTGGACCTGGGCGCACCCAGTCCCCTCCACGTCACAATGCTCCCCAACCCATCGCACCTCGAAGCTGTGAATCCTGTGGCTGTTGGGAAAACCCGGGGCAGGCAGCAGTCCCGACAAGATGGCGACTACTCTCCAGACAGTTCCGCTCGGCCTGGAGACAAAGTCATTTGCCTGCAGGTACTCATAACTTCCAGGAAGTGAGGTCAGAGAAAGAAGGCTGGGGTCGGGACGTCAGAAGGGAGATTGCAGGCATTCAAGATTGGGAACTGAAGATTCTGGGGTCACTTTTACAAGTTAATAGCAGTTGTGAGTTGCAGTCCCAAAGCAACTGAGTTGTGATTAATTGAAGGGTACATCTGTGGGCATCACTGCTACTTTTTTGTTGTTGTTGTATTTTTTTATATTTATTTACTTGAAAAGCAGGGTTACAGAGTCAGAGGGAGAGACACAGAGAGAGCTCTTCCATCTGCTAGTAAACTCCCCAAATGGCTGTAGTAGCTGGGACTGGACTAGGCTAAAGGTGGAAGATAGGAACTCTATCCTGCTGTTCCATGCAAGTGCAGAGGCCCAAACACTCAGGCCATCTTCTGCTGTTTTCCCAGGCACATTAGGAGGGAGCCAGACTAGAAGTGGTACAGCTGGGACTTGAACTGGTGCTCACATGGGATGCTGCCATATTCAGCAGTTCACACTGCCAAAACACTGGCCCGCACTGCTACTTCTAAGAGGACGGATGTCATTGCTTCTCTGAAAGCAAGGTCCTTGAAGCCGGTGCCATGGTGTAGTGGATAAAGCCACTGCAGGGCCAGTGTCCATATGGGCTCTGTTTGAGTCCTGCCTGTTCCACTTCTGATCCAGCTCCCTGCTAATGTGCCCAGGGAAAGCAGCGGAGGATGGCCCAAGTTCTGAGGCCCCTGCACCCACGTGGGAGACCTGGAAGAAGCTCCCTGGCTCCTGGTTTTGGCCTGGTCCAGCTCCAGCTATTGCAGTCATTCGGAGAGTAAGCCAACAAATGGAAGACTTCCTTCTTTCTCTGTCTGTTCCTCGCATTCTCTCTGTAACTCTGCCTCTCATCAAAATAGAAAAAGAAAGAAAGAAAGAAAGAAAGAAAGAAAGAAAGAAAGAAAGAAAGAAAGAAAGAAAGAAAGAAAGAAAGAAAGAAAGAAATGAAAGCAGGGTCATCTAAACCATGTGTTTTAGATATATATCTAACAATGCATAAAGTGTATATTTACTTTGCTTGTTTGTTTAAAAACAAGGGCCTTTGTCATTAAGACAAACAATGCAAATTATCAGTGGATTTCTTTCTTCACCTGCTCCCCAGGTTTTGGTACTCCAACAAGTATCTTGTAGAGATTTGGCCTGTGAGTCATCAGAGTTTATTCTATGAAAATTCATTTCAGTACAAACCTTTATCTATTGAGGGGATAACTAATTGTGGTCTTCAGTAATCAAGTCTTCAAACCCCACAGAAATAAGAAATATATAAGATAACAGAATATTCTTTGCATACAAAGCTACCTTATCCTATTCATGTTCATTTTTCATGAGCCAGAAACTGGCAGCGAATGAACAAGGGTAGACAAAATTGGATTTGATTATGATATGGTTATTTCTAAATAGCAGCCTTCAAATTGTTAGCCAGACTTTCTCCTTACCTTTTACCTGACTTAATTCTCAACTATTTTAGTTGTTCACATTTATCCAGTGTGTGTGTGTGTGTGTGTGTGTGTGTGTACTAAACTGATGTTAAGACTGACTTGTGCAGGAAGAGGTGAAAATGTTTTCTTACAAGGATGAGAAGTTGACTGCCCTCGTTTGTCTACTTTCTGTGCCAACAGCAACTTGCCCTGCTGTGTCTGTGCGTGTCTTGCCTTGCTCCGGCACACGGTTCTGATTTCTTATGGGGAGTCCAAATCTGAAGCCCATCAAAAGATGGTGGGTGAGATACAGTGCTACTTTTTCTACCTGTTGTCAGTAAATCTTAGTCCTGGACCGAATGAAAGTGAATTCCTCCTATTTATTTATTTATTTTTTGACAGGCAGAGTTAGACAGTGAGAGAGATACAGAGACAGAGAGAAAGGTCTTCCTTTTTCCGTTGGTTCACCCCCCAAATGGCCACCACAGCTGGCGCGCTGTGGCCGGCCCGCTGTGCCAATCAGAAGCCAGGAGCCAGGTGCTTCCTCCTGGTCTCCCATGCGGGTGCAGGGCCCAAGCACTTGGGCCATCCTCCACTGCCTTCCCGGGCCACAGCAGAGAGCTGGACTGGAAGAGGAGCAACCAGGACAGAATCCGGCACCCTAACCGGGACTAGAAACCGGGGTGCCGGTGCTGCAGGCGAAGGATTAGCCAAGTGAGCTGTGGCGCCGGCCCTTTTATTTATTTGTTTAAATATTTATTTACTTATTTGAAAGGCAGAGTGACAGAGAGAGGGAGAGAGACCACATATACAAAGAGAGAGAATTTTCTGTCTTCTGGATCACTCCCTAGATGACTATAAGGGCCCTTTCTGGGAGTCAGGAGCCAGGAACTCCTTTTAGTCCTGCACATGGGTTACTTACTCTTCTGTTGCCTTCCCATGAATATTAGCAGATGGCTGGATCAGAAGCAGAACACCCAGGACTTGAACTGGAGCTTTGATATGAATGCCAGTGTCTCAAGCAGTGGCTTAACACGCTGCACCACAACTCCCAACCCGAAAGTGAATTCTTAATTTTGCTCCTGTGTGTGTGTGTCAGAACTCCCCTGATGTGTCTGACTGAGGAGCATCCACCTCCACCTTGCCCAGCTTTTGTGCATTTTTTTAAAGATTTATTTATTTATTTGAAAGTCAGAGTTACACAGAGAGAGGAGAAGCAGAGAGAGAGAGAGAGAGAGAGAGAGAGAGAGAGAGAATGTCTTTCATCCGATGGTTCACTCCCCAATTGTCTGCAATGGCCAGAGCTGTGCTGATCTGAAGCCAGGAGCCAGGAGCCAGGAGCTTCTTCTGGGTTTACCACGTGGGTGCAGGGGCCCAAGGACTTGGGCCATCTTCTTACAGTTTTCCCAGGCCATAGAAGAGAGCTGGATTGGAAGTGAAGCAGCTAGGTCTCGAACCAGTGCCCAGGCTGGTGCTTCAGGCCAGGGCGTTAACCTACTGTGCCATAGCACTGGCCCCTTGTGCGTGTTTTAAGACCCTCACTCTTGGGGCTAGCACTGTGACGTAGCTGGTAAAGCCGCCACCTGCAGTGCCGGTATTCCATATGAGTGCCAGTTCAAGTCCCAGCTGCTCCACTTCCGATATAGCACCCTGCTGATGGCCTGGGAAAGCAGTAGAGGATGGCCCAAGTCCTCGGGTCCCTGCACCTGTATGGGAGACCTGGAAGAAGCTCCTGGCTCTTAGCTTCAGATCAGCTCAGCTCCAGCCATTGTGGCCATCTGGGGAGTGAACCAGCAGATGGAAGACCTCTCTCTCTCTCTCCTTCTCTCTCTGCTGACTTAGAGATGTGATCAGGTAACACAAGCCACACCTCTGTTCTAACACTTGAAAGGTGTGGAAGAGGCTGCTGAACTGGTCTCCTCCGTGTCATTGCCCCACAAGAAATCTCATAGCCCAGGACCAAAGGGTGCAGAGCATTCTTTTTTCAGAAACTCCTTGATTTTGGTGCAGCTGGATATTATACATTTTTTTATCAAAAGCAATTTGCTGTTTTTTATTTATTTTGTAAAATTTTAGTATACATTTTTAAACTTTCATTTTGAGAAACAGAGAGGACGAGACAGAGACAGATAGATAAACAGATATAAACATAGAGAGTGTGCTCCTAGGTGCTCGTTTACTCCCCCAAATGCCTGCAACAGCCAGAGCTGGGACAAGATCAGGCCAAAGTTAGGAGCCATGAACTCAATTTAGGTCTTCCAAGTGGATGGCAGGAATTCCTAGAATTACTAGAATCATCACCACTAACTCCCAGGATCTGCATTAGCAGGAAGCTTGAGCCAGGAGTGGAACTGGGTATAGAACCCAGGTACTTCAGTGGTTTTTTAACTGGCTACTGTGTAGTACCAGAACTTACAGGTGATTTATACAATCACACATTTGAAAGGCAGTGAGACAGAGATCGTCTATCTGCTGGTTCACTCCCCAAATGGCTACAATAGCCAAGGCCATGCCAGGCCAAAACCAGCAGCCCAGAACTCCAGCTGGGTCTCCCATGTGGATGGCAAGGGCCCAAGTATTTGGGTCATCATCTGCTGCTTTCCCAGGTGCATTAGCAGGGAGCTGGATTGGAAGTGGAGCAGCAGGGACTCAAACTGCTGCTGCGATATGGGATGCTGGCATTGTAAGCAGTGGCTTAACCTAAAGTGCCACAATGCTGGTCCCTCTCATTATTTACTTTAAACTCAAGAAAAAAAATTCCCCACTCCTCACCCTCACCCTCACCCTCACCCTCACCCTCACCCTCAGGGCCAGAATTGTGGTGCAGTGGGTTACGCGGCTGCTTGCAACACTGGCAACAGAGTGCCACTTTAGCCAACTCCTCCTCCTCCTCTTTTTCTTCTTCTTCCTCCTCCCTGTCCCATACCTCCTTCCCCTCCTTTCCATTCCCCTCCTCCTCCTCCTCTTCCTCTTCTTTTTCATGTGGAAACACTTGATCATTATTTCAAGAAAATGAACCAACAGGGATTGAACAAGGAGAGGAGTATCTAAGGCCGCATCTCTGTCCTAAGCAGGAGTCTGTAGTTGCAACTGCTTTAGTCTGAGCCAGCTTCCTGCTAACGTGCCTGAGAAGGCATCAGAGGTGGGCCCCTGCCACCTATGTGAGAGACCAGGATGGAGTTCCTGGCTCCTGGCTTCAGCTTGGCTCAGACCTGGCTGTGGTACCCATTTGGGGAATAAACCAGCAGATAGAAAAATATCTCTCTCTCTCTCACTCTGCCTTTCCAATAAATAACCTCTTAAAAAAGTTTCCTCTACCACTGTGTCTAAGAGGTTTTATGAAGCTACTGTTATCTAGCAGATTTCAGATGTTCTGGAAGGGTAGCACATTTTCAATATTCACTCATAATAATATTTTGTGTTTTCCTCCTGTCTCCTGTTCGCTTGTGTGTGATATCTTTTCTCCCTTGTCACCTTGTCTTTGCTGTCACTTCACTCTCCTTTCTGTTCAGCATGGTAACAAGGGTTGAGTTCTGTTGTTGCCACTGATTTGAACCCTGGAAACTTGTTCCATCAACCACAAAGTATGAGGCCAACACGCAGACAAGAGGGTGATTTTAGCCAAGTTTTACCAAAAAGTAAAGACAGAGACTCCTAGACCAGGCTGGTGTCTCGGTAAAGGACTGGGAGCCCAGTCTCATTTAGGCTGGAATTTTTATGGAAATGAGTGTGGGTCCCCCGTTTCTTCTCCCCTCCTCCCTCTTCTAGGAAGGTCTGGGTAGGGGATTTCTGGATGTGGAATTCCCCTGAACAAATCATTCTGGACAGTGCTGGCTGTCAAGCTTCTTATCTATTGGAGGAGCAAATGACTCCTTCAGTCCACTGATTAGAACCTTGTTGGGCCAGCTGTATCGCTCCCTCAATTCAGTGAGTTCCTTTCGATAAAGGACAGCCAAGGACATTTTGGGCTAACGAGACAGACAAGAAGCTGGGTCCTGCTTTCCAGACTTGTTTCCTCAATCCATTGCACATAAATTCATTTCCTTTTTTTTAAAAGATTTATTTATTTATTTATTTGAAAGAGTTACACAGAGAGAGGAGGAGAGGCAGAGAGAGAGGTCTTTGATCCACTGGTTCACTCCCCAATTGGCTGCAACAGCTGGAGCTGTGCTGATCTGAAGCCAGGAGCCAGGAGCTTCTTCTGGGTCTCTCTCACGGGGGCAAGGGCACAAGGACTTGGGCCATCTTGTAATGGCTTTCCCAGGCCATAGCAGAGAGCTGGGTTGGAAATGGAGCAGCCAGGACTTGAACCAGTGCCCATATGAGATGCCGGCACTGCAGGCGGCTGCTTTACCCACTACGCCACAGCGCTGGCCCCTAAATTCGTTTTCTTTAAAAATTCTCCTTTTTTCTGTCCCTCTTAGACACATTTACCTAGCTAACCTTAGGTTGACATTTACCTAGCTGTCGTAACAATGTGAGCTCCCTGAGCCTCTTTGTCAGGGCACGAGGAGAATGGGGAGAGGAAGATTTCAGTGTGGCACATTATTCCTCTTGTCTTGCAGACTGTTTTCCTACGCGATTTCCTAGAGCTGGTTTTTCTTTAGGAAAAGCTATTTTTTTTTCACCTCCAGCAGTCCTGCTGTCCATGATCCTGCCATATAGACACTGGAATGTTTCCTAAAGTAATGAGAATAGGCAGTGGGTAGGGGTGGAAGGAAGGAGTTAGCTGATGGTGGCTGTACAAAGAAAAGGACTGGTTTAGCATCTTTGAAAGCTCTTTTGAGATCAGACTAACCCTGCTCGAAACCCTGTAACCTCTATGTTTTTAGGAGGGCATGGAAGTAGTGAGAGGGTGGTGGTTTTTATTCTTAGTAGTATTTTAAAACAATTCATTCTGAAAACCTAGATTTCTTAATCCCATGTGTTGCTTTTCTTTTCTCTTTTTCATTCCCCTTTGGTTTAGGTTCATGGTGATGCTTCTTTCTGTGGTCAAGGGATTGTTCCTGAGACATTTACACTGTCTAATCTCCCACATTTCAGAATTGGCGGGAGTGTCCATTTGATTGTCAATAACCAGCTGGGTTACACCACTCCAGCAGAAAGAGGGAGGTCTTCCTTGTACTCTAGTGACATTGGTAAGTAACACAGGGAGGCATTGATGTCACTGGGTCAGACAAGAAATTTCTGGTATACACAAAATGAGCCTCACTGCTCGTGCCATTTTAAATTTTGGATCAGAAGTCACCCATGGTGTTGCCAAGTTGATTCTTTTTAAAGTCTCAATGTGTGATCTCTATTTTTTATTTATTTATTTTTAAAGATTTTATTTATTTATTTGTGAGATAGAATTATAGATGGTGAGAGGGAGAGATAGAGAGAAAGGTCTTCTATCCATTGGTTCACTCCCCAGGTGGCAGCAACAGCTGGAGCTGCACCAATCCAAAGCCAGGAGCCAAGTGCTTCTTCCCGGTCTTCCATGTGGGTGCAGGGGCCCAAGAACTTGGGCCATTTTCTACTGCTTTCCCAGGCCACAGCAGAGAGCTGGATTGGAAGAGGGGCTGCCGGGACTAGAACTGGCGCCCATATGGGATGCTGGCGCTGCAGGTGGAGGATTAACCGACTGTGCCATGGTGTTGGCCCCTCAATGTGATCTCTAAATGCAAGGAAATAAGGCCAGGATGGAACTGAGGGTGTGCAATCTCAAATGACTTCAGTAACCAGTTCCAAGATCTGGTAGAAATCAGAGAGCGACACAATTACTAGAGTAATTATCTTTAGGATATTCAGACATGGAATGCCCATGATCTTATTCATAAAGAATATGTTCAGCTACTAAATTTGGTAAAAGAATCTAGTTAGAAATAAGGTGGAAAGAGTCAAAGTCAACTTATTCTAACCTGTGGAACTTGGCGGTCAACAGCCAAGTGGGACTTTTGTTATCTATTCCCTATTTCTCAGGTGCAAGAACTGTCACCTGTTGTGAATGATTCTGTTTCTACAACTGGTGCCTGGACTGGATGAATTTTAGGGTAGTCTGTGAGTTCTTTGTGGTTAGTCTAACAGAGGTACTAAAAATGCATTCTAGCCAGTGCCGCGGCTCACTAAGCTAATCCTCCGCCTCGTGGCACTGGCACACCGGGTTCTAGTCCCGGTTGGGGCGCTGGATTCTGTCCCGGTTGCCTCTCTTCCAGGCCAGCTCTCTGCTGTGGCCAGGGAGTGCAGTAGAGGATGGCCCTAGTGCTTGGGTTCTGCACCCCATGGGAGACCAGGAGGAGGCACCTGGCTCCTGCCATCAGATCAGCGTGGTGCGCCGGCCGCAGCGCGCCGGCCGGGCCACGGCGGCCATTGGAGGGTGAACCAATGGCAAAAGGAAGACCTTTCTCTCTGTGTCTCTCTCTCACTGTCCACTCTGCCTGTCAAAAAAAAAAAAAAGTTACAAAGCTGGACCCTGAAGCTTAAATTCTTAGCAACCAAGCCAAATTTCCTGTGACGGACTCCCAGCTGTCTCCCCGTGCAGGCAGTGGGATGTGGGGAGGGGCTGACATCATTCCAGGTTGACTGGCCCACTTCATCTCTGTCTTCCTTACTTCAGGAAAGCTTGTGGGCTGCGCCATCATCCATGTCAACGGAGACAGCCCAGAGGAAGTAGTGCGTGCCACCCGGCTGGCTTTTGAATACCAGCGCCGATTCCGCAAGGATGTGATTGTTGATTTACTGTGCTACAGGCAGTGGGGCCACAATGAGCTGGATGAGCCTTTCTTCACCAACCCGGTCATGTACAAAATCATCAGGTCTGATTAAAAACCTTCGTTTTACATGCTCTCTCTCCCCCGTAGCAACTGCATTATCATCGTCTTTAATAGATACTCTCAGGGAGTGAGACCAACTTCCCTGGTTTGCCTAAGACATGGAATTCTGAAGGCTAACATTGGAACAATGCTTAGAAAAATGGGATGGTCACACTGGGGGTCTCCCCATGTTCTTCAAACTCCATGTGTTTCCTCTTTGGCCAGAGGGTGGGCAACTTAACAACTCATTTAGCAGGTGGGGAGTCCTAGGTGGGAGGGCTTTAGGCAAGGCCTTGCCAGAAGCTACTTAGTAGGACATTGGCATGGTCAGAAATAGAACCTCCAGAATTCTCCTCTGTGAACTGGAGATCTGCTTTGTGCCCTGGCGAGAGGTAACACCAGGGATTTTAGTGAAGGTTTAGGACTATGCTATCTGGTAAGGAAGCCACTAGCCATTAAGAAGCTATTGAACACTTGAAATGCAGCCATTCCTGATGGAGATAAGCCTTAACTATACTGTACACACCAGATACCGAAAACTTGGCATATCAGGTATAACATAAAATGTCAAAAGTTTTAATACCAATACTGAAATGACAATGTTGGGTATATGTTGACTTAAATAAAATAATTGTTAAAATTAATTCCACTGTTTGGTTTTACCTTTTCCAACATGACTGTCAGAAAATTTTAAATTACACAGGTGACTTACGTTGCATTCCTGTTGGGCAGTGCTGACTCAGCAGGTTAATGTGATGGAGAGGGAACATGTTATGTAGAATATTCCTTTCCTGGGTACTAGAAAGTACCTGCTCTTCTATTTTCTCAAGCAGAGCAATAAACGTGACACTTGACATACCTTACTGTTCACAGGTAGCAGGACACTGCTCTGGGAAGAACAAAACAGGTTTCTCATTTAGCACTGAACTTAGCAGTCCAGTGACTCAATGTGACTCAGGGCTCCATTTAAAAAAATCTATCTTGCCAGACTCTCTTTTGTCAGGATTAAATATGATAATATATATAAATAGACTTTATATAAAGTCTTATACAAATGTAGAATGGCCTTTTATTGTCGTTGCAATGTTCAGATGCAGATTATTAGAGTAACCCGAAACAGTTGATAGCAATTTTGGGTTCAGTATATTTTGAAATAAAAGGGGTGCTGAATGGGTGATAATGTGGGTCTGTCGAGAAGTTACCAATTCATTGCACAAGTCTACTAATTATTTCTATCTGGATGTCCATGAAAGTTTATAAAGATAATGTTGTGGTGCAGTCATTAAGCCACTGCTTGTGATACCAGCATCCCAAATCAGAGGCTGGTTTGAGTCCTGGCTACTCAGCTTCCAATCCAGCTCCCTGCTAACATGCCTGGGAAAGAGTGGAAGATGGCTCAAGTACTTGGGCCCCTGCCACATAGGTTGGAGACCAGGATGGAGTTCCTGGCTCCTGGCCGTGGTCTGGCCAGCCATGGGTGTTGTGGCTATTTGGAGAGTGAACCAGCAGATGGAAGATCTCTCTCCCTTTGAATCACCCTCTCTCTCTGTCACTCTATCTTTCAAGTCAGTCAATCACTCCATCAGTCTTTAAGCCTGAAAGAAAGTATATAAAGATAAATTTGTTTCTCTTTTGCTTGCCTGCAAGAGGTTTGTTCACATGACTGCCTTTGCTTAATTAATTTCATTTCTTTTATTTATCTGTGTTTTTTTAAATTAACTTATTTAGGTGAAAGTCGAATAATGTATGATTGACTAGTTTTTCTAAAAAGATTTATTTATTTGTTTATTTATTTATTTGAAAGTCAGAGTGTGTGTGTGTGTGAGAGAGAGAGAGAGTGAGCGAGCTAGGTCTTCCACCCACTGGTTCACTGCCCAGATGGCCACAAAGGCTGGGGCTGGGCCATGTAAAAGCCAGGATCCAGGAATTTCTTTCAGGTCTCCCACTTGGGTGCAGGGGCTCAAACACATGGACCATTTTCTGCTGCTTTTCCGAGGCTATTAGCTAGACTAAAAGTAGAGTGATCAGGACAGGAACGAGTGCCCATATGGGATACTGGTGTCTCAGGCAGTAGCTTTACCAACTATGTCACAATGCCAGCCCCTAAAACTGACTATATTAGAGTGGACATTTATCTATCACATTCACAATGTTGTGCAACCACCACCTGTTTTAATTCCAAAACATTTCCTGAGTGCCTTTTTATAGTGCTGCCATTCTAGCAAGGCCTTTGACAATGACTATATTTCCTCTTAGATTTTTTTTTTACACATCAGTTTGAATTTTTTTCCTCTTTTATTTCTTGGGCAGAGCCCGAAAGAGCATCCCTGACACCTATGCAGAGCACCTGATTGCCAGTGGACTCATGACCCAGGAGGAGGTGTCTGAAATAAAAGCCTCTTACTACGCCAAGCTAAATGACCACTTAACTAACATGACCCACTACAGCCCCCCAGCCACCCACCTGCAGGCCCACTGGCAGGGCCTGGTTCAGCCCGAAGCTTGCATCACCACCTGGAATACAGGTCTGCCCGTGGACCTCCTGCAGTTTGTCGGCATGAAGTCTGTGGAGGTCCCAAAGGAACTGCAGATGCACAGCCACCTTCTAAAGACCTATGTCCAGGTGGGGAGCGTGCAAGTCGCCGGCCACTGCTTTACTTCTTGCTCAGCAAAGGAACCAATGTTGGTCTGGTCTTTTCCATAGGCTGATTGATTTGCTAAATACTCACTGCACATGAGTAGGTTCTAGGAACTGAGCCTAGTGGTGTCTTACTATTGACATTCGGTTAACTCAGATTTTCTCCATTTGTTTCTTTCTTTATGTTAATATAATACATATGCATGGAATAATGCATGTTGTACAAAAGACAGAAATACACAAATGTCTGGTTTGGTCTTATCCATCAGTGAGCAGAAAGCGTTTTAATTCTTTCAAGTAGCTCAAATAAAAGAAACAAAAATAGCACACGTACCCTAAACGTGATCATTTATACCCTTAAACATGTTGAGGCTTTTCCTATTATTTTTATTTTTTAAGATCTATTCATTTATTTTGAAAGACTGAGCAATAGAGAGATAGAGAGAGAAGGAGAGATCTTCCATCTGCTGGATCACTCCCCAAATGGCCACAACAGCCATGGTTGGGCCAGGCCAAAGTCAGAGGAGTCCAGACCTCCATCCAGGTCCCCACATGAGTGGCAAGGATCCAGGTAATCTGGCCATCCTCTGCTGCTTTCCAGGCTCATTAGCAGGGAGCTGGACTGGAAGCAGAGCAGCCTGGACTGAAAACAGTACATAGCGGGGTGATAGAGGATGCAGGCATTGCAGGTGGTGGCTTGACCGTGGGCAGCTTAATCCTCTGCAGCACGATGGCAGCACCCCATTCTCAACAGCAGAATGCCAGACCATCCTGATTGGCCGGGTGTTGGGGTTTTCTGACACATGAAGCTTTCCGCGCTAGCATAGGAGAACAAAATATTAAAGGTATTTATCTTCCTTAAGCTTATATGAAATAACTTTGCCTTCTGAATTATTTTTAAAAAGTTTTGCAGGCATTGTGGCCTGGTGGGTCATGTCACTGCCTGTGATGCCAGCATCCCAAATGAGTGATGGTTCCTGTCCTGGCTGCTCCACCTCTCATCCAGCTCCCTGCTAATGGCCTGGGAAATGCAGCAGAAGATGGTCCAAGCTACTTGGGCTCCTGCCACCCATGTAGGAGACCCAGATGAAGCTCCTGGCTCCTGGTTTCCACCTGGGCCAGCCCTGGCCATTGCGGCCATTTTGGGGAGTGAACCAGTGAATGAAAGCTCTCTCTCTGTCTCTGTCTCTCTCTCTTCATCTCCCTCTCTCTCTCTCTCTTCTTCTCTTTCTGTTATTTTGCCTTTCAAATAAATAAGTAAATCTTTTTAAAAAAGGAAAAGAAACATAATATGGTTCCCTATGAATCCCTCCCTGATTCCATCTTCCATCTCTCCACAGAGGACACCCAAAGTGCACCTGCTTTGCCTGTTTGAAAACTGCACATAATACCTATTGTACTCTAATGTATCTGTCTGTGCTTCCTATTCAGCATCGGGTCGTTGACACTTACCCTTGATGCATTCCATATCTTGACCTCAGCATGGAAAAACATACGGCCTCTGAAAAGTTTCCTTTTTCCTCCCCCTCGGTCTCACAGTCCAGAATGGAGAAAGTGATGAGCGGAACGAATTTAGACTGGGCCACAGCGGAAGCTCTGGCCCTGGGCTCCTTACTTGCTCAAGGTACGCAGTTTCTGTTTAGCCACACAGCTCACAGGGAATGCTGAAAATGACATTGGTTCCATGTGGCCTCTGCTGCTTTTCTTGAACTGTAGCTACCTCTTGTCATTTTCATCAGCAACCGAGTTCTAGAACCTGCTACCTGTCCTTACTGATGCTGTTATATGATTGTAGAATAGGTCAGCCTTCCTCAGGGCATCAACTCTAGGGCAGTTGTACCAATATACAAAGGGCTATGTGCCGGGTATATTGAAAAGGTGTTTTTACCTAAATATTATAGGGCATGTGATGACTAATTTTTTTTTAGATTTATTTTATTTATTTGAAAGGCACAGTGACGGGGGCGAGGGCTGTTTCAGGGGGAGAAGAAGAGAGGAAAGGGAGTGAAAAAGAGCTACTGATCTTTCATCTCCTGGTTAACTCCCCAGTGGCTGCATCAGCTGGGGCTGGGCCAAGACAAAGCCAAGAGCCCAGAACTTCGTTTGGGTTTCCCACTTGGATGTCAGGGGCCCAAATGCTTGGGCCAGCTTCAGCTTTCTTCCCAGGAGCATTAGGAGGGAACTGAGTTGGAAGTGGAGCAGCCAGGACTCACTGGCACTCTGAAACGCGATGTAAGCATCACAAGTGGCTACTTAACCTGCTGCACCACGGCGCCAACATCAAGTGATGACTCTTCTGTGTTTTAAGATTTTATTTTATGTATCTGAAAGGCAGAGTTACAGAGAAGAAGAGACACAGAGATCTTTCATCTGCTAGTTCACTCTACAAATGGCCACAATGGCTGGGGCTGGACTAGATGGAAACCAGGAGCCTGGTACTTTGTCTAGGTCTCCCACGTGGGTGGCAGGGACCCAAGCCCATGTTCCACTGCTTTCACAGGTGCATTAGCAGGGTTCTGGATCAGAAGTAATGCAGCCAGCACTTGAAACAACACTCTGATAGGGAATGCTGGCATCACAGGCTCACCTTGCTACAGCACAGTGCTGGTCCCAAGTGATGACTATTCTTACACAGTCTCACCTTGACTATAGATTTTTTTCAAATCAGAAGTGGAGGAACTGGCACCCATATGGGATGCCGGTATTGCAGGTGGTGGCTTAACACACTATGCCACAATGCCAGCCCCAGCTATAGATTCTTGAATATAGGCCAGGTATATATGAATAAGGAGAATCTGTTATCCTAATTCCCAGGATGAGATTATGTGTAAGAATTCAGGGTCACCATGCCTTACGATGACGTGGGTTATTCATAGGGATCTGGACTTTTATTTTTTTCCTGCTTGCTTGCTTTAGGTTTTAATGTCCGTCTGAGTGGTCAAGATGTCGGCCGTGGGACTTTTAGTCAAAGGCATGCAATGGTTGTTTGCCAGGAGACTGACGACACCTACATCCCCCTGAACCACATGGACCCTAACCAGAGAGGCTTCCTAGAGGTACGCTCCTTCAACCTCCGTTGTGGAAGACTGGTGCTGCTTATGACAGATGTTGCCAACTCTGTGCACTTAGCCTTTTTTTAAATAAAGAGGTGCTGAATGGGTAGACAGTGTGGGCCCATGTATTTGGAATAGAGGTAACAGGCTGGGGAGCAGACTGGAGCTATTTTACTCGGGCTACTTCTCTGTAAGTATGTAAATGTCCAATGGATGTGCATTTTGTCAGTTCAGAATTGACATTAATATCCATGTAATGTGGTGGTTCATTAACGTTAAAGATGTGGATAATAAGCCAATATTTCTTATATACTAAAACAAAATGCTTCCTGCAGGTTCTCTTATTCCCTGCAGTTTAGTGGGCTTGATGAGTAAATATAACCATGTATGCTGTGTGCCAGTCTCTTTAGTGTCTTAGGGAAAAGCCTGAGTCTTCTCATTCTTGTCTCTCCATCAACTAGTATAATACCTGGCATGTGATATCTGTGAAATTAACTTACTCTGCAAGACAAGTTGAGGGGTATGTCATCTTCCTTCCTATTCTAGCCATTTGTCTGAACAGAAAGGTTTTTTGTTTTTTTTTTAAAGATGTAATTACTTCTTTTATTTGAAAGGCAGAGTTACAGAGAGACAAGGAGAGATCTTCCATCTGCTAATTCACTCCCCAAATGTCTGCAATGGCCAGAGCTGGGCCAGACGGAAGCCAGGAGCTTCTTTCAAGTCTCCCACATGGGGTGACAGGGTCCCGAGCATTTGGGCTACCTTCTGCTTTCCCAGGCACATTAACAGGGAACTGGATTGGAAGTGGAGCAGAATGGGAGCACCCAAATGGGATGCTGGCACTTCAAGTGGCAGTTTGACCCACTATGCCACAGCGCTGGCCTGAGCATATAGTCTTGAGTTCACTGATCCTCTTATAATAAATTCACCTGGCAAAACCAGTGTTCCAGGAAGACTGACGGGCACTCAGTTCATCTTTTTCTTAAGTTAGTTTAAAATCCATCTTTGGTAGCTAGTGTTGTAGCATAGCAAGTAAAGCTACTAGCTGCAACATCGACAACCCATATGGCCACCTGTTTGAATCCTGGCTACTCCACTTCCGATCCAGCTCTCTGCTAATGGCCTAGGAAAAGCAGCAGAGGATGGCCTCCATGTTTGGGCCCCTGCACCCACATGGGAGATCTGGATGAAGCTCCTGCCTCCCAGCTTCTACCTGGCCCAATGCTGGCTGTTGTCAGGGATGACCCAGCAAATGGAAGCTCTCTGTCTCTCCCTCTCTCTGTGTTACTCTGCTTTCAAATAAATACATTCATTTTTACAAAAAAAAGTTTATTTACAAATAAAGAAATTCATCTTAATAAAAAAAATCATTCTTTGGATCAAGTCAGACTGATGGACTGCATACTAGAATGTTTAGTGTACCCCACCTCAAATGAGGTTTCTATTGAATTGTAATATGATGTTTATCTTCCATTTTGAATATTGCTATTTATTTGTTTTTAAGATTTATTTATTTATTTGAAAGGCAGAAAGTGAAAGTGGCAGGACTTAGTGGGAGAAGGAGAGAGGAAAGAAGAAACCTTAGCCTAGGTTATCCTCTGGTGTCCTGACTTGGGCAACTGGTGTATGGTGATGACGCCCATCCAAATAGAGAGGAGAAGAGGGGCAACAGGCTTAGTAAGGAAAGATGATGGACTCATATTTGGGCCCTTGACTTTGAGGGGGCTTAATGACGTTGAGGTTTCTATCAGGCAACTAGATTTGCATATCTAGAGGTAATAAAGGATTCTGGTCTTGAGACCAGAGAAGTCATGAGGGTCTACAGCGTTTGAAACCATGGGGTAAGGGCATCTCCCTGGGAGAGCAGGATGAGAAGAGATGCTCAGGAGAAGGGTCCTGGAAGAAGCAACACTGAAGGAATAGCAGAGGCGAAGCATTTCCCAAAGAGGACCCAGGAGGTGGGAGGAAAACTGGGGCTCTCTGTGGCGTGGTACTCAAGGAGTTTGTCAAGAGGAAGAATGGCAGGGCCGTTGCACTTAGCCACCAGAAGCTCAAGGGCTGACCTCATGTTGAGCCATTCCTAGGGAATGGTAGCAGCAGAAGGGAGATTGCACTGAGTTAAAGGGCAAACAGGAGGTAAAGAGCTCGGGACTGGTGGGTTAGATTATTCTTTCTAGAAGCTTGGAAAGAAAGGAATGGCTGGGGGACTTTGAGTCGGGGAATATATCTTATTTTGTTTTTAAGCTTTTGATTAGGCATATATGCTGAGGGGAGAAAGCCAATGAGGAGAGATTCAGAAAGGAGGAGTTAGGTGATGGAGCTATGTCCTGTCCTGGGAGAAGCATTCAAGAAGGGATGAGTGGATTCAGAATGAGTGGTGTGTCAGCTTCAGATGGGAAGAGAAATGAGGAAGGACATGAGGACAGGCACAGATGTAAGTAAAGAGAGATCCAACCCTATTTGCAACACATGTAAATCTGAGAAATGTAGTTCTTTTTTTTTTTTTTTTAAGATTTATTTTATTTATTTGAATGACAGAGTTACAGAGAGAGGTAAAGCAAGGGGGTGGGCTTCCATCCACTGATTCACTCACCAAATGACCACAGCCACCAGAGCTGAGCTGATTCAGAGCCAGGAGTCTGGAGCTTTCTCTAGGTCTCCCACCCTGGTGCAGGGGCCCAAGGACTTGGGCCATCTTACACTGCTTTCCTAGGCCATAGCAGAGAGCTGGATCAGAAATAGAGCAGCTGGCCGGCGCTGTGGCTCAATAAGCTAATCCTCAGCCTGCGGTGCCGGCATCCCCGGTTCTAGTCCCGGTCGGATTCTGTCCCGGTTGCCCTCTTCCAGGCCAGCTCTCTGCTGTGGTCCGGGAGTGCAGTGGAGGATGGAGACCCCATGGGAGACCAGGAGAAGCACCTGGCTCCTGCCTTCAGATCAGCGCGGTGTACTGGCCGCAGCGTGCTGGCCGCGGCGGCCATTGGAGGGTGAACCAACTGCAAAGGAAGACCTGTCTCTCTCACTTTCCAATTTGCCTGTCAAAAAATAAATAAATAAAAAATAATAAAAAAGAAATAGAGCAGCTAGGACTTGAACCAGTGCCCATATGGGATGCTGGCGCTGCAGACCAGGACTTTAACTTGCTGTGCCACAGCGCTGGCTCCTGTACTTCTTTATAATAAAAACTAATGTTGGGGCCAGCGCCATGGCGTGGCAGGTAAAGCTGCCGCCTGCAGTGCCGGCATCTCATATAGGCACTGGATTGAGACCTGGTTGCTCTACTTGCAATCCAGCTCTCTGCTATGGCCTGGGAAAGCAGCAGAAGATGGCCCAAGTCCTTGGGCTCCTGCACCCGCGTGAGAGATCTGGAAGAAGCTCCTAGCTCCTGACTTTAGTTTGGCCCAGCTCCAGCCATTAAAGACATTTGGGGAGTGAACCAGCAAATGGAAGACCTCTCTTTTTTCTTTTTTAAGATTTTATTTATTTATTTGAGAGGTAGAGTTACAGACACTGAAAAGGAGAGACAGAGAGAAAAGTCTTCCTTCCATTGGTTCACTCCCCAAATGGCTGCAATGGCCAGAGCTGAGCTGATCCGAAGCCAGGAGCCAGGAGCTTCCTCTGGATCTTCCACACAGGTGCAGGGGCCCAAGAACTTGGGCCATCTTCTACTGCTTTCCCAGGCCACTGCAGAGAGCTGGATTGGAAGTGGAGCAGCTGAGACTCGAACCGGCACCCATTTCAGACCGGGGCTTTAACCTGCTGCACCACAGCACCGGCCCCTTGGCCTTCTTTTTGTAATCTTTCCCCATTTGTTTTATGATATATAATTCAAAAGCTTATGTGGTCCAGTTTTCCTCTGAGCCCTACAGGTAGGTCACCTGAAAAGTATTTGCCCACTGTCGAAGAAAGTCTTTAATACCCATATGGCAGCCTCTTTTTCTTTCCCTGTCTGTCCCAACTTTCTTCATATGCTCCACTGGCACTGAGCAGTGGCTGTCCTCTCTCAAAGGCCTGTGGTCACGACTGAAAGCCCCACTTCCCTTGGAGAGGTTGGTACCCACGTGATGCCTTGCCTGTGCTGGCTTCTGTCAGGTGTCCCCTTGCACGCCAATCCAGTGTTTCATTCTCTCCCTTGGGATTAGGTGAGCAACAGCCCGCTGTCTGAAGAGGCCGTCCTGGGCTTTGAATATGGAATGAGCATTGAGAGCCCAAAGCTGCTGCCCATCTGGGAGGCTCAGTTTGGCGATTTCTTCAACGGAGCCCAGATCATCTTCGACACGTTCATCTCAGGAGGTTGGTGTCAGTGTGATCGTGAGGGGATGGATGCACAGTCCCGGGCCTCGCAGGCCCAAATGAATAAAAAAGATTCTTGCCACTGCAGGGTCTCTGGAGAGCTGGGGGATCGCCCTGCCAGCCTTCTGGGGGTGGCTGCTAAGGGACAGCCTAATGAGCTGCCAACTGGACGCTTTGCCGCTAGGGATCCCGAGACCAGGCTAGGAAGTGCAGGCAATGGAAACAGTTTGACAGGGTCAGGCAGCAGACCAAGGCATTTCAGACTCTTCTCTTTCTGTTTCCAGGAGAGGCCAAGTGGCTCCTGCAAAGTGGCATTGTCATCCTGCTTCCCCATGGCTACGACGGGGCTGGCCCAGACCACTCATCTTGTCGAATAGAGCGTTTCCTGCAGGTATGTTGAAGGCCTTCTCGGGTCAAAGAGACACTTTGCTGATTGCCAGGTGCTTTGGAACAGAAGTATTTCTTGTACCTAGCTGAAGATGCACCTTAAACTGCAAGACATTGCAGTATGGGAACAAAACAGGTTTAACGCAAGGTTGGGACTCCTTGGAAACCTAGTATGTCTGTTGTGATGGTTTCATGGGTGTACAGCAATCAAAGCATTCACATGGGTCTGTGTTCAGTGGCTTCTGTACCAGGCTGGTCATCAGAATCACAGGGACCAGCTCAGAGCAAATTCTCAGGAGCAGTGAGTATCCAAGAGTCTGTATTTTTATTTATTTTCATTTATTTATTTGAAAGGTGGAGCCACAGAAAGGCAGAGGCAGAGAGAGAGAGATATAGATTTTCTATCCAGTGGTTCACTCCCCAAATGGCTGCAATGGCAGGAGCTGTGCTGATCCAAAGCCAGGAGCCAGGAGCCAGGAGCTTCTTCCAGGTCTCCCACGTGGGTGCAGGAGCTCAAGCACTTGGGCCATCTTCTACTGCTTTCCCAGGTCATAGAAGAGAGCTGGATTGGAAGTGGGGCAGCCATGACATGAACTGGCACCCATATGGGATGCTGGCACCACAGGCAGAAGCTCAGCCTACTATGCCATAGCGCCAGTCCCAGGACACAGGTGTCTTAAATGGCATCTTCCCCCTCCTCCAAAAAGAATGAATTTCATAAGTACAACTTTAGGACTATAGTGATTCTTCCCATCATACCCGCCCTCCCAGCCCCACCCACACCTCACCCCCTCCTCCCTTTACCTTTCCCAGTCCCATTCTCCATTGAGGAAAACAAAAACAAAAACAAAAACAAAAACAAAAAAACAAACTGTTCCTTGACAGTTAAGACAAGGGCTGTTCAAGCCATTAAATGGCATCTTTACTGCTAGGCTAAACATCTGCCCTGTTATCATTTTGTGAGAATCATTACAAATTCTCCTTTATCCATATTACTACCTTGTAGTTTATTAAGAAATTAAATATACAGAAAAGTTGAAAAAAATTTAGAGTGAACATTCATATGTCCACCCACTAGATTCCACCATTATTATTTTCCTACACTTGTTTTCTCATTTGTCTCTTCATCTATTATCCCTTATCCATCAATCCATCTTATTTTTTGGTTTATTTCAAAGTAAATGGAAACATCAATACTAATCTCCCAAAATGCTTCAACACCATATCATGAATAGTTTTAGCATATGTGCAGATAAAATATACAAATAGACGAATCATTAGTAGACAGGTAGGTAGATCGATAGATGGATAGTTACGTTGATAGATAATGACGCAGAGAAATAATTTCTGTAAAAATTAGATTACACGGGTCTGGCATTATGGCATAGTGGGTAAAGCTGCTGCCTCTGATACTGGCAACCTATGTGTGTGCTGGTTTCTGACCTGGTTGCTCCACTTCCGATCCAGCTCCTTGCCAACGTGCCTGGGAAAGCAGTGGAAGATGGCTTAAGTTCTTGGGCCCCTGCACCCATGTGGGAGTCCTGGAAGAAGCTCCTGGCTCCTGGCTTTGGCCCAGCCTAGCCCCAGCTGTTGTGGCCATTTGGGAAGTGAACCAGTGGATGGAAGATCTCTCTTTCTCTCTGTCTCTCCTCCTCCTTCCTCTCTCTCTCTCTCTCTGTAACTCTGCCTTTCAAATGATCTCATTTTTTTTTTAAATGAGATTACAGAAATAAATAGTAGATGAGTTAAAGAAATACATTGAAATATGAAACTACAAATTTTCAAAAGAATATAGGAAATAGGTAGGCAGGATGTGAAATCTGGGAGGCATCAGTGAACAAATATTTACAATCATAAGGCTTGTGAAACCCTCAGAGGTGGGACTACAGATAGAGCAGATGGTGCCTCAGCACCGAGCCCTGGGGTAGCACAGCCTTACAGGGTTGCAGAGAAGAGCAAATGAGACTGAGAAGTAGTTATTAAACTACTAGTTTTGTTTGTTTGTTTGTTTTGACAGGCAGAGTGGACAGTGAGAGAAAGAGAGACAGAGAGAAAGGTCTTCCTTTACCGTTGGTTCACCCTACAATGGCCGCCTGCAGCCGGCGCACCGCACTGATCCAAAGCCAGGAGCCAGGTGCTTCTCCTGGTCTCCCATGGGGTGCAGGGCCAAAGGACTTGGGCCATCCTCCATTGCACTTCCTGGCCACAGCAGAGAGCTGGACTGGAAGAGGAGCAACCAGGACAGAATCTGGCGCCCCGACCGGGACTAGAACCTGGGGTGCCAGCGCTGCAGGTGGAGGATTAGCCTATTGAGCCGTGGTGCCGGCAAACTACTAGTTTATTTATACTAGTTTTTATTTATTAAAAGCACTTTTAATTGGCAAATTAGAATTTGTATACATTCATGGCATACAATGTGTTTGATTTGGGTATACTTTTGGAATGATTGGATCAAGTTCATTAGCATCCATTGTCTCACATAATAGAAGGGCCTCCTGGCCAATCTCTATTCTCTCTGACGCTCAGGAACTAATCCCCTCCAAAGAGTCCCCATACAGGAATGTGAATCACTCCCACGGGTCTTGGTCCATGCCTGAAACAGGCAGGCCCTGTGGCCCCATTTGACCTTACTGAGTTCCGAAGGGGCTTCAACTTCAGAGAATTTTTGTCTTTATTTTCCCCCAGCGTGCTTCCTCACACCTTCTCTCCCAATTGGCAGGTGTTAATGAGACTTCTCAGGGTTTTGTCCACCTCCTTTCCTTCCCTCCACTGTATCTAGGGTAGGGTTAGGGGTCACCCCCCAGCTTCCTATCCCATCAAGATCTTCTGAAATTTAATTGAGCTTTTCAACCTTCTGGGTTGAAAATTTATGTGTTTTAAGGCAAAAACGAAAGTATTTTAGAAATGTCCTCCCCAGATGATTCTTACACTCGGCTGTGTTTGGGAAAACTGTTAGGTGACATAGAATGGGGCCAACGGAGAGGTGCAATGGAGAACTCTGCTTTGGTGACTATTTCACAGGCTATTCATTTACCTTCTAGGTTCTCTGTTACGGGGAGTGTTACAGAGCTGTACTGTCTAGAGTGCTGTGCTTCCCTTTGGCTAGCCTGTCGCCACAGTGATGGAAGCAGATGACCTGAGCGTTCTCCTTTCTTTCCACTTCTCTCCCAGATGTGTGACAGCACAGAAGAGGGGGTGGATGGAGACACTGTGAACATGTTCGTGGTCCACCCAACTACTCCCGCGCAGTATTTCCACCTGCTTAGACGACAGATGATTCGCAACTTCAGAAAACCCCTCATAGTTGCTTCTCCTAAGATGTTACTCAGGTTTCCTGTGAGTAGAAAAAACTGGTTCCTAAGCCTTTCTCCTTTTGTCATTTTTGTGAATTTCATTTCTTCGCTCTCTTCTGAATCTAAGAGGTCTTCAAAAAGTTTGTGGGAAATGCATATTGTGAGAAAACTATGCATGGATTTCACAAATTTTTTGCACCAGAATGAACTTAACTTTTGAGTCTATGTTCCCATGAAATTTTTGAAGTACTTTCCTATTTTGAAATTACAGAAACACTTTTTTTTAGAGATTTATTGTATTTATTTGAAAGAGTTACAGAGAGAGATAGAGAGGTAGAGAGGTAAAATGGAGAGTCTTCCATCTGTTGGTTCACTCCCCAAATGGCCTCAACAGCTGGAGCTAAGCAGATCTGAAGCCGGGAGCCAAGAGTTTCTTCTGGGTCTCCCACGCGGGTGCAGGGGCCCAAGGACTTGGGCCATCTTCTACGGCTTTCCCAGGCCATCAGCAGGTAGCTGGATCAGAAATGGAGCAGCTGGGACTTGAACCAGTGTCCATATGGGCACTGCAGGCCAGGGCTTCAACCTGCTGTGCCACAGCACCACCCACCCCCACCTTTTTTTCAGTAACACTTTTTAAAAAGATTTATTTATTTATTTGAAAGGTAGAGTGGCACAGAGAGAGGGAAAGACAGACAGATCTTCTATCTGTTGATTCACTCCCCAGATGGGCACAACAGCAGGCCTGGGCCATGCTGACGCGAGAAACTCCATCCAGGTCTCTTATGTGGGTGGCAAGGGCCAAGCACATGGGCCAATTTACTCCACCTTCCCAGGTGCTTTAGCAGGGAGCCTGATAGGAAGCTGAGCAGCTGGGACTTGAACTGGTGCCCATATGTGATGCTGGCATCCCAAGCAGCAGCTTGACCCACTGTGCCACAATACCTGCCCCTCGGTTTAGTTTAGTTTTTTTTTTTTTTAATATTTATTTATTTGGAAAGTCAGAGTTACACAGAAAGAGGAGGAGACAGAGAGAATGAGAGATCTTTCAGCCACTGGTTCACTCCCCAGCTGGTCACAATGGCCAGGGCTGGGTCGGGATGGGTCAGGCTGACGTCAGGAGCCAGGAACTTCATCTGGATCTCCCACGTGGGTGCAGGGGCCCATACACTTGGGCCATCTTCCACTGCTTTTCTCAAACCATTAGCAGGGAGCTAGATTGGAAGTGGAGCAGCCGGGACATGAATTGGCATCCATATGGGATGCCAGCATCGCAGGTGGTGGCTTTACTCGCTATGCCACAATGCCAGCCACATCTATTTAGTTTTAATTGACTTTTATGCTTTCATATTTCTTAAAACTTTTAAGAACAATTGGAAATATAGGTAGCTTTCCATGTCTGTGTAATAAAACCCGGCGATAGCAGGTGTTATCACATGGGTATCCTAATATAATCAGCAGCAACTTGTGAGAGAAAATGTAGTCTAAGTCATCCAAACGCTATTATGATGATAGTAGGAACTTAGAAATTTAAAGTATTTTGATGAAAATCAATGATATTATTCATCATCCTTTATGAAGATTTTTTTTCTGTTAAGTGATTTATCACAGATAGACTCTTGTTTTAATGAACTTAAATACTGTAACAATATAGCTTATTGATACTGTAATCTAAAGAGGTACATTTTGGGGCCAGCATTGTGGCAGGTAAAGGCACCACCTGTGACTCCAGCATCCCATATGGACGTGGGTTTGAGTCCTGGCTGCTTCACTTTTTTTTTTTTTTTTTTTTTGACAAGCAGAGTGGACAGTGAGAGAGAGACAGAGAGGAAGGTCTTCCTTTTGCCGTTGGTTCACCCTCCAATGGCCGCCGCAGCCAGCGCGCTGCGGCCGGCACACCGCGCTGATCCGAAGCCAGGAGCCAGGCACTTATCCTGGTCTCCCATGGGGTGCAGGGCCCAAGGACTTGGGCCATCCTCCACTGCACTCCCTGGCCATAGCAGAGAGCTGGCCTGGAAGAGGGGCAACCGGGACAGGATCCGGCGCCCCGACCGGGACTAGAACCCGGTGTGCCAGCGCCGCAAGGCAGAGGATTAGCCTAGTGAGCCACGGCGCCGGTCCTGGCTGCTTCACTTCTAATCCAGCTCCCTGCTGATGAACCTGGGAAAGCAGTGGAAGATGGCCCAAGTCCTTGCACACACGTGAGACCCAGAGGAAGCTCCAGGTTGCTGGCTTTGGTCTCGCCCAGCCCTGGCTGTTGTGGCCATTTAGGGAGTGAACCAGCAGATGAAAGATATCTTCCTGTATCTCTCCCACTCTCTGTCTCTGTAACTGTGCCTTTCAAATAAATAAAAATAAATATTTTTAAAAAATGTACATTTTTGGGGTTGGTGTTGTATAGTAAGTTAAGCTGTCACTTGGGAAGCCAGCATCGGACATCAAGTGATGCTTCCCATCCAGTGCTGCTCTGCTTCCCGTCCAGTGCCCTGCTGATGCATCTGGGAAGCAGCAGATACTCAAGTACGTGAGTCCCTACCACCTTCTTGGAGACATAGATGAAGCTCCTGGCTCCTGGCTTTGACCTTGCCCAGCCCTGGCTTTTGTGGCCATCTGGGGAGTAAACCAGCAGATGGAAGATCTGTTTCTCCCCCTCGCTCTGTCACTCTGCATTTTAAATAAATAAATAACTATTTAAAAAATAAATAAATAAACGAGAACATTTCCTCTTGGCTTATTAGTTTCAGCATGATGAAGCCTTCAAATCACAGAAATAGGCTAGTTTTCACACAGCAGCCTCCAAGATAATAAATACTACCAGGCATGCATCTATCCCATCTGCTCTCATTTTCCGTACCATATGAGAGTTTTAATCAGGATTGGTATTAAAAATTTCGTGTTTATTTCCATGCAACTACTGAGGTGAAATAAGATGTTTAGAATTCAGCTGTTTATGAATGTCTGGTGCTACTGCCCAAGATTGTAAAGTGAAGTGTGTATTTGGAATTGAGATGCATTGAGAAGAGCTGTGATTTGCTTCCATCCATTATCATTTTAAGCAGTTCCTGGCACTCAGAGGGGAGTAAAGAGGTACTCATTCTCAGTGTGGGCCCTTTCATGGCTCTCAACTCAGAGCCTCCTTAAAATCTCTGCTCTGGGTATGTGACTGGACTCACCCTAATCTTGGCCCTGGGTGTCAACATGGAGGAAACACACTTGCATTTCACCAGCGGCCACAGCACATTTGGAGTAGTCTACAGCATTCCTGTGAACAACCTGATACATGTTGAGATGGACTCATGGGCCTAGAAGTATCTCAGAACACTCCAGCAAAGTTAATACAGTCCCTTTAACACAGTGTGTCTGATAAGTCTCTTTTGATGCATGTAATTGGAAACAGCAGTGTTAAAGCAGCAAAGTCAAAAAGTAAAATTACCATAATACATTTTAAGATATATATACATATACATATATATATATATATATATATATATATGTATACACACACACACACACAGATTTGGATTTGTAACCCACCTTGCATTGTATCTCCACGGTTGTTAACCTGCTCCCTCAATCATAACTATAAAGGAGTGAAATGATCTTAATTGTACTATTACTGAATGCTGAGTAAACTGTTAGATTTTTTTATTGAGAATTTCTTTCACAGTTTCAAACTGAGAAAGAGAGATCTTGTTCTGGCCATAGTACTCCTCTCCTGTTCCCAGGTCTGATATGTCCTGCAGGGTAGTGCTGGGGCCCGGGACATTGAGTTGCTGCTTGGGTCGCCTGCATCCCCTATCAGTGCCAGTTCAAGTCCTGGCTCCTCTGCTTCCATTCAAGCTCTCTGCTAATGTATCTGGGAAGGCAACAGAGGGAGGCCCATGCATGTATTAGGACCCTGTGACCCATGTGGAAGACGCAGATAGAGTTCTGGGACCCTGGCTTCCGCCTGGCCCAGCTCTGGCTGTTGCAGCCATCTGCAGAGTACACCAGTGGATGGGGGAACTTTCAGTGTCCCTCCCTGGCTCTTTGTCAGTCTGCCTTTCAGATAATTATACCCTAAAAACTGTATAACTTATCAAATAAGAGAAATCTTTACATATGTTCATTAAATGTGTAAGCACACTTCTAAGAGAAAGCAAACACAATCACTGTTGAATTCTCATTTCTTCCTGACTCTGTCCTGAGAAGTGGAGATCAACACAGGGCTGCAGTTCAGAATGGAGAAAGCTTGCCTCTCTCACACCTCACTGAGTAATACGAACAGCCAAGCTAAAAAACAAATTATTTGAGAGCAGGGAAACAGAGAGAGACAGAGACAGAGAGACAGAGAGACAGAGACTCAGAGAGGAAAAACTCCTGTCCCCAAGTGTATTCCCCAAATAGCCACCACAGCCAGGGCTGGGCCGGGCCAAAGTCACATGGGAGGCAGGAAGCCAATTACTGGAGCCATCACTGCTGCCTCCCAGGGTCTGCATTGGTAGGAAGCTGGGGTCAGGAACCAGAACCAGGAAGTGAACTCAGGCTCCCCGAGGTGTGATGCTGGTGTCTAAACTACTAAACTAAATGCCCACCCCCAAGCTGAATATTTAGTGTTTATTTTTTAGGTTGTATCACAGTATCCTAGCTCCACAATGGCCTACTCAAAATGTCCTGTGCTCATTTGAGATGAGAATTTGGGGCACTGCCTAGATGACAGCAAAGGAGATCAAGTCCCCAGACTTGGCCTCATCAATTATCTGCTTTAGAGTCTTTGCAACCAGTGATTATTTATTTGTTTAGTTACTTTAAAATAATTTATTCGAAAGACACTAAAACAGACACAAAGAGAGAGCCAGAGAAAGACAGAGACAGAGGTTCCCATTGCTGTTTTATCCTCCAAATGTTTGCAACAGCTGGAGCTAGGCCAGGCTGAAGTAAGGAGCCAGGAGCTCAGTCTGGGTCTCCCATGTGAGTGACAGGGACCCAAGAATTGAGCCATCACCTGCCTTTTTTTTTTTTTTTTTTTAAGATTTATTTATTTATTTGAAAGGCAGAATTAGAGAGAGGGACAAGAGAGAGAGAGAAAGGGAGAGATATAGAGGTCTTTCATCCACTGGTTGACCCCAAATGGCCATAATGGCCAGGACTGGGCCAATCCAAAACCAGGAGCCTCTTCTGGGTCTCTCACACAGGTGCAGGGGCACAAGAACTTGAGCCATCTTCCACTGCTTTCCTAGGCCATCAGCAGGGAGCTGGATCAGAAGTGGAGCAGCTGGGACCCGATCCAGCACACACATAAGATGCTGGCACCACAGGCAGATGCTTAACCTACTATGCCATAGCGCCAGCCCCTCCTTTTTTTTTTTTAAGATTTATTTTATTTATTTGAAAGGTAGTATTACCAAGAGAGAGGGAGAGATAGAGATAGTGGGATCTTCCATTTGCTGGTTCACTCCCCAAATGACTGAAACTTCCAGGGCTAGGGCAGGCTGAAGCCAGGAGCCAGGAGCTTTATCCAGGTCTCCCACATGGGCCAAGCACTTGGCCACCCCCGACTGCTGTCCCAGGCTATCAGGAAGCTGGATTGGAAGCATAGCAGCCTGGACTAGAACCAGCGCCCATATAGGATGACGGTGTTGCAGGTGGTGATTTAACCTGTTACTCCACAATGCTAGCCCAGGATGCAGATACTTAAGAAGCTGGACTGGAAGTGTTGTAGCTGAGACTCAAACCAGGCACTCTGATATAGGATGCAAGCATCCCAAGAGGCACCTTCACAGCTATGCCACACACCTGCTCCACAAGTACATATTGAAGTTGAACTAATCAATCAAATTTCCTTCCATCACAGAAATAGACATATGCTACCACTAGTTTTACTGGCCAAATAAATTTCCCTTATAAACTGTAGTCAAAAAACCTACAAGGGGCTGGCGCTATGGTACAGTGGATAAAGCTGCTGTCTATAGCACCAGCATCCCTTATGGGTGCCAGTTCAAGTCCTGGCTGCTCCACTTCCGATCCAACTCCCTACTAATGCACTTGGGAAAGCAATGGAAGACAACTCAAGTCCTTGGGCTCCTGCACCCACATGGGAGACCCAGAAGAAGCTCCTGGCTCCTGGCTTCAGATCGGCCCAGCTCCAGCCTTTGCAGCCATTTGGGGAGTGAACAAGTAGATGGAAAAATCTCCCTCTCTGCCTCTGCTTCTGTCTCTCTCTGTAACTCTGCCTTTCAAATAAATAAATCTTAAAAACAAAACAACAACCCTACAAGCAGGGTTGGGCATTGTAGCACAGTGTATTAAACTACTGCTTCTGACACCATCATCCCATATCACAGTGCCTGTTTCTAGTCCTGACTGCTCTGCTTCTAATCCAGCTTCCTGTTAATGCATCTCGGGAGGCAGCAGATGGTGGGCTCACATATTTGGATCCCTGCCACTCACATAGGAGACCCAGATGGATTTCCTGGCTTCTGGCTTCAGCATGGCCCAGCCCTGGCTGTTGTGGGCTTTGGGGAATGAACCAGTAGATGGAAGACTCCCTCTCTCTCTGTGCCTCTACCTTTCAAGTGGATGAGAATAAGTAAATAGACATTCAAAAGGAAAACCTAGAAAAATGGAAACAGTTGTCCTAGTTTAGCTGTTTTTGTTCACGATATAAATTCTATAAAATGTGTTCAATTCTAAAAAATTAAGTTTTTTTTTTTATTCATAAAGCTCTGTGATCAAACTGAAATTCTGATTCTGAACAGTTTGTTTTGAGGGCAGATGTTTGGCTTGGCAGTTAAGATGCTGGCTGGGATGCCTGCATCCCATATTGGAGTACCTGGGTTTGAGTCTTGGCTCCAGCTTGCGATTCCAGTTCCTGCTAATGCAGCCCCTGGGAAGCATCAGTAACAGTTCAATTCATTGGTTGGAGACCTGGATTAATTTCCTGGCTCCTGGCTTTGACCTGGCTCTGTCCCAATCATTGTGGGCATTTGGGAACTCTCTCCCTTTGTTTCTCTGCATCTCTTTTGCATTTCCACGAGCAGAGTGAGGGTTCTAGTTGCTATGTATCCTCATCAGTACTTTGTATCACCAGCTAATTTTTTTTTGTTTTGACAGGCAGAGTGGACAGTGAGAGAGAGAGAGACACAGAGAGAAAGGTCTTCCTTTTGCCGTTGGTTCACCCTCCAATGGCCGCCGTGGCCCGGCTGGCGCGCTGCGGCCGGCGCATCATGCTGATCCGAAGCCAGGAGCCAGGTGCTTCTTCTGGTCTTCCATGTGGGTGCAGGGCCCAAGCACTTGGTCTATCCTCCACTGCACTCCCTGGCCATAGCAGAGAGCTGGCCTGGAAGAGGGACAACAGGGATAGAATCCGGCGCCCCGACCGGGACTAGAACCCGGTGTGCCAGCGCCGCAAGGCGGAGGATTAGCCTATTGAGCCACGGCGCCGGCCCGTTTTCTTTTGTTTTACTTTGATCCACCTTAATTAGTGGCACCGGCTTTTGGCAGCAGCCAAAACATAAAGTTATGTTACTCTGAAGTATATAGGAATGACATTTTGGGGGAAAATACTATATTTATCATTTCATATATTTACTGCAGTGCTGGGCTAGAGTTTTAACACTAATTTTTACTTTTTAATTTTTATTATTTTTTAAAAATTTTTCGTATACAGCTAAGATTTTTTTTTTTATTTGAGAGGCAGAGTTACAGGCTGTGGGATGCAGAGACAGAGAGAAAGGTCTTCCTTCCGGCCGGAGCTGCACTGATCCAAAGCCAGGAGCCAGGAGCTTCCTCCCAGTCTCCCACATGTGTGCAGGGGCCCAAGCACTTGGGCCATCCTCTACTGCTTTCCCAGGCCGTAGCAGAGAGCTAGATTGGAAGAGGAGCAGCTGGGACTCGAACCAGCGCCCATATGGGATGCTGGTACCTCAGGCAGAGGATTAACCTACTGCACTATGGTGCCGGCCCTGAGTTTTAACACTAATTTTTAATAAAGATCCCATGTAGGTAAAAGTTTTAGCTCTTTTCCATTGATTGACAGATATACGGTTTTCTTGCCCCTTAGGCAGCTGTGTCAACTCTTGAAGAAATGGCACCAGGAACCACATTCAGACCAGTCATTGGCGACTCATCTGTGGACCCAAAAAAGTAATTTGCTGTGTATCCCTGTTTGCATACTCTGTGGTAGAATTTGAGTGAATGGGAAAAGCAGTTTGTGGTAAGGAATCCAAAGTGACCAAAATCTCCTTGATGCTGATGCAAGTCCTGTGAGTGAGTGGGGCAGGAGCCCAAGTGTGTGTGGGGCAGCGCACTTTGGAGGCAGGTGCTGCTAGCTTCCTTGGGGAGGCACTTCAGCCTGCATCGTCTCTCCTTTCTCCTTGTAAATTCTCACGTAACAATACCTGTTCCCCGGCCGTTGCCCCTCTTCCACACAACAGGGTCAAGACACTCATATTCTGCTGCGGCAAACATTTCTACGCGCTGCTGAAGCAAAGGGAATCTTTGGGGGCCAAGAAGCACGACTTTGCCATCATCCGAATCGAGGAGCTCTGCCCTTTCCCCTTGGACTCCCTGCAGCAAGAGATGAGTAAATATAAACAAGTTCAAGGTAAGGGGTTGTCGTTGGCAGGGTCCTTTGCTTCTCAAATGTCTCAAATGCAAAGGGGTGGTGGGGGCGGTGACAGCAGGTTGAAAATCAAATCTGGCGTCCCAGGATAGGAACAAACCACCATGAAAGTTAGTGTCCCCATGTCTCTCATGGTGTCCCTCTCCTTCTTGCTTTCTTTCATTGGAAACAATTTCTTGAGAGTTTGGGGCGTGTCAGTGTCATTTTTGAGAAATATGGTGTAATGGTAAATGACAAGCCTTTTCAACAAATAGGGCTGGCATGTTGGCTGTCCATATGTACCTTGTACTGAAATTAACTCAAAATTCATCATAGACCTATTCATAAAATGAAAAGCTGTAAACATTTTGGAAGAAAACAGGAGAAAATCTTTGTGTCCCTGGGTGAGGGAAAACGTTCCTAGGTACACCAAAGCACATTTCATAAAAGAAACGTAGGAATTTATTAAAATGAAAAGCTTTTGTACTGTGAAGGGTATTGTTGAGAAAGTGAAAAGACAAGCCAAAGAAAGACCAGAAGAAAGTATCTATAAATACATATCTAACAAAAAACTATCTAGAATACTTAAAGAACTCTTAACACTCAAGAGTAAGAAAACAAATAGTCCAGTTTTTCAAAACGTGCAAAAGTGTTGAAGAGGTGCTTCTCCAAAGAATGACATGGGAAATAAACACATGACAAGGTGGCTCCATGTCCTTAGTGATAAGGGAAATGAAAATTAAGCCAACATGAGATACAGCAACACACTCAATAAAGTGGATCAAAGTAAAACAAAAGAAGACAATAGCTGGTGATACAAAGTACTGATGAGGATACATAGCAACTAGAACCCTCACTCTCTGCTGGTGGAAATGCACATTACTGCAGCCACCCTGGGCAACAGTCAGCTTCTTATACAGTTAAACAGTGAGTTACTGTGTGACCCAGCCATTCCACTCCTAGGTGTTTACCCAAGAGAAAATGCATTCACAAAAGAATCTGCAGGCAAATGTTTATAGCAGCTTTTTAAATAATTGCCCCAAACTGGAAACAACCACAATGTCCTTCAACCAGTCAATGGGTAAACAATTTGTGGTATGTCTGTATGATATCATACTGTTCAACAATGAAAAGGAACAAATTACTGCTGTCTACAATAACATAGAGGAATCACAAATAGATTGTGCTAATTCCAGGAAGCCAGGTCCAGAAGGTTGACATACTATATGAATCCATTCATAAGACATTCTGGGAAAGGCAGAACTCTAGGGGTGGGCATTTGGCACAGTGGTTAAGACACTACTGGGCACATCTGCATCCTATATCGGAGTGCCCGAGTTGAGTCCCAGCTACTCCACTTCTGATCCAGCTTCCTGCTCATGCACCTGGGAAGGCAGCAGAGGATGGTTCATGTACTTGGGTCTCTGCCACCCACATGAGAAACGCAGATGGAGTTCCAAGCCCTGGCTATCGTGAACATTTGGGAAGTGAACCAGTGGATGGGAGATCACTGTTTCTCTGACTTTCAAATAAAAATAAAAAAGATGAGTAGTTGGCCAGGTGGTCGGGGGTGGGAGTAGGAGATGGCCACAAAGAGACAGGACAAGCTAATTTTGGGAATTGTTAGAACTGTCCTGTGTCATGCTTGTGGTGGTAGATACATGAGTATGTATTTTCAGGAGAAACAAAGAGGAAAAACATGTATTTAATTGAGGTTGGATATCTGTCACCAATTTTTTTGTTTATATTTACTTATGGTACTGAAATGAACTTTTTTTATACATATATTTGTAGCTGTTATTTGGAGTCAGGAGGAACCTCAGAACATGGGTCCATGGTTTTTTGTTTCTCCAAGATTTGAGAAGCAATTGGCCTGCAAGGTAATTCTCTCTCTCTGTCTCTCATGCATGTGTGCACACACTGGTGCAATTCTTGACTATTTTTAGGAAGCAAAAAACAGTGAGAAGAGCAATTGCAGTTCTATGTATCTTACATTCTGCTGTGAATGGAACTCAGTTCACTCCTCTGATACTAGTCTGCTGGACGCAAATCATTTCACAAGTGAATAATTCTATTTAAGGACATTCTACAGCTAAAGCCAAGTGATAGTTCCTCAAGGATAGGATAAATTCAAGAACTCATCTCTCCTTATTATCATGTTCCATTATCCATTCCGTTATTATGGAATTTAGCTAGTTATTAGTGGTGACATTTCTCTCCATTTTATTCCATATAACTTATTTTTCCAAAGAGGTGATTTATGGTTAAATAAGAGAAGTACCTGTGCTTTCTTGGTGATACCGAGCAGAGCTCTGACCAAGTGAAAATGTCATTTGCTTTCTTCTCTGCTCCAATGACAGCTCCGTCTTGTGAGCCGGCCCCCTCTGCCAGCACCTGCTGTGGGAATTGGCACAGTCCACCTACAGCAGCACGAAGATGTCCTCAGGAAGACCTTTGCTTGATGACGCCCTTTGAAGACTCCCTCCTTCGTTTCAGGAAAACTGCTATAAAAAGAAAGGCCTGCTTCCTCTACCCCTCCTGTGTCTATTAGGTGACGTGAAACGGATTCCCCTAAGGTGTTGGGGTTGTTGTGGACAGGCTAATCTGGAAAAGGTAGAAGCAGCAGGGGAATCAGTTCTAAGTACACGAATCAGACCAGTAGATTTGATCCTTAAAACTACAGGTGTTGTGTTTGGTTAGATCTGAGCTGGAGAACTAGGTCATTACGTTGATGATTTCAGATGCCACTCTAATTAACCATACATACTTGACCTGGAAAACTTTTTAAGACTCACTGTAGAGCCAGATAGCAGGTGGCCTCAGTTCTGCTTTTTGATTTGTGTGCTGCATGTGCCTTTCATTGACTTTCCCCTTCCTTCTCCAAAGTCCCGTCACTACCGGTATTTTCATCTTATGCATTCTCTGGTGCTGCTTTCCAGCCACTCTACACAAGTATTTCACCACACACTAGCAAAACTAGATTATTCCTGATATGTGTACTGCCAAGTCTTACCCATTATCCTTCAATCTAGGTCCTATTCAATATGAATTTCTGGGTGCAAGATCTTACAGCACTGTATTTTAAAATTAAGGAATTTCAGCTATAATGACATTGCTCTGTAGTCTTTTTTTTTTTTTTTTTCGCCATAGTCTTTGCTTCTTGTTGTTCTGGTAGTAAAATCTTACTATTTCTAACTGACTTAGGTGTCTGACTGGGGGGTTTAAGTCCTCCTCAATCAGTTTTGCCTCCAAAAGGCCCTGCTGCAATATGATGTTTAAAGGGGGTATTTAAAGAACACTTATACTTTGACAGAGGGACCTTGCCAACACCAGGTGCTGGGGGATTTCTTGGAGCTCACCAACTGAGTCCCTCAGTCTGAAATTAAAGCCTGTACTAGAAGCATAACTAAACAGCAAACCACAGAAGTTCCTTGGACCTGGTGCTGTGGAGGCGCCACCGGCTCCCATTCTTGTGTCCTGACACTGTTTTTCTCAGAAGGGAGAGGGGAATCCTGGAGGCTGGAATGAGTCCATGCCCTTTGCATTTTTATAGGCAACTCACCATGACTTTCAGAATCAAATGATAGCTTGTTCTGTCCACAGCAGCAGATTCATGATTCACATCTAAAAGTGTGCAGTAAAGTCTTGATTTAACATTCCTGTAGTGTACAAAATCCTTTTCTTTTTATATACCTCAATGCTTTCTTGCTCTGTCAAGCCTTATAAATCAGGTAACTTAGCGCCACTCAAGTATGTAAGTTGGTAAAATGACAAAAGTCTATTTAATGGGAATGGTTATCAATGGTGCATATTTAATTAGGAAAAAAATTAAAGCACAATGTCATTTTCAGATCTCTTGGTTTCTTGAATTAAGTCTCGAAAGTCTAGGCACAAAATGAGTTGGCAGACTGTTTTTTCTGTGTAGATCTTTCCAGATCTCTCCCTAACTTTATACCTCACGAGTCTATCTATAGGTCTTCTCTAACCTGAGCCACGAACTATGTCTTCTGTCATCTTAACCATCTTCTTTTCAATCTGAATTACTTTGCAGGAAAGGACTACTTGAAGATTTCCAAAACAAATACTCATTATTTTACTTTATTCCTCCTAGAAATTTAGTAATGTGATATCTGTATCCCATTTATATCTATTATATATATCCTCTTTATTCTAGTTTCATGCCTGATGAAGAAAATAGCTTATATTGGGTATTCTATGAGTAGAAATATTAGCAACCATGGAAAAAATGACACATTATTCTTAGTAACCAAGATCTTTCACACTGTTAGAACCATTTTGCTCAGGCTTCTGTACATACACTATTTGGGAAAAGTATTCCGAAGCACAGCCTATTGCTTTTGAAATTTGTTGTTGTTGTTTTAATTTCTTGACTAACACTGGAAAGAGCATCTCTTTTCATCAAAATGAAGCAGTAAGGGGTTTCACAAGAAGGAAGTCACTGATTAAGAATCAGTACTTTCTCTCCGGCACCGTGGCTCACTAGGCTAATCCTCCGCCTTGCAGCGCCGGCACACTGGGTTCTAGTCCCGGTCGGGGCGCCGGATTCTGTTCTGGTTGCCCCTCTTCCAGGCCAGCTCTCTGCTGTGGCCCGGGAAGGCAGTGGAGGATGGCCCAAGTGCTTGGGCCCTGCACCCCATGGGAGACCAGGAGAAGTACCTGGCTCCTGCCATCGGATTAGCGCGGTGCGCCGGCCGCGGCGGCCATTGGAGGGTGAACCAACGGCAATGGAAGACCTTTCTCTCTGTCTCTCTCTCACTGTCCACTCTGCCTGTCCAAAAAAAAAAAAAAAAAAAAAAAGAGAAAACCTTTATATTACTATTCTCTTATTTCCCTATGTCTTCCTTATTCATATGGAGAACCAGCTGTAAATGAAGAACATCAGGAAAAGATCCTTAAAGAGTAGAGTGGTGTGTAGGGGCTGGCATCATGGGGCAGCCAGTTAAGCCCTTGCCTCTGTCGCTGGCATCCCATATGAGTGCCCATTCCAGTCCCAGCTGCTCCATTCCAGATCCAGCTCCCTGCTAAAGTGCTTGGGAAAGCAGCTGAAGATGACATGACCCAAGTGCCTGGGTCTCTGCTGCCCAAGCGCACCCATTTGGAGTGAACCAGGGGATGCACGATCTCTTTTTCTCTGTAACTCTGCCTTTCAAGTAAATAAATAAATCTTTAAAAAAAAAAAAAAAGAAGAGTTGAGTGCTGTTTCATCCACAAATATTTTGATGAATACCTATGCAATTTATATGGTCTTGTTCTGGACCTTGGAAATACATGGAAGTAAAAGACCAAATGAGTTCCTGGATATTCTTAAGGGATGAACGATCTGTTTGAGAAGGCCAAACATATTACACTTCAGAGAGATGTTCTTGTTAAAAGTGCTAAAACAGGCTGGCGCTGCGGCTCACTAGGCTAATCCTCCGCCTTGCGGCGCCGGCACCCCAGGTTCTAGTCCCAGTCGGGGCACCGGATTCTGTCCCGGTTGCCCCTCTTCCAGGCCAGCTCTCTGCTGTGGCCCTGGAAGGCAGTGGAGGATGGCCCAAGTGCTTGGGCCCTGCACCCGCATGGGAGACCAGGAGAAGCTCCTGGTTCCTGGCTTCAGATCAGTGTGGTGCGCCATTGGAGGGTGAACCAATGGCAAAGGAAGACCTTTCTCTCTGTCTCTCTCTCTGTCCACTCTGCCTGTCCAAAAAAAAAAAAAGTGCTAAAACAGTATGAGGGGTCAAACTAGAGTGAAATTCCTGATACAGATTAGGTGGCATACTGTAGTTAGACAAGGGAAAGCCTTAAGTAGCTTAGGGTCAGAAAGACTGAAGAATGGTAGAAGGGGAATTCACACAACTTACCCAGAGTGTCAAAGTTTATTCCTAGACTCTTACTTGAAACATGGAGCTACCCCAGAGACAGCCGAGGTAGGTACAGGCTACTCTTCACCTTCTGTCAGATTTTCAAATGAGTGTACCTTCATTGAAAAAATATTGTATCCATGAGGCTAGCTCACAATCTCAGGAGCAGGCCACTATGGCCAGCATCCCATATTGGAGTGCCGGTTTGAGTCCCTGCTGCTCCGTTTCCAACCAGTTCCCTGCCAACATGCTGGAGAAAGCAGGGGATGATGGTTAGCTCCTGCCACCCATGTGAGAGACCCAGGCTTGATGTTTGCTGACATTTGAGTGAACCAATGGATGGATGATCTCTCTGTCACTCTGCCTTCCAAATAAATAAATAAATAATTTTAAAAACTATATTTAAGGTTACTATAGGTTATATTTGCAGGCTGCTTTAGATGATACACTACTTAAGACACTCCATCCCATCTGGAATGTCACTGTGTGGCAGAGATTAGACAAATATGAAAATGATTAATACAGAGGCAAGGATGAGTTCGAAGGATGGGAGATTAAGACCGTGGCAGAGTGGCTTTTCCAAAAATGGCCACAGCAATATTTTGAGTCCCACATGCTCTTCCAGAACCTTGCCACACTCTCACCTAGGGGCAGGGTCTTTTCTCCCTCTTGGAAATCGAGCTGGTCTTTGTGGCCACCTCTAGCAGTACGGTAAGAGATGCTGTGTCCCTTGGATCGCTGCTACCATGCTAAGAGGGAGCCTGGGCCACACAGAGAATCCATCTTCTCCCCCCAACCCCCAGCTGAGAAAGGTAGAATGGAGACACCTGCGAGGGTGGCCTGAAATGCCCCCTCCCAGACACACAGCTCATTCATTCCTCTGGAATATCTTGTTTCGGCAGGCATTAGGGCAGAAGACTTCAATGGTTTAAAACAGCAAGAAGGGAGCCAGCTCTATGGCGTAGTGGGTAAAGCCGCCTGTGGTGCTGGCATCTTATGTGGGCACTGGTTCAAGTCCCAGCTGCTCCAATTCCTATCCAGATCTCTGCTATGGCCTGGGACAGCAGTAGAAGATGGCCCAAGTCCTTGGGCCCCTGCACCCGCGTGGGAGACCTGGAGGAAGCTCCTGGCTTCCATCTGGCCCAGCTTCCCCATTGAGGCCATTTGGGGGAGTGAACCAGCAGATGGAAGACCTCTCTCTCTCCCTCCCTCTCTCTCTGTAACTCTTTCAAATAAAGAAAGAAAGAAACAAAAAAAAATCGAGGCCAATCGTTTACTGGTACTGGCCCTCCCCTCTTAGACCACGCTGCCCACACAGCGAGAAACCGAGAGGAACCACGAAACCGCCCAACAGCAGGCACAGGAGCCCACCTGGGTGTCCCGGAGACGGGGGAGGAGCATAAGCGGAAGGCAGAGAAGTTTATAAGTTATCGCACACCATGTGTCACAGATTTCTCCAAACTTCCAAGACGCTACAAGGCGGAGCAAAATAAAAAGGTTGGTTCCACCCCGCCGGCCCCTGGCGCCTCCGCGTCAGCTCTAGGGCACTAAACCCTGGACCCTCTCCAATCACCGCCTGGCCCGGGGACGCCCGGGAAGACTCGGTCAGGCGCGGCGGGCAGGCAAATCTATGCAGGACTGGAAAGCACCGCCCAGCCAGCAGCCTGGGCAAGACACGCCCCCAGGAGCGGGTCGGCCCCTCCCCGCCGCAGGGCCGGCGGGGACCATGGCAACACGGCGGACGTCGGCCAACCGCCCGGGCCCGGCTCGGGGGCGGGGCCGGGCGGGGCGTGCGCGCGGGTCACGTGGCGCGGGGCGGAGCCTGCGCCGGACCGGCCGGAGCGTGTCGGGAGCCGGCGCCGAGGCCCGAGCCGCGGGAGCGGAGCGAAGACATCCCCGAGGCCGCTGTGCCCCGCCAGGCCTCCGCAGCCGCCGCCATGGGCAGTGAGTACCGATGGCCGGAGAGCGGCTCTGGCTGGGCGGGGATGTGGGTGGGGGGCGGACGCAGGCCTCACTTGAGCGGTGTGGCCGGAGCCCCCCAACCTGGCCCCGGGTCGTGCAGCCTGCGGGCGCGGGATGCGCGGGCCGCTGCGGAGGGCGCGGGCCGGGGGGCCTCTCCCGGGGCTCCTCCGGTTGTGCGAGGCCTTGCCCGGGTCAGCCGCGGGGACCGGGACTCGGAGGCCCCGGGTTTGCCCCTGGTAGTGGCGAGGAGCGAGGATGGCGCGGGGCGGCCATTGGCTTTGGGGGCGGGGAGTTTACGGCGCTGGACTGAAGCTGGACCACTTTTGATGTTTCAGGAGCTTGGGCAGCTTAAATCGCTCTTCTCGAATCGCCCTTCCTCGGCATATTAGTTGTGATGAATAGCGCTCCCTAACTCGTTTCAGGTTTGCAAAGCGTGAGTCTAAGGGGAAGAAAGGATACCCGTTCCAGGGGTCCGTAGCGTTCCCTGACAACACGGTGAGGTTGTGTGAGCCTTGCGGACAAGGCCTCGTATTCCGGGTATCCTTTTGAGAGCCCCACACAGATCCACATGGCCGTTCAGATGTTTGTTGGTGAACGGATAAACCGCATGCCCAGTCGAGGCACCCTTTGGCCACCGAGTGGACATTTGGGGAACACTGGAAAGAAGGTAGAGGAGACCCCTGGCCTTGATTTCACGGTATCATGGCTAACGTCCTGCAGCAGGAAGATAGACAGTTGGTCTGTGCTTGGGCACAGATACCCTCATGTAAATGATGAGGAGAAAAAGCCCAGAAATCTGGGCGATGGGCTTGGACTGAAGTGCGAGGGAAAAGGTATCAAGAGACTCTGGGGAGTGTCCTGGTGTGATTGGAGCTTGTTCACGATTCAGGTAGACTTTCCTAATATTCCAGAGTGTGGTGCTGGGTCAAACACCTGCTCATGCGCGTTCCTGAATTCTACCAGACATCAGCTGAATTCCATCATTTTGGGAGGTTTTGTTTGTTTGTTTGTTTGTTTTTTTTTTTTAAACCGACACTGTTGTCAACTTTGGGCTAACCCACGCAAGTGTGATTAGGCACGGCGGCTTTACAGTCGTTCCTGGGTGTCCGTATCCCGAATCCAGTGTCTTGAGGGTAGGAAGATGCTAACTAATGGCTGCTGCTGTTAGTGTGCGTTTCTGACTCTTTGGCAAAAGGTGTAAGAGCTTTTCACCCTCATCCCCCACCCCCCTTCTGTGGCTGAATTTACCGGAAGCCAGGCCAGGAGGCAGTGGCTGTCCTCTAAGACCCTTGCTTAATCTGACTTCTGTGTCTAGAGAGAGCACTCTGGAAAACAGCACTTACCACTGAAGTGTGATGGCATTCTCGGGTTGGCTCTTGGACGTAAGCAAGTACTTGGATGTCTTTACGTGCGAGTGGCCGTGCAGCAACATGTGGCTTCAGGAAATGCATTAGAGGCTGTGTACTGTAAAAACTGTGGGAGCTGGTTTTCTCGCTTAGGTATTTGGGCATCTTTCGGTTGTCTGAGTCAGTTCCAGCAGTCCATCTCTGCTTTTTTCTCTAACGCATTGTCTTGTGGGTGGCGTGGTAGACTGCATCTACGCTTTCCTGACGCAGTGATGCCCTTTGAACAGCCCTTTTTGTATATCTGGACACAAGCGTACTGGGTAGTCCTCAAACTGTTTGGGTTCTTTTGGCCTTTACATTTTTCCTTCTCTTATGTATTCATTTGAAATGGAGAGTGTTACGATTATTTAATTTGGGTTTGGGGTGGGGTGAGATGGACATCAGATCATTCCTTGAAAGTTTAGAGAACATTTGTATTTGATTCCGTAAACAGATAATTTATCTTTTATTAAACTTTGTAATGGGGACATTTATTCTTTTTTTTTAAACAGTCAAATTTTTAGAAGTTATCAAACCTTTCTGTGCCGTTCTACCCGAAATTCAGAAACCTGAGAGGAAAGTAAGTATAATGTTTTAGTAATCTGGAAGGGAGCTTGAGTGGCTTATCCTGCTAAACTAGCAAGATTGGTTTGCTTTCCATGCCTTTTCTGGTTGTAATTGGAAAGGTATTAACCTGTTCATCCTCCGAATAAGAGGCACAAAGTGAATGAAAACTACGTCTAGGTAGGTAGGTAATCATGTTTTCACAAATGACTATTCTTTAAACTGTTGCCTGTCCCAATCAAGTGTTTCTTTGGCCTGCATGTTGGGTAAGGTACAGTATTTGCCTAGCTATCTTGATCCTTTCTAATTTCTATAGGATAGGGAAGGTATTGTGCTTCCTAATGGTGGAACCTGCTGGGCCCCAGCTACTGGGTGGGTGTTGATGAGTACAACTGTCTTATGTAAAGGAATTGCAACTGTGCAAGTGTATACCTTCCTTCTCTTGATCAATTCATTGGAAAGAAAAATGGCAGGAGTGCTTTCCAAAGATCTTGTGATTGGATCAAATCTGTGATTGTATATTTTTGGAGCTGAGGTATTTAAATTCCAGAATTATTATTAATCCCAAACTTGCCAGTTTCCAGACATTCCTTTCCTATACTTTCAACTTCTCCTGAAACTAGCTTGAATAGGAACATAGAAAGAGGTAGGTTAAACTTCTATTATAGAGGTGTATTTCTTATTATTGCTTTGAGATGATAAATATATTTATTCTAATAACACTTAAGGCACCTCAAGAATCTCTGGCTTTTTGTAGTCTATGAAAGATTTGTATAATAAATTATAGGCAGTACTTGATTTGGATGGTTCAGTGTTAAACTGCAGAAGGTGCATGTTGGATCTGTGTTTTGATTATTTGTATCTTTTTCAGTTTGATTTAACACAGCACATAAGGACTGCCTGTATTGAAATTTTTTTATTTTTTTTTTTTATTTATTTTTGACAGGCAGAGTGGACTTTGAAAAGTAAAGAAACTTATGTTCAAGAAGTTTAGCTATTTGTTTTAGCTGTTACTGACTAGGGTAAAAGGGACATTTTAAATAACAGGTACATGTCACATTGGGGAATGTTGTTGTGCTTTAATGTGGAGTTTTACTTTGACTTTGCTATTTCTTGATTTTGATTGATCATCTTTATATTTTGTTGTACAGATCCAGTTTAGAGAAAAGGTACTATGGACTGCTATAACTCTGTTCATTTTCTTAGTATGTTGTCAGGTACGTAACCATAATATTAAATAAACCTTTCCGCTATTTTTATAAGGTCTTGCATAATTAAAATTTGGGAAACTTAGTTAAAATAATAAATATGCTGAAATATATTGTGCATTGTTATTCTTTTAAAGATTTATTTGTGTTTTATTTAAAAGGAAGAGTGACAGGGAGGGAAAGAGAGAGAGAGCTCTTCCACCTGCTGGTTCACTCCCCGGATAGCTGAAAGAGCCAGGGCTTAGCTGGGCTGAAGGCAGGAGCCAGCAGCCATCTTTGAGTTTCTCACGTGGGTGAGAGGAACTCAGGTACTTAAACCATCATTCGCTGCCTCCCAGGAGCATCAGGGGACTGAATCTGAAGTGGAGGATCTGGAATATGAACTGGCCCTCTGGTATAGGATGCTGGTGTGCCTCAAGTGAAAGCTTAACCCACTGTGCTGTGACACTGGCCTTTGTTACTCTTTTTAATACGAGTTGCTTTAAAAAGATTTATTTATTTATTTGGAACACAGAGTTACATAGAGAGAGAAAAAGACAGAGACAGAGATCTTTTATCCTCTGGTTCACTCCCCAGTTGGCCACAACAGCCAGGGCTGGGCCAGGCTGAAGCCAGGAGCCAGGAGCTCCACAACTGCGTCTCCATATGGTGGCAGGGGCCCAAGTACTTGGGCCATCTTCTGCTGCTTTCCCAGGTGCATTGGCAGGGAAATGGGTTGGAAGTAGTGCAACCAAGACTTGAACTAGTGGTCATATGGGGTGTAGCACTGCAGATAGTAACTTAACCAGTGCACCATAGCACCCCCAATATGAGTTAAAAATGGTTATCTTGTTCTTTGTATTTCTTTTTGTTTATTAGTGGGAAAAAACACTTAACACTGTTTCTTTTTTTTTTTTCTTTCTTTCTTTTAAAAAAAAAAGGATTTATTTATTTGAAAGGCAGATTTACAGAGAGGGAAAGAGAGAGGTCTTCCAACCGCTGGTTCACTCCCCAAATAGCTACAATGGTCAGAGGTGGACTGATCCAAAGCCAGGAGGCAGGAGCTTACTCTGTGTCTCCCACATGGTTACAAGGGCCCAAGGACCTGGGCCATCCTCTGCTGCTTTCCCAGGCCATAGCAGAGAGCTGGATCAGAAGTAGAATGGCAGGGACCCGAACCTTGGCCGGCACTGCAGGTGGCAGCTTTACCTACTATGCCACAGCACTGGCTCCCCCCCCCCCTTTTTTTTTTTTTAATTTTCAGAATGGTCTTTACCCTTTTTTGGGAGTTATTTGTTGTTTCTTACTAATTTAGGACAGTTTTTAAATAAAAGTAATTTTGGCATATGTATTACAAATATTTCTCAAATTTGCCTTTTAACATGTATTAATTTAAATATCCTATAACCAAATTTTTAGAACCTTGGAGATTTACTGTGTTTAAAAGTTATTAAAATTTAGTGATACTTTTACATATAATTTTGTAGAAATGCTAAGTTCATTTAACAAGCATAAAATATGATCTGCCTGTATTTCAAGGTTGTTAATGAGAGTTACATAATTTAGGTGAAAGCTGTTTGAGAATTTCCAAAACTACTGAAATGCATGAAAGAGCTCTTGAAAAAATTATATTAGGAAAGAATAGGATATGTTAGGTCCCTAATCTGGGGAAAACTCAAATGTATTTTCTTTTTGAAGGGTGAAATGATCAGATGATTAATGTACTTTTATTACTGCACTTGGTTTAAATTTGTTTTGGATGGTGAGGGAGAGATAAGTTTTAACAAACAGGGCAAAGATAAAAAGAACAATTACCTATATTCCTACTTTGTAATTTTAACATCTTAGAAATTCCCCTGCCCCCATTTAAAAAGACAGTCAGGAGTAGGTGTTTGGTGAAGATGTTGCTTGGGGGCCAGCACTGTTGCGTAGTGGGTAAAGCCACTGCCTGCAGTGCCGGCATTCCATATGGAAGCCGGTTCAAGTCCCGGCTGCTCTGCTTCTGGTCTAGCTCTCTGTTATGGCCTGGGAAAGCAGTAGAAGATGGCACAATTCCTTGGGCCCCTGCGCCCATGTGGGAGACCTGAAAGAAGACCCTGGCTCCTGGCTTCAGATTGGCCCAGCTCTGGCCGTTGTGACCATCTGGGGAGTGAACCAGTGGATGGAAGACCTCTCTCTCTCTCTCTCTCTCTCTCTCTCTCTTTCTTTACCTTTCAAACAAATAAATAAATCTTAAAAAAAAAAAAAAAAAAAAAGATTTTGCTTGGAATACTGAAATCCCAGCCGGAGTTCTTTATCTGAATACCTGATTCCAGCTTCCTGTTAATTTATACCCTGGGAGGTAGCAGTTTCTGCTCATATATTTGGGTCCTCGTCACCCACATGGAAGAAGCAGATTGAGTACTGGGCTCTGGGCTTTGACCTGATTCAGCCCCAGCTGTTTCTGGCATTTGAGAAATGAACCAGTGGATAGATCTATCTGCCTTTTGATCTCTTTCTCAGCCTTTCAAATAAATTAAATAATAATTGAAGAAATATCAACTTTACGTTAGTATTACAATATGTACATAGTAAACTATACTCATTTTTTTAAGGTTTATGTATTTATTTGAGAGGCAGAGTTACAGACAGAGAGAGGAGGGAGAGACACAGAGAGAAAGGTCTTCCATCCATTGGTTCATTCCCTAAATGGCATCAACAGCTGAGGCTGTGCCAAGCGGAAGCTGGGAGCCAGGAACTCCATCTAGGTCTCCCGTGTCTGTGCCAGGGGCCCAAGGACTTGGCTCATCTTCCACTGCCTTCCCAGGCGCATTAGCAGGGAGCTGGATCAGGAGCAGAGCAGCCAGGACTTGAACCAGTGCTCTGAGATGCCGACATCCCAGCTTAACCTGCTGTGGCACGGTGCTGCCCCCTGTGCTCGTTTATAAAGTGTGGGTTTCGAAGTTCTGACAAAAACATACATACCCAAGTAACTCCTACCGAGCTGATATAGAAGCATGTCTGTTACCCTCTAACTTTTCTCAGGCTATGCTCACCCAAGCCCCAGTCCCCAGCAAACACTGATCTACCTTTTGTTACTGTAATTTGTTTTGTCTTTTCTAAAGTTGCCATGATCTAGTGGGATCATAAAGTATTATGCTTTATGCCTGACTTCATTGTAATCTTTTTGAGATTCATGCATACCATTGGGATGTCAGCAGCTCATTCCTGTTTATTTCTGAGTAGTGTTCTGCATTATGAATATATCACGGTTTATTCATTCGCTCACTTGTTGGACTCCTGGTTATTTCCAAATTTTGAAAACAGAACACGGTTGCTATAAGCTTTCACCTACAAGTCTTTTGTAGAGGTCTGTTGTTTAATCTCTGTTGGGTGAGTACCCAGGAGTAGAGTGGCTGGGTTGACTGATAAGTGGGTGTTCAATTTTCTGGGAAATTGTCACCTCTTCACTGGTTGCCCATTGGTGGCTCCTCATTGTGTTTGCACTGCCAGGTGGTACAGTTCAGTTGCACTGCATCCTTTTGTTTTGTTTTGTTCAGCCTTCCTGTGTGTGTGCTTTTTTTAAAAACTTTTATTTAAGAAATATAAATTTCGAAAGTATAATTTTGGATTATAGCGTTTTTCCCTCCATAACCTCCCTCTCACCCGCAACCATCCCATCTCCCATTCCCTCTCCCATCCCATTCTTCATCAAGATTCATTTTCAATTATATTAATATACAGAAGATCAACTTGGTATATACTAAGTAAAGATTTCAACAGTTTGCACCCACAGAGATACACAAAGTATAAAGTATTGTTTGAGTCGTAGTTTTATCATTAATTCGCATAGTACAACACATTAAGGACAGATCCTACATGGGGAGCAAGTATACAGTGACTCCTGTTGTTGATTTAACAATTGACACTCTTACTTATGACGTCAGTAAACACCCGAGGCTTTTGTCATGAACTGCCAAGGCTATGGAAGCCTCTGAAGTTCACAAATTCTGACCTTATTTAGACAAGGCCATAATCAAAGTGGAAGTTTTCTCCTCCCTTCAGAGAAAGGTACCTCCTTCTTTGATGGCCCATTATTTGCACTGGGATCTCACTCGCAGAGATCTTTCTTTTAGGTCATTTCTTTTCAGCTTCTTACCAATGCCTTTTTTTTTGGGAAAGATTTATTTGAGAGGTAGAGTTACAGACAGAGAGGGAGAGAGACAGAGAAAGAGGTCTTCCATCTGCTGGTTCACTCCCCAAATGGCCGCAATGGCTGGAGCTGGTCTGATCAGAAGCCAGGAGCCTCCTCTGAGGCAACCACATGGGCGCAGGGGCCCAAGCCCTTGGGCCATCTTCTACTGTTTTCCCAGCCTATATCAGAGAGCTGGATCGGAAGTGGAGCAATTGGGACTAGAACCAGTGCCTCTGGCACTAAGGTGCTGCAGGCAGAGGCTTAGCCCACTATGGCACAGCACCAGCCCCACCAATGCCTTTGAAGAACAAGAGGTTTTTTTTTTTGACAGAGTAGACAGAGAGAGAAAGGTCTTCCTTCCATTGGTTCACTCCCCAAGTGGCTGTTACGGCCGGTGCGCTGCGCCGATCTGAAGCCAGTAGCAAGGTGCTTCCTCCTGGTCTCCCATGGGGTGCAGGGCCCAAGCACTTGGGCCATCCTCCACTGCACTCCCAGGCCACAGCAGAGAGCTGGACTGGAAGAAGAGCAACCGGGACAGAATCCGGCACCCCAACTGGAACTAGAACCCGGGGTACCGGCACTGCAGTCGGAGGATTAGCCAAGTGAGCTGCGGCGTTGGCCAAGAACAAGAGTTTTTAATCTTGATAAAGTTCAACTTACCTGTTTTTTCTTTTGTGGCTAACAGTTATTCCCCCCGAAGAAATTTTTGTGTATTTTAAGGTTGTGATGCTTTTTTCCTGTTATGATTTTGGCTTTATAGTTTTACATTTCAGTTTGTAATCTATTCCAGGTTCTTTTTTTATAGTATGAGGTAAAGGGTCAAGGTTCGTTTCTTTATTCTGTGTTGGTATCCTGTTGGTCCAACACCATTTGTTGAAAAGAATTCCTCACTTACCTTGCCTTTGTTGTTGAAGATGGTTAGCCTTATAAGCCTGGGTCTGTTTCTCTATTCTCTCTTCTGTGCCGTTGGTCTGTGAGTTCCTTTGTTTGATCAGAACCACAGTTTTGATTCCTGGAGCTCCATAGGAAGTCCTTCATTCAGTTTATCAAAGTCCTCCCATTTTGTTCTTTGTTGAAATCATTTTTACTCTTTGGTCTTTCATATTTCCATACAAATTTTAGAATCAGTCTGTCAATTTCTATAAGAAAACATGCTGGGATAATGATTTGTGTTGCTCTGAATTTATAGGTCAGTCTCAGAGAATTGACATCTGGTCAATATTGAATCTTGTCAGGGACCATTTTTCCGTAAAAATCCAGGTGGTAAATATTTTACGTTTTGTGGCTGTAACTCAGGAACCCCAGAGCAAGAAAACAACTCAAAGAAAAGGATGACATTTTTCATAACTATTTCATGTAATAAAATTATGCATTTTATGTTACTTTATTTTTTTCTCTATGTTTACATGCTTCATATTTTTGTCTTTCTCACACTTAGGCAGCTCTGCCCAGTGTGGGTTGTTTCTCGATTCTCTTTCCGTTGATCTCAAGTAGGTTCTAGCCTGTTTTCTTTAGCTGGAGGGAATAGTGGCAAATGAGATCAGCTAAGTGCAGTAATGCTGCTGGGGCTCTGCTGCGTCCTTCTTTCTCTTTTTTAAAGATTTATGTATTTGAAAGGCGAGTTACAGAGAGGCAGAAGCAGAGGCAGAGAGATTTTTCCGTCCAGTGGTTCACTCTCCAAAAGGCCACCATAGCTGGAGCTGGGCCAGGAGTGCCAAAGGGCTTGGGTCATCTTCTGCTGCTTTCCCAGGCCATAGCAGAGAGCTGGATTGGAAGTGGAGCAGCCGGGACTAGAACCGGCGCCCAAATGGGATGCCAGCACTGCAGGCGGCAGCTTTACCCACTATGCCACAGCGCTGGCCCCCTTTCTTCTTGAGAGTTTTGGCAATAGAGGGTTCTCAGATCCTGACCAAGGTCCCAGTTCCTACTTCATTGTAGTCCTGTAATCTTCAGTACTGAGGGAGAAGCTTAACCCTCCTGCCACCTCTCTTTCATTCATTTCTTCCAGCTGCTGTTTCTGCTCCTTAACCAAAGGAAGGAAGAAGATAAGGATGTCTGTGTGGTTTTCATTTCTCCAGATTTGGATTGTTGGTGGGGATTCTGAGGCTTCTCCTGCCTTCCCACTGTGATGGTCAGGAGCAGATTTGTACCTAGTCTCTTCACTACCAACTCCCCCACCCCACTCCACCTGCCCTTCAAGTTGATGATCAGTTTTCTTACTTTGCTGCTTTATAGATTTTGTTTTCTTTTTTTCTTAGCTTTTATTTTTCATTATTGTTAGCTTCTGCTATTTTACATGTTTTTAAAAATGTGTTTTATTGTGTCCCAGAACAGGAAAAAATTCTGTAATATCTTTGTAACTTGCCATCTTAGCCAGAAGAACTTTGGTTTTCCATTCGCACTGCCTTTGGAAATCATTGATGTTAACTTTCTGTTTCTGCATCTGATCAGTTCAGGCTTCCATTGCAGCGTGAATGCTTTGTTGAAGTTTGTGCAGTGAAAAATTTGAGGCAAAATAAACCACAGATTCAATTTGAGCATTAAGATTCATGAATCTGGTACACGCAACCCTAGAAGAGGGTTGGCGAGCTCTGTTCCAGCAGTTTGTATGAGCTGAACAAGGCAGTGAAGTCAGAACTGGATTGGCTCCAGCTAAGCTTCTGTCTTACTGGCTTCCAGTCTGATGCCAGGTCCTTCTATAACCAGCTGGCTGGTTGGCTGTCTGCTGGCTGTCATTGGTTGAAGCTCAATTCAGAACTGATCAGTCACAGGGAGATGTTCAGGTTCTGTTGCTTTCCTGAGAGTTCTGGGTGCTGAAACAACTCCAGGCTAATGGCTTCCTGATTACATTTCTTTAACAAATGGAAACCTGTTTTACATGTCATACACTACAAGGTTTGGAACTCTGCTACTGTGACCAATTCTGCCCAGCCGTTGTACATGGTCTTACTGAACTATTGAACTTATTAAGAGAAGTGAAATTAGAAGCTGACTCCAGTAATCCTGTTGGCCACAGCAAAGGAGGGCATATGGTTATTGAGGGGAGGTCAGTTGGCTTTTCTTTGTTCTCTTCCACAGAGCAACTAACCATATAGGTTGAGGATCTCTCTTTAGGGAAGGTAACTGGGCCGACAGACCTGATACAGACTGTAGTGTTAATTGGTTTTTACACAGTAACTTCCTTACTCCTCATCCCTCACCTTAAGAGTGTCTACAGGGGCGCAGTGGCACAGTGGGTTAAAGCCCTACAGCGCCAGTATGCCTTAGAGGCATCAGTTTGAGTTCCAGCTGCTCCACTTCCGATCCAGCTCTCTGCTCTGGCCTGGAAATGTTGTGGAGGATGGCCCAAGTCTTTTGGCCCCTGCACTCATGTGGCAGACTCAGAAGAGGCTCTAGTTTCCTGGCTTTTGGTCAGATCAGCTCCTGCTGGTGTGGCCATTTGGGGTGTGAACCAGCAGATGGATGATCTCTCTCTCTCTCTCTGCCTCTCTCCACAACTCTGTCTTTCAAATAAATAAATCTTAAAAATAAGAAGGTCTCTACAGCTACCAGGTACATATACAATATTCATCCTTCATGCCTCTCCAGTTTTGATACCCATCTAATAGTTTCAGACTTCCAAAGAGGCTTAGACTGAGCACAGGAGTTGGCAGTATTTTTAAGTTCTTTTGGAACTTAAAAACAAGGGAATCAGTTTCACGTAGAGAAGTTTTTTAAAGTTTTTAAAGTCTGCTTTTCCGTGAGTCTGATCCCCACGTAGTTGAAGAGGTTTGTATGCCCGAGTGCTGTATCCTAAACTTGGGTCTTAGGATAGGACCCGATCTGTAGTTGAGGTGGCTTTGTTTTCCGATTAAAAATTGATAGGTGTTTGTTATAGAGAATTTGGTAAATACTGAGAATGATAAGGAAGCAAAAGTCAATCATAATCCCACTTTCTATGCAGATTTGTGCCGTATGCAACTGTTAAGTCATTTTTCTAGTTTTGTACCAGGATTTTAAAATCAGTTCTTAACAGCAGCAAGACTGAATTTTAGGTGGGATAATTCCTTGCCATGGGGTGGTCCTATGCATTTTAAGATGCTCAGCTGTAGCCACATCCCTGCCAAGGTGGTACAGCCAGCAGTGTATCCAGGCATTGCCAAATGAGAACCACTATGTTATACCTAATGTAAGCATACTTGTTCATGGCTGTCTTATATTCTATTTGATACCGTCTTCAGTCTTCCATCTGGGAGTGTGATCTTGGTTGTCTTTAGGTTTGCAAAGTTGTTCTACAACTAGACCGATATCAATTTATAATCTACTGATGGAAGAAAAAATCATAAAAAAGGGGCCGACGCCGTGTCTCACTTGGTTAATCCTCCACCTGCAGCACAGGCATCCCATATGGGCGCCGGGTTCTAGTCCCAGCTGCTCTTCTTCCAGTCCAGCTCTCTGCTATGGCCTGGGAAAGCAATGGAGGATGGTCCAGGTGCTTGGGCCCCTGCATCCACATGGGAGACCAGGAAGAAGCACCTGGCTTCTGGCTTCGGATCGGCGCATCGCCAGCCGTGGGGGCCATTTGGGGAGTGAACCAAGTGAAGGAAGACCTTTCTCTCTGTCTCTCTCTCTCTCTCTCACTGTCTGTAACTCTACCTGTCAAATAAATAAATTTAAAAAAATCTTAAAAAGAATCATAAACCATAAAATTTACCATTTTAACCATATCTAGGTTACGAGGTAGTAGTGTGAGGTATATTCATGTTGTACAATAGCTGTTCATACTGGCAGGAGTATGTAATGAAGTACACTAAGTAATGATTTATGCTGCTTTTTTTTTTTTTAAAGAATTTTAAACATATGCTGTTTTTGTAGAAGATGAGTAGATCTTTAAAAAAGTCATGCAAACCTGAAGTAAATGCATTATAAATTAAGAGCGAATGCATTCTTAAGTATTTTATGTAATATTTTAGATCCCACTCTTTGGAATCATGTCATCAGATTCCGCGGATCCTTTCTACTGGATGAGAGTTATTCTTGCATCTAACAGAGGTATGTGCTTCTTTCCTTTGCCTCCACACTGCCGCCAACAGCAAGTAGATGTTTAATGTCGATTCACATCGGTTTTTCAGTGTCTGCAGGGAGGGAGAAAAGAAACCCATTGCCCAAGAGGAGACCCAGACACGTAACTAATGGTAGCACCATAGGTGTGTTTGTTGCAGTTACAGAGCATTCTCTCCTTGGGTTTTCACAGACTCAGCCGCCGTCATGTGCAGGGTCGGGAGGAGAGGCTGCCAGAGCAGCATTTGAAAGGCAGGTCAGGCTGAGGAGAGCCGGGGCTGAGGCTCAGCAGCACGAGGGCTGCAAAGCTGTAGTGGGGGAGGTGCTGGGCAGTGAACCCAGAGACTGATGAGGCTTGCTTTTAAGGAGTAGTGATTCCCTGTGTTTTGGAAACACTTTTGTAATTTTCTCAGGCTGTAAAAGTAATACTGCTTTCAGAAATGCAGCAGCACTTAATACAGGCTTAAATGAAGCTGAAAACAAGTCTCACTTCTGAGGGAGAGTGCTAGGTGGGTGACTAGGTTGATGGATATCTGTCCAGACTTTGCACACATAGTCATATATGTAAATTCATCTCCTTTCATTTAACTAAAGAAATAGCATGTACTGTGTATACAGTTCACCTGCCTGGCTTGTTTACTTAATATCTTACATGAGCTATTCCATGATGAGGATGTGCCACAATTTATTTAATCATCCGTTCAACACATATCGACTGAATTCTTATCTGTGGGCCAGTCTTTGTGGTGGGTGCTGAGAATTGCAAGCAGTAAACAAGATGGTGTTCTAATTTCTGTGGTTTTATGTTTTCAAAAAAAATTTATTATGTATTTGAGAGGAAGGAGAGCAAGAGAGCATGCACAGCAGTGAGCCCCCATCCATTGGTTCGCTCCCTAAATACCTGTAACAGCTAGACTGGGCCAGGACAGGGAACACAACCCAGGTCTCCCACGTGGATGGCAGGAACCCAGTTCCTGAACCGCAGTGCTGCCTCTCAGCGTCTGCATTGGCAGGAAACTGGAGCAAGGAGTCAGGCCAGAAACTGAGCCCGGGAGCTGTCATAGGGGTGTAGGTGTCTTTACCACTGGGCTACGTGCCTGCTTCAGAGTTCTGTTTCCTGCTTGAGGATCTGGAATGTATGTGAAGTATGTGGGGTGGGCAAGGATGCTCCAGGAAGGTGGTGTTTGAATAGAGACCTGCAGGAAGTGTGAGAGAAGGCCCTGAGAGACCTAGGAGGAAGCATTCTAGGGAAGACCAAGTGCAGAGGCCCTGAGGTAAAAGGACAGAGGTGCAGATATGTCTACAGTTCCGAAAGAGCTTGAGTACAACAGTGAGGAATGTCTTGTAAGTATGACAAGAAATTTTTGCAGGCCATTAGGGTGCACTCATTATAAATTTTGTTGTTTTCCTTTTTTTTTTTTTAAAGATTTATTTATTTATTTGAAAGTCGGAGTTACACAGAGAAGGAGAGACAGAGGGAGAGAGATCTTCCATCCGCTGGTTCACTCCAGAGATGGCCGCAATGGCCAGAGCTGTGCCAGTCCGAAGCCAGGAGCCAGGAACTTCTTCCGGGTCTCCCACGTGGGTGCAGGGACCCAAGGACTTGGGCCATCTTCTACTGCTTTCCCAGGCCATAGCGCAGAGCTGGATTGGAAGTGGAGCAGCCGGGGCATGAACCGGCGCCTGTATGGGATGCTGGCACTGCAGGCGGTGCCTTCACAGGTTTTGCCACAGCACTGGCCCCTTTCCTTTTTTTTTAAATGGTTTTTTTTTTTTTTTTTTTTTTTTTTTTTGACAGGCAGAGTGGACAGTGAGAGAGAGAGACAGAGAGAAAGGTCTTCCTTTTGCCGTTGGTTCACCCTCCAATGGCCGCTGCGGCCGGCGCACCGCGCTGATCCGATGGCAGGAGCCAGGTACTTCTCCTGGTCTCCCATGGGTGCAGGGCCCAAGCACTTGGGCCATCCTCCACTGCACTCCCTGGCCACAGCAGAGAGCTGGCCTGGAAGAGGGGCAACCGGGACAGAATCCGGCGCCCCGACCGGGACTAGAACCCGGTGTTCCGGCGCCACAAGGCGGAGGATTAGCCTAGTGAGCCGCGGCGCCGGCCGTAAATTTCATTTTAAATAGTGCCACAATGAAGGCTATCATATACTTCTGTAATTTTTTTCAGAGTGAATTTCTAGGAGTTTAACTGTTTGGTCACAAGATACATGCACTTAACATTTTCAGTAGAGAAAGCTAAATGATGTTCCAGAAGAGGGTTGTATCACTGTATGCACTCAGCAACAATACATGAGAATGACCGTTCTTCCATCAGTGGGTGTCACTAGTCTTTTAGTTTTTGTCGTTCCGACAGGCAGAAATTGGCATATCTTGTTTAACTTTTATTTCTTTATCTGTTGCTGAGCTTTAATATTGTTTTACATATTTTTGAATATTTGTGTATCTTCTATGACTGGACTTTTCATTAATACGTTAAATTTATTTGTCTTAAGTAATAGTCTGAATAGCTTAAACACCAAAAATGGAATTTGTTGGAAGGATAGTGGTTAATCTTTTAGAGTCCAAAAAGGAGGCAGACCAGGGGCCAGCTTTGCTGGCATCCTGTATCAGAGCACCACTTTGAGTCCCGGCTGCTCTACTTCCTATCCAGGTCCCTGCTGATGTGCCTGGAAAGCAGCGGAAGATGGCCCCAGTGCTTGGCCCTGCCACCCATGTGGGGGACTTGGATGGAGTTCCTGCTTCTGACTTCATCCTGCACTTAGCAGCCAGCTTCTGTCATTTGGCCATTGAAACAGTGAATGGCATATCTCTCTCTGTCTCTCTCCCCGCAACCTCCACTCTACTCTGCCTTTCAAATAAATACTTAAGTAAATTTGTTAAGCCAGGGCAATGGTTAGATAATGGCGACAGGAACTTTGAACGTTTTCTGTGTGACCCAGCTCCAGTGACTCCCAGATTCTGTCTCGTAGTTCACAATTCCAGGCAGCAGGATTCATGCAGGCTCGGTCAGCTTGTTAGGGCATCACAGTTACAAGGGCTGGACTTGGGTCCTGTGGCGCTGATGTTCCACTGAGAAACCTTCACGTGGAGCGGCCACATCACCTGTCTGTTCTTTTTAAAATTGGTTTGTTGACTTTGAAAGATTACTTATGTCATTTCTTTGAAAGGGAGGGGAGAAGAGAGAGTAATTACTGGTATCTCACCTCTGTTGATTCACTTCCCCGAAGCCCACAACAGTCAGGATTGGCGATAACTGAATGCAGGAGCCAAGGCCTTAATCCAGTCCTCTCAAGCAGGTGGCAGTCAGCACTGCTGCCTCCCAAGGTGTGCACCAGCAGGACGTGCAATTGGAAGTGGAGCCTGGACTTGAACCCAGGCACTCTGATAGGGGATGCAGGCATCCTGAGCGGCATCTTAACCAAATGCCCATCCTGGCTTGTCCCCTGTTTCATTGATTTGTAAGAGCATGTAGGATATTAGAGATAGGAACTCTTTGTCCTTTGAGTTTGAATATTTTTCTTTTAACTGTTATGCTATATTTTGCTATGTGGAAATTTCAGAGTGTTATCTAGCATCTTCCATCTTTTTCTTTGTGGCGTATAGGGTGTTTTTTTGTCATTCTTAGAAATACTTTTCCAGATTATATAGTTCCCCTCATTTCCTTAGTATTTTTGGCATGTATCCTTTATTGTCTATTCACTCAGCATTTTGTTTAGATGTTTTGAGGTAAGGAATTGGTTTAATTTTCTGTAAATGGCCAGTTGTTTACCAAGGTCCATTTACCTCTTTTTGAAAAACATTTACTTTTTGTTTGTGTTTTAAAGATTTATTTATTTTTGAAAGGTAGAGTTGAGAGAGAGAAGGAGATACAGAGAGAGAGAGATCTTCTGTCCACTGGTTCATACTCCAAATAGCTGCAGTAACCCGACTGGGCTGGACACATTAGCAGGGAGCTGGATCTGAAGTGGAGCAGCCAGAACTCCAGCCAGTGCTGTAGGCCATGACTTTAACCTGCTGCGCCACATTGCCAGCCCCAAAATATTTACTTTTTTATTTATTTGAAAAGCAGACTGACAGATCTTCCATCTACTGGTCCACTCCCCAAATGGCCTCAACAGCTTGATGCCATGAGCCAGGAACCCCATCCGGGCCTCCCACATGGGTGGCAGGGGCCCAAGCACTTGGGCATCTTCTGTTGCCTTCTCAGGTGCATTAACAGGGAGCTGGATCAGAAGCGGAGGCCGGTGCTGCGGCTCACTAGGCTAATCCTCTGCCTAGCGGCGCCGGCACACCAGGTTCTAGTCCCGGTCGGGGCGCCGGATTCTGTCCCGGTTGCCCCTCTTCCAGGCCAGCCCTCTGCTGTGGCCAGGGAGTGCAGTGGAGGATGGCCCAAGTGCTTGGGCCCTGCACCCCATGGGAGACCAGGAAAAGCACCTGGCTCCTGCCATCGGATCAGCGAGGTGCGCTGGCCACAGCGCGCCGGCCATGGCGGCCATTGGAGGGTGAACCAACGGCAAAGGAAGACCTTTCTCTCTGTCTCTCTCTCTTACTGTCCACTCTGCCTGTCAAAACAAAAACAAAAACAAAAAAACAAAAACAACAAAGCGGAGCAGCTGGCTCTCATACCGATGCTTTGATATGGGATGCTGGTGTTGCAAGTGGTAGCCTAACCCGCTGCACTGTATGCTGGCGTCCTCTCTTTCTTTGAAGTGCCAGATTTCCTATATAAAATTTTCATTAAGGATTGATGAGATCTATTTATAACTAGATCTATTCGGCAGCTATAGATTTTGGTACCTTAGGAAAATCTGTGTTCTGACTGTAACAGTAAAAAATGTGTTTATTTTTCAGTATTGAAGAAGTACATGAGAAGAATTGAGAATTCCACTTAAGTGGAATATTTTATATTTAGGGCATTTTTCAGCACTTAAGGACTAGATCAAGTAGCATTATTTAGTTCTAGATGTTCCTTTACACAATTGGCATATATATATATATATAGCTTTTAATTCTAAGTGCAGTATATGTTTTCTGTTAGGAAAAATTTAGAAAATAGGGGAAAATCATTTATAATTCCACTAGGTAGAAAGAATAACAATAAGCATCTTGAAACTAGATTAAAATATTAGGATGCCAGCATTGCATGCAGGCAGCTTTACCTGCTATGCTACAGCCCCGGCCCTGTCATAAACATTCTTTATGTTGCTAAATATTCTACAAGATTGTTTTAGGTAACTTTCTATGTAACTTAAAATTTTATGTTAGAATTACAGATACTCTTCAGTATCTTTATTAACTTAGGATTATTTTACATTAGCAATAAAATATTTAGTGTGAGTTTTTAAAAAAAGTTTTTATTATTTCCTTGAAAGACAGAGTAACAGAGAGGCAGGGAGAGAGAGAGAGAGGTCTTCCATCTGCTGGTTCACTTCCCAAATGGCTGCAATGGCTGGAGCTGGGCCATTCCAAAAGCCGGAGCCAGGAGCTTCTTCTGGGGCTCCCACACAGGTGCAGGGGCCCAAGGACTTGGGCCATCTTCTACTGCTTTCCCAGGCCACAGCAGAAAGCTGGATTGGAAGTGGGGCAGCCAGAACTCAAACCGGCACCCATTTGGGATACCAGCACCACAGGCAGCAGCTTTACCTGCTACACCACGACTCCAGCCCGTATGTGGGGGGTCTTAAAAAATTTTATGGAAATATGGATTATGAAAAACTGTATGATTTTAAATTTTTCACCAAAATAAATTTCTCTTTTAATTCCAGTTTTCCATGAACTTTGTGAAGTACCGATGTGTAACACTTTTTATTCAGTGCATTGTAGTAGTGTGATGTTAATAAATGAGAACCTTTTTAGCAGTTAAGGGATGAAGATTGCTTTTTTTTTTTTTTTTTTTTTGACAGGCAGAGTGGACACAGAGAGACAGAGAGAAAGGTCTTCCTTTGCCATTGGTTCACCCTCCAATGGCTGCTGTGGCCGGCGCACTGCGGCTGGCGCACTGCACTAATCCGATGGCAGGAGCCAGGTACTTATCCTGGTCTCCCATGGGTGCAGGGCCCAAGCACTTGGGCCATCCTCCACTGCACTCCCTGGCCACAGCAGAGAGCTGGCCTGGAAGAGGGGCAACTGGGACAGAATCCGGCGCCCCGACCGGGACTAGAACCTGGTGTGCCGGCGCCGCTAGGCAGAGGATTAGCCTAGTGAGCCGCGGCACCGGAAGATTGCTTGTTAGCACTGAAACGTGTTTCCTGTGTGTCAGAGAACAGTAAAAACTGTTTACTTCTGTACCCTTCTTTTGCAGGAACTTTAATGGAATTGGGTATTTCCCCAATTGTAACATCTGGTTTGATCATGCAGTTGTTAGCTGGAGCCAAAATCATTGAAGTTGGAGATACACCCAAAGACAGAGCTCTATTCAACGGAGCCCAGAAATGTGAGCATGCGTGCAGTTGCAGAGCCTTTTCCAAATCTGAGGGTGTTTGTGCTGCCAATGTTTTCCGTGGCCTTTCTTGTCTTTGATTGTAAGCATGTGCTACTTTTCTCCCCAATTTTTGTCAGTATTTGGTATGATCATTACGATTGGGCAAGCCATTGTGTATGTCATGACGGGGATGTACGGGGACCCTGCAGAAATGGGTGCTGGCATCTGTCTCCTTATCATTATTCAGGTAAGAAAATCCTGCCTTTTCATATGCAGATAATAAACAGTTTGATGTCTTTTTTTTTAAACAGTTGTTTATGTAATTGATTTATTCATTTCACTTTTGAATTATTAAATTATTTTTATTACTGAAGTAATATGTGTAAATTATGTTGGTTTAGCAAATGATTCTCTATTAGCCTTTTACCTACACAATATAATTATGGATCTGTTGTATTTCAGTGCCTCTGGTATGTCCATTTTGTGTATTTGGAGGTCTCTAAAATCAGGATGCTTTCTTACAGTTAATAGTGCCCAGCAGTTGCTGTCAGCCAAAGGGTAGTCATGGCAGTTGTCACTGCCTGTGCACATGTGCCAGCTTGGTCATAGCTGCTCATATCCTCATTATACCAGTTGGTTACATGTATTGTTGATAAACAGGTGTTTGAGTTTAATTACTATCTCAAATAGCCTCCAAAAATGTGTTGTAATTATTGAAATGAAAGTTTTTGTGTGTACAGAAAGGCGTATAAACAACAAGCTGGATGATAAATATGTATGACTAAGAATACCTCATTTTGTAAGTAGAAAATAATTTTAAATAAATTTTTTTCTTAATTTTATTTATTTATTTGAGAAGTAGAGTTACAGACAGAGAGGTCGAGACAGAGAGAAAGATCTTCATCCTCTGGTTCACTTCCCAAATGACAACAATGGCCAGAGCTGGGCTGATCTAAAGCCAGAAAGCTTTTTCCGGGTCGCCCATGCAGGTGCAGGGGCCCAAGCACTTGGGCCATCTTCTGCTTTCCCAGGCCATAGCAGAGAGCTGGTTAGAAAGAGGAAGAGACACAAACCCTGCACACATATGGGATGCCGGCACTGCAGGCGGAAGCTCAGCCTACTACGCCAAAGTGCTGACCCCCAAAGTAACAATTCTTCATAATAATGTATTGTGTCATGGGTAATTGGCAGTATTCTTTATTAGTGATATACAGAATTATAGTGTTTGAAGTACTGATGTCTTAGAGTCAGTGAACTAACATGCATACACTCATATTCCATGGATGTTTTAAATGGACGCTTTGAAATGAAATTTTTATTTATTTTTTTAAAGATTTATTTATTTATATGAAAGTCAGAGTTACACAGAGAGAAGGAGAGAAAGGAGAGAAAGAGAGAGGGGGGGAGAGAGATTGAGAGAGATTGAGATATCTTCTACCCATTGGTTCACTCCCCAAATGGCTGCAATGGCTGGCTAGAGCTGCGCTGATCCGAAGTCAGGAGCCAGGAACTTCTTCCAGGTCTCCCACATGATTGCAAGGGCCAAGGCTTTGGGCCATTTTCTGCTGCTTTCCCTGGCCAGAGCAGAGAGCTGGATCAGAAGTGGAGCAACTGGGTCTTGAACTGGCCCCCATATGGGATGCCAACACTGCAGGCAGAGGTTTTACCCGCTACGCCACAGTGCAGGCCCCGTGTAATGGAATTTTTAAAGGGCAGTATAATAATTTCCACTACTAAGTATCTTCCAGGGTGTAAAATTTGGAACATATTGCTCTGTTGTATAACCCTTAATCATCATTTAAAGAAACAACCCAAGAATATGTTGTATTTAGGCTTTATAGTAGTTATTTTTTGTGTTTTGAAAAGTTTCCTTAAGTTAAAAAACTGGGTGTCTGCAGCTGTAATTATCTTGGAAATGTGTCTTCTTACCTGCTCTATGAAATTAGAATTAATTTAGGAAAATCTTTTTAACGATTCAAATGATCAAACTCGGGGCTGGCGCTGTGGCGCACTAGGCTCACCCTCCACCTGCGGCGCCGGCATCTCATGTGGGCACCAGTTCTGTCCTGGCTGCTCCTCTTCCAGACCAGCTTTCTGCTGTGGCCCAGGAGGGCAGAGGAGGATAGCCCACATGCTTGGGCCCTGCACCCGCATGGGAGACCAGGAGGAGGCACCTGGCTCCTGGCTTTGGTTTGGTGGGGCTCCATCCATTGCGGCTCCATCCATTGTGGCTATATGGGGAATGAACCAACGGAACGAAGACCTTTTCTCTCTCTCTCACTGTCTGTAATTCTACCTGTCAAATAAATAAATAAAAATCTAAAAAAAAAAAAAAAAACTCAAAAAAATAGTTTTGAAGGGTTCCAGGTACCAATTTGGTCATGTATAGTTGAGAAATGTGATTGTCCGAGGCTGGCTTGGTTGTTCATTCATTTTTCCTCTAGAAACCTTATATAGGAAACCTCATCTAGGACCAGTCATAATAAGATGGATCGGGGGCCTGATTCAGAACAAGGAGAGTTGCGTTATTCAAGTGTTTTTTGGACTCATAACAATAGGGATGGCTTTTTTCCTCCTTTTTTTTCCATTTGTATTTGATGTGAGCTGGTGAGCTTTCACCCACTGGTTCACTTCCCAGATGCCTGAAATGGCTGGCCAGAGGGGTGCAAGTCAGGAACCAGGGACTCTATCCAGGTCTCCTGCGCAGGTGACAGGAACTCAGCTGCCTCACAGGAGTCTGGAGCCAGGAGCAACCCAGGAACTCTGATGTGGGGTGGCATATCCTAACCTGAGGGTTACCCCTCCGGGTTAAACATCTCGCCCAGAGTGGCTTTTCTGATGAGGTGCTTTTTTGACAAGGCAGGACATTTTAATCAATTGGCATTTTCTTCAAGTGTAATATTATCTTTATTCTTCCATTTGTAAAGCACTTGGCTGGCAAATTTTATAACCCTTGGGAGTTAGAGGAAGGAGGGATGCAGTGGATGGGGAGAGGATACTTTGGAGACTGATTTTCATACCTTTACTGCTTAGTATCTCTTGCTGCTTTTGGCCTTGCTGAGGGTCCTTACAGGCCGCTGTTGCCTTATGTTTTTCTCTGTAGCATTTGCTTTATGCAGCCCGTAGTTCAGAATAACCCTATTTATTTTTATTTTTATTGATTTTTTAAAATATATTTGAATGGCAGGGTTAAAGAGAGAGAGGGAGAGACAGGTCTTCTATCCTCTGGTTCACTCCCAAATGGCCACAATGGCCAGAGCTGAGGCAGGCCAGAGCCAGGAGCTTCTTCTGGGTCTCCCAAATGGGTGGCAGGGGCCCAGGCACTTGGGCCGTCTTTCACTGTTTTCCCAGGTGCATTAGCAGGGAGCTGAATTGGAAATGGAGCAGCTGGAACTCAAACCGGTGCCCATGTGGGATGCTGGTGTCATAGGCAGCGGCATAACACACTATGCCCTAATGCTGATTGCAAGATTTATTTATTTATCTGAAAGAGAGAGAGTGGGAGAGACAAAGAAACGTCTTTGATTTGTTGCTTCACTCCCCTTGGGGCCACAACTACCAGTGCTGGGCCAGGTCTAAACCAGGAGCCAGGAGCTTCATCTGACACTTGATGAAGTGCTGCTTTCTCCAGGCCATTAACAAGGAGCTGGAACAGAAGTGGAGCAGCTGGGATGCAATGACACCCATATGGGAAGCCTGCACTGCAGGTGGTCCCCCAGAATACCTCCGTAACCCTGAATTTTAAAAGACATTCAGAACTGGCCCTAGCTCTTAGAAATTATGCCTTCTTATACAGTAGGTTGTGGATTTATTTGATATAAAATGGAGTTAAGCTATTTTGATGTTTATTTTCTCTATTAGAAGCCCAAGACAGTTACATTATGTGAATAGAATAAGTAAAATGGATATATATATTCATTTATTTACTTAAGTTCTGGCATACAAATACTTGTGTCTCGGTTAATTCTTGTAGTGCAAATGTATAGAGAAATGCATTATCCTAGGTGGGCAGTGACTCATTGGTGTCTTTTCAGGGCTTTGCTAACACTGAGAGTATGTGTTTATCAAAGGAGCTATGATTGGTTCATTGTGTTTTCTCTTAGATACATAGTTTTTTTTTTTGTTTTTTTGTTTTTTTTTTTTTTTTTTTTGACAGGCAGAGTGGACAGTGAGAGAGAAAGACAGAGAGAAAGGTCTTCCTTTTGCTGTTGGTTCACCCTCCAATGGCCACCACGGCCGGCGCGCTGCGGCCGGCACACCGCGCTGATCCGATGGCAGGAACCAGGTACTTCTCCTGGTCTCCCATGGAGTGCAGGGCCCAAGCACTTGGGCCATCCTCCACTGCACTCCCTGGCCACAGCAGAGAGCTGGCCTGGAAGAGGGGCAACCGGGAGAGAATCCGGTGCCCCGACCGGGACTAGAACCCGGTGTGCCGGCGCCGCTAGGTGGAGGATTAGCCTAGTGAGCCGTGGCGCCGGCCTAGATACATAGGTTTTATGCATACTGTTATGGAAGTATTTCTTACCTTTCACATTTTTTTTTTTTAAGATTTATTTATTTGAAAAAGTTACAGAGAGAGAGAAAGAGCTCTTTGGCTGGTTTACTCCCCAGAAGGCCACAACGGCCAGCGCTGGGCCGGGCAAAGCCAGGAACCAGGAGCTCTTCTGGGTTCCTATGTGGGTGGCAGGAGCCCAAACGTTTGGGCCATTTAACCTCCACTGCTTTTCCTAGGCCACCAGCAGGGAGCTGGATGGGAAGTAGAGTAGCTGGGGATTGAATTGGCGTCCATGTGGGATGCTATCATTGCAGGCGGCAGCTTTACCCGCCATGCCCCAGTGCCTTCCCAAGGTCGGTGCTTTTTGAGTGATGAGTTTTGAAATCTAAATGGTGGGTCTCGATTAAAACTTTAGAAAGATGAATAAAAAATCAGTGTCCCTGGCTCGTGGGAAAGGGCAGTCAGTAGTTTGCTAGCCTAAGTCGTTGGGTGGAGACGGTCGTTCCCACTGCAGAGGTTGCCTCCGTTCCAGTCACTGCCGCAGTCACCGAGCTGCCGCTCACTCCCTGGTCTCTCATCCCTTTTCATAGGCACGCGTGCATCTTTTACATTGTTCCCTCAGTTACGGAAACCGTTTCTCATTTAGCTTTCTCTGCAGTTGCTTTCTACCGTTAGAATGCAAGCATGTACCTGGCCCAGGATATGGTCGAGTCCCTCTGAGTGTGCTCGACACTGCCCTCAACAGGGCGTCTGGAGAACAGCAGTCGTTTTAGGGCTGCCCTGTACCTTTGTGCAGTTGGCTGTCAGAAGCCCATGATCAGACTTTGTGGTGGCTGACGGTCGGTAGACAGCTGTCATTCCCTGCGTGGGAATGGGTTTCTGTCTTTGCAATTATGAGTACTGATTGCCTCACAGTGTGATCCTGGTCAAAATAAAATGTTGTAACTTTCTGTCACAGTGTCAGACGGGCTTCTACTAGTAGTAAAGGGTTCGCATGAGTCTGTTAGAAGTTTGAGGATTGTCCCCTTTTTTCAGTTCATTGAAAGACTACATGACTGAATAGACATGTCGGGCTGTGCAGAGCCGCTGGAATGCAGTTAAGGAACCATTGGCATTAGAAGTACAGGTGCTTAAGATGGGGTAGCATAGCTGCTGCTCGCTGCTCCTCACAGGTGCACCTGGTGGAGGGAGTGACCCCTGAGCCGGGGGCTGGGGGGTTCTCAGCAGAGCGGCCTGTCTTCTTCCCACTTGATGAGGCTGCTCAGCTTACAGCAGGGAGGCAGATGAACAGTGAGTAGTCGGTCACCTGCGAGGCTGTGGAGTGTTGTAACTGATGCGTCCTTTTATGGAAATGTCTCCTCCATGAAGAAAACTAAGAATTTTCAGTGTCAAAATTAAAGTTTTTTTGCTTTCATTTTGTTAAAAATTATAAGCTTAAGAGCCTGGTGAATTCTTAACTGTCTTCAAATTTACATTCAGTCATCATTCTAGGTATCAAATGCATTTTTACATTGTCATAATCTGTGTATATATTCATTTGTGTTCTTAATTTTTGACTTATTCTCATTATAATATATATATATATAACTAATACTATATGTAATACTTTCAAAAACTATCCACATAGTCTTTATACATACCCTTAGTAGCAGTGTACAGTGCGTCTTGTTACTATAGCACAATTTGTTTAGCCTTTCACTTGGAGGTTTTGGGGAATGTTTTCAGCTCCTACTGTAAGCCTTAAATTCTACAACTCAGATTATTTAATGTGCTTTTCAGATAGGCTGTATTTAAATGTTTAAACATAAGGGCAACTCTTGAGAAGGTTTTAAGCAAACTTTAAAGGTTGAAATGTCTGCTTTATAATTTAACAGTCTTTCCAGGCCTCTAATTTTCAGAATTGGCTTCTGACTAAACTCCAGCAGATAGTCACAATAGAGAGAGTGCAGCAGTTGGGCTTCCTACTAAAATGCCCGTCCCGTGGAGGTAGCCATAGTGTTCGTCCTGCCCTCTCCTGAGTTTATTCTTGCTTCAGCTCACTTGCATTTCTCTCCCCACAGTTGTTTGTTGCTGGTTTGATTGTGCTGCTGTTAGATGAGCTGCTACAGAAGGGTTACGGCTTGGGGTCTGGTATTTCCCTCTTTATTGCCACCAACATCTGTGAAACCATTGTCTGGAAGGCCTTTAGTCCCACTACCATTAACACTGGCAGAGGTACATTGCACAGCGCCTGCAACTGCACGAATTTTGCTGGATGTGTGCTGAGAGCGAGTCCATAGTGTAGCAGTACGTGCCTGTAGCCGGTCTGGTTTGCACTTCCCTGGGGACAAAGAATGCTAATTGTTCAAAACTTAAGAAACAGAGATTTGTGGAGTAGCATGTGTACTACTTCAGAAAACAATTTCCAAATTTTAGCCTCTGCTCATTTAAAATTCCAGTGGTTGCAAACAGGGTTTGAAATCTTGTTTGTTAACCTTGCTGAAGCCCTTGCTGCACGGGTCATGTGTGTGACTGAGCTCAGCATTCCTGAGGGGGTGAAAGGTAGTGAATTAAGATTTTCCAAATGAAAAAGCTGGTGCTCATTGTATCCTCAGGGAGCACTAGTACTTGGGCTGCTCTTCTGATTGGCTTTGTCGTAGCACCTAAGTTTTGAAAGATTTCATTCGGTCTTTCCCCTCGCCCCTGCACTGCTCTCAGATGCTGTCCTAGTCTCATTGCTCACCATCCACCCCCCGAGCCCAGCGTTAAGGAAACAGTAATGATGGTTTATTGATGTTCTTGGTACAATAAACTTAATGGCAAGCTTGGTAGAGGAACATATCTTTTGATTCTCACATCTTTTTTTTTTTTTTCTGCTTTGCTGTTGCTTTTTTTTCCCCCCCTAAAAATACTCTTTTCCTCTCCCCAAAGTGAAGGAGAGGCAAATCTTTATGAATGAATTATTTGCTTTGGTAAATGCTACTTTGGATGTTTTCATCAAGAGTAGTCTCTTGAGAAAACCTCAGATGTATGTTTAAAAAGATAGATTTGCCTCAGTGATCTACGTAATTGTAGAACCCGTTATCCATGGCTGTGTCGTAAAGCAAACGGTGGTGAACTGTGTTGACTTGTACTCTGTATTGTATGTAGAGTTGCAGGTGACTTGCTTTGACTGGGGATGACGCTGTACGACACGTCTACAGTTCATTTCTGTCTTGATTCCTCAGGTACCGAGTTTGAGGGAGCAGTCATAGCTCTGTTTCACTTGTTGGCCACCAGGACAGACAAAGTCCGAGCTTTAAGGGAGGCTTTTTATCGTCAGAATTTGCCCAATCTCATGAACCTCATTGCTACAGTCTTTGTGTTTGCTGTTGTTATATATTTTCAGGTAAATATAATCTCTTGGCTGAAGTAAGTTGGATGTGGATTTTTATTTTGCTCTTAAAGAAGAGAATGCCATTGGAGATGCTCCTGTCTTAGCAAGTCAGTGTTTTATGATCTAGTCACTTTTCTCAGGGTGTCAAATAATGGTGTTTAAGTAACAGAAAAGGATTTTCAAGCAGATTCATGTTGTATTATTTTTATTCATTTGAAAGGCAGAGAGCTTCCATCCACTGGTTTGAGTAAGCCAAGTGCCTGCCTGTGCAGCTGGGAATGGGACAGGGAGAAGCCAGGAGGCAGAAACTGCACCTGGGTCTCCCACATGGGGGCGGGGATGCAAGGACCTTTCAGGGTGCACATTAGCAGGAAGCTGGAATTAGAAGTGGAGTTGGGACTCAAACCTTCTCTAATATGGGATGAGACAGCCTAACTGCTGTGCCAGATGCCCATCCCCCAAAATGATTTTGAAGTCTGTACCCAAGGTGGGATTTGTCGGTTAGCACTGCCTTCTCATTCTCCCTGCAGTTAATTCTTTTCTCTGTGCCTGCATCCTTCGTCCGTACAGTTCCCTAACGTGCTCTACGTTTCATTTTTCAGGGATTTCGTGTTGACTTGCCCATTAAGTCAGCCCGGTACCGAGGACAGTACAGTAGCTATCCCATCAAGCTCTTCTACACCTCGAACATTCCCATCATTCTTCAGTCGGCCTTAGTTTCAAACTTGTATGTGATTTCCCAGATGCTGTCTGTGCGATTTAGTGGCAACTTTTTAGTAAATCTACTAGGACAGTGGGCTGTGAGTATTTTATTTCTATTAAGTATTTAAAATTTACTATAATTTCTGTTTCACGGTTTTATTTCCCCCTGAATGAGACTTTGAAGTAGTTGTTCGAACATTTTCCACCTTCCTTATCGATAGCAGAATCTGTTACCTTCCTGGAAGAGCTGGTAAGTATTGTAACACTAACATGGGTCAAGGCTGTCTAGGAAGCACTGTCATATCTTCTTCAGGTTAAAATCACAGTTGCTTTCATAAAAGTGATTTCCTGTTTTGTAGTCTTATTTCACCTTTGTAATGAAGTTCGTCCCTTTTTAAAGCTGTTTGCTGACAATATGTGGGGTAGCAGAATCCTTTCTTCTTTTCCTTCTGTTTTCCTTGGTCTGAACAGCAGTAAACTGGCTTGTGATTTACTGGGCTGGAGATAGCATGTGTTTAACAGAGCTGATGCGAGAGCTGGACATCGAATGCAGTATGTTCTGACTTCCTTTTGTGATCCTCTTTATCATCACTTCCAAAGCCATCCAGCCATGTTGTTACCCAAGTGTGACTTACTAGAATGAAGTTTAATTGGTTTAAATGCTATCATCTAACAAAGGGGTATTTTTCCTTCTTGGAATGAAAGAATTATTGCATTCTACCAAAGAACAGTATTTTTCATATATAATCTTTACTATTGAACTATAGTGCTTATTCTATGCATTTATCTTAATATATTATCTGTTTCTTGTAAATCTTAGTAACTCATCTCTCGGATTTTACTAAAGGTCATTATAAAAAAAAAAAAAAAAACAAACTTTAAAGCTTAACAGAACAAAACAGTAACTCCTGAATGTTAGTTGAGGAAATAGAATTCTCTTTATCCATACCACTCCTTTCAATTTATTGGAAAGAAATTTGATTCCCTGTAGCCATTATAACTAGGCTGATAAAGAACAGACTAAGAAGGATGCTGTCCCTCCTTCACTAGCTCATAGTCTAGCAGTTACTGCTGTGTTGATAGTTAGAAACACACTGAGTAGTTGGTTCTGTATAGACTGGGTTGTGATTTTCACTGTAGTTTTTTAAAAACATTTATTTGAAAGAGTTAGAGAGAGGGAGAAAGACACATAGGGTATAAGAGGAGATCTTCCATCTAGTGGTTCACTCCCCAAATGGCTGCAGCAGCCAGGGATAGGCCAGGCCAAAGCCAGGAGTCAGGAACTCCATCTGGTGTCCCACGTGGGTGGCAGGAAACTAAGCAGTTGGGCCACCATCCGCTGCCTCCCCGGAACATTAGCAGAAAACTGGATCAGAAGTACGGAGTATGTGGGGCTCAAACCAGGCACCCTGGTATGGGACGGGGATGCCAGTGCCCAAGGCAGTGGCTTAACCTGCTACCACAATTCCTGCTCCAGATTTTTTTTTTAAATAAAAATTTATTTTTATATATCTTATTTTTATATATCTTTAGACTGAATGAGAGACAAAGAGAAGGATCTTTCATCCAGTGGTTCACTCCCCAAATGCCTGCAACAAGTAGGGCTGCTGGTCCAGGCTATAGCCAGAAACCAGGGAACTCCATCTTAGTCTCCCATGTGGCTTGCAGAGATCCAAGAATTTAAACCATCACCTGCTGCCTCCCAGGGTGCACATTAGCAGGAAGCGGCAATCAGGAAGCAGAGTTGGGACTTGGATCCAGGCACACTGATAAGTGACACAGGCATGTCAGGTGGTCTCTTAACTAAGACTTTTTTTTTAAAAAAAAAGATTTATTTATGTATTTGAAAGACACAGTAACAATGCTGAGACAGAGAGAGCTTCCGTCTGCTGCTTCACTCCCCAGATGGTCACAGTGCCCCCGGTGTTCCATGTAGGTGGCAGCATTCCAAATACTTGGACCATGTTCCACTGGTACATTAGCAGGGAGCTGAATAAGAAACAGAGGAGCGAGGACTCAGACCAGTGCTCCCATGTGGGATGCTGGCGTTGTAAATGGCAGCTTAACCCACGGCACTACAATGCCGGCCCCATCCAAGATTCTTTTAGATGGTAGAATTATTGGAAAACTGAATGTGTCTATAACCAGTGCTTTAGTTCTGGGATTATTGATTCTAGGGGCATAGTAGAAACTTACTTGAAAATCATAGACATTGTAGCCCAAAATTGCTTTCCCGGTGTGAACCCTAAAATTTTTATTTAATAGGAACAAAGATATGCTATTCTATTTCTGTTACTGGAAAAATTCTCACAAGTCCCATTGTTACAAATATTTGTTAAAACACTTTTTAATAATATGCAAACCATATAAAGTTTAGGCAGTGAACTGCTAAGTGTTTGTCAGTATTTGGATTGCAATCTTTTTTTTTTTTTTTTTTTTTTTTTAAATTTGAAAGGCAGAGTTACAGAGAGTGGGGGAGAGACAGACTGAGAGATCTTCCATCTGCTGGTTTACTCCTCAAATGTCCACAACAGCTGGAGCTGGGCCGATCCAGAGCCAGAAACTTCTTTTGGGTATTTCACATGGGTGCAGGGGCCGAAACACTTGGGCTGTTCTCCACTGCTTTCCCAGGCAGCATTAGCAAGGAACTAGATCCAAAGTGGATCAGATGGGACTCGAACTAGCACCCATACAAGATGCAGGCACCACAGGCAGAGGCTTAACCTAACTGTGCCACAGCACTGGCCCTCTATTGCATTCTTTTTTTTTTTTTTTTTGGACAGGCAGAGTGGACAGTGAGAGAGAGAGACAGAGAGAAAGGTCTTCCTTTTGCCGTTGGTTCACCCTCCAGTGGCCGCCGCGGCCGGCGCGCTGCGGCCGGCGCACCGCGCTGATCTGATGGCAGGAGCCAGGAGCCAGGTGCTTTTTCCTGGTCTCCCATGGGGTGCAGGGCCCAAGCACCTGGGCCATCCTCCACTGCACTCCCTGGCCACAGCAGAGAGCTGGCCTGGAAGAGGGGCAACCGGGACAGAATCCGGCGCCCCAACCGGGACTAGAACCCGGTGTGCCGGCGCCGCTAGGCGGAGGATTAGCCTAGTGAGCCGCGGCGCCGGCCTCTATTGCATTCTTAATACTTATAAATAGCAGAGTTATGCTTGAGGATCTTAATATAATACATTGGGTAGTCAGTTCAGAAAATCCAGGTTCTAAATATAATTAGTTATATTGTAAATGTCGTCACAGTCCTACCTTTGTGAAGAAAAGGAAGATTTAGTAGATTTTTTTGTAAAAAAATTGCTTTTCTGTTAACATATATACAATGTCATGATTTCGATGGAGTGAAAGAATTAGATGAAAACAGTAACTCCTTGAGTTATATACAAGCAGACTAGTTGTTTAGGACTTAAAACACTGTCATAGTGTTTGAGGAATTTCCAGTGCTAAGAAGTGAGAAGGTTGATCATTTGTTCTTTTTCTTCTGGCTCTATAGGACGTCAGTGGGGGAGGCCCTGCTCGTTCCTACCCTGTTGGAGGCCTTTGTTACTACTTGTCTCCTCCTGAGTCCATGGGTGCCATATTTGAGGATCCTGTCCATGTTGTCGTTTACATCATCTTCATGTTGGGATCCTGTGCATTCTTTTCTAAGACGTGGATAGAGGTATCTGGCTCCTCAGCCAAAGATGTGAGTATTTGTTTTATTTGAAAATGATACCGTATTTTTTTGGAAAAAAATTCATAATTTTTTGGTGTCAAAATATACACTCTTCTGTAATTTAAAGTTGGTTTAATTTGTACATTCTTAATGAGTCTGTGTCATCCCCAAGAGGCCAAAAACTAGTTCCTGGGAGGTAAGAAATTCTCAGTGATTGCCATGGTTTGTTACCCTCCGCAACTCAACCCTACCCTACATTCACATTTCTTAGTTTTTACTTTCTCTATAGGGAGGTGTTGATAACAGCGGTGCTGAAGAACACTGGCTTGGTGTCTGGGTGACAACCAGCTGCACAGCACCGAGGCCCTGGTTTCTTTGGGTTTAACGGGGGTGACGTGACACTGCCACCTTCAGGGTGCTTGTATGCCTGCGTGTGCAGAGAGCACTTCACACAGAACCCAGTAGATGCTGACCACGGAAATGGTAAGAGTTTGATTGTCAAAGGTGATTTTTCTTTTTTTGCAGGTAGCTAAACAGCTAAAAGAACAGCAAATGGTAATGAGGGGTCACAGAGATACCTCTATGGTCCATGAGCTTAATAGGTAAGGTCATGAGATCACCCCTTTGTCAGTGCCTGTGTATGTTTCCGTCTTTGATTTATCACTGAATGTCATCGCTCTGTTCTGATTCATATTGAAAGCATTTTTCTTGTACTCCACACAGCAGACCTGGTGTCCCCCAAAATGTAATTGTTCTGCACGTCAAAACTGACATGTAAATTATTAACTGCAGCCCTGTTCCCCTCACCGTTCTGTCCAGGGTTGGACTGTAGGTAGTTCTGTGCATGTGAAATCACCAGGGAACTTCTACAAAGGACTGGCATCCCACCCCTGGAATGGTGATCGGGCCTGGATGAGTTTCAAGCCTCAGGTTTTTGGTCTTTGGTAAAGCTTTGAGATGTAATTCACACACCATGCAGTGCACTCATTTGAAGTGTGTAGTTACTGGTTTTTAAAATATATTCAGAGCCACCAAATCCTTACGATCTGGTTTTAAAAACATTTTCATCAGGCCTGTGCTGTGGTGTAGCAGGATAAGCCACTGCCTACAATGCTGGCATCCCCTATGGGCGCCAGTACGTGTCCTGGCTGCTCCTCTTCTGATCCAGCTCCCTGCCTATGGCCTGGGAAAGCAGTGGAGGATGGCACAAGTGATTGGGCCCCTGAATCCACATAGGAGATCCAGAAGAAGCTCCTGGCTCCTGGCTTTGGCTTAGTCTAGCCCTGGTCATTGCTGCCATTTGGAGAGTAGACCAGCAGATGGGTGATCTCACTGTCTCTCCTTCTCTAATTCTGCCTTTCATATAAAATAAATAAATCTTTAAAACAAAAAAAATTTTCTTCATCACTCAGAAACGCCAGTGCAAGCCTAAGCTTTGCTGCCTAAGCTGCACGGCCACCGTGAGCTCTGTAGGCCTGCCCCTGCTGGGTGCTTCAGAGTCGTGCACATGGTCTTTTCTCTGGGTGGCTTCTTGCACTTTGCGTGCTTTCACGGGTCATCCATTTTGTAGTGGGTGTTAGTACTTCAGTCCTCTTTACTCATTCCCTTGTATGGGTTTGCCATGTCATTCATTCATTGATGGAAATTTTTGCTTCTGCTCCTTGGCTGTTATGAATAATGCTATTCCACCCATGTGTGGAGTACAGTTCTTGGGTCCTATCACGATGCTGTGTTTAGCATGTGGAGGAGCTGCTAAATACTTTCCCCTCTACATTCCCACCAGCAGTGCGCAAGGCTCCAGCGGCTGCCTGGCCTCACTGGTGCTACTTTTTGGTTTCAGTTCCAAGGGGTGTGAAGTGGTATCTGTGTGTTTTGTTTTGTTTTGTTTTGTTTTTAATTTATTTATTTGAAAGATTACACACACATACACACACACACACACACACAGAGGTCTTCCATCTGATGGTTCATTCCCCAGATGGCCGCAACGGCTGGAGCTGTGCTGATCCAAAGCCAGGAGCCAGGAGCTTCTTCCGGGTCTCCCATGTGGGTGCAGGGTCCCAAGCACCTGGGCCATCTTCTGCTTTGCATGGCCATAGCAGAGAGCTGGATTGGAAGTGGAGCAGCCAGGATTTGAACCAGTGCCCATATGGGATGCCGGCGCTGCAGGTGGTGGCTTTACCCACTATGCCACAGCGCTGGTGCCCGTTTGTGGTTTTTATTTGCCTTTCTGTGAAGACTATTGATGTTCAGCATCTTTTCATGTATATATTGGCCATATATATATATATATACACACACACTATATATGTACATATATATTTATTTTTTTTTAATTTGAAAGGCACAGAGGCAGAGAGAGAGATCTGCAGTCCACTGTTTTACTCCCCAAATGCCCACAATAGCCAGGGTGAGGCCAGGCTGAAGCCAGGAGCCAGGAGTGCCATCCAGGTCTCCCATGTGGGTGCCAGGGACCTATGCATTCAAGCCATTACCTGGTGCCTCTCGAGTGCACACGAGCAGGAAGCTGGATTGGAAGTGGAGGTCCACTCTGCTACGGGGTGTAATGCTAAGCACCCATTCCTTGGAAGTGGAGGTCATCCGCTGAGGGATGTGAGCATCCTGAACAGCGGCTTCCCTCTGCGGCTGAAACCGGTCCCCTTCCTCTTTTCCTGATAGCGTGCTCTGTCTGACACACAGCTTTTCATTTCGTTGAAGCCTAATTTCCCCTTTGGTTGCCTTGTGCTGCTTTTGGTGTTGGATTAAGCATTGCCAAAGACACGGTTACAAGTGTTTACTCCTGTTTTCTTCTGTGGGTTCTAGCTCTCATATTTAGTGTCTGCTTTGAGTTAACTTTTGTGTTTGATGTGAGATAGGGATCCAGGTACCTTCTGTTGCATGTGGGCATCCAGTTGGCCCAGCACCGTTTGTTGAGCCACTCCTGTGTGGTTTTATTTGAGCCTTGTATTTATTTAGAGCCTAGACCGCAGAGGGTAGCACAGCGAGCCTCCAGCTCCCGTAGTGCCTGTCATTCTCCCACTCCTGTTTCATCCACCATCTCCCTAGGCTTTTTTGAATGAAACTCCATATTTAACAGTTTTCCAGGTAATCTGGATGTGCAGCCAAGGTTGACTTACTGTTGAGGAGGATCATCAAAATCTTGTTAGCCTGTGTTTGTTAATACTTAGAAAGCATTTTGAAGTCTACTCTTCCTTCCGCAAGAGGGAACCATAGTTTACTCATTTAAAAATATTCTGCCTTAAGAATCATGCATTGCCTTTCTTGGCCATTTACTGGTTTCTCAAAATTGAGTCAAAATAATTGCCTTTTAACCTATTATGTCCCATCATTGTATATATAGGACACGTTAAACTTTAAATTGAGGGGCCAGTGTGGTGGCACAGCTGGGCTGGCATCTCATATTAGAGTGCCAGTCCCAGTCCTGCTGCTCTGCTTCTGATCCAGCTCCCTGCTAACATACCTGGGAAGGCAGCAGAAGATGGCCCGAGTACCTTGGGCCCTGGGAGACCAGAAGGCTTCAGCCTGACCTAGACGTGACTGTTGTGGTCATTCGGGAGGTAAACCAGTAGTTGGAAGATTTCTGTCGCTCTTTCAAAGAAAACCTTTAAATTTAGCAATCAACTTACCACTTACATTTTACTACTGTACAGTACAGTAAAATGTTGAAATATTTGCAGAATTGAAAACTTGGGACTTAGGTTAATGACGGGATTTTCATGAACATTGTCTTCTGTCATGTGTAGCCCCTTTCATGGCAGACTGTCCCACGTCACTAGTTCAGTTATGCCTTTTAGAGAGCCACTAACGGGAAAGCTTCGACCCCTCGCTGCTTCTGTGTGCTGGTTTCCATCCGCTGCTAACCAGAGGTGTCTGTCTTCCAGGTACATCCCCACGGCAGCCGCGTTCGGTGGTCTGTGCATCGGTGCCCTGTCGGTGTTAGCCGACTTCCTTGGGGCCATCGGATCGGGCACTGGAATTCTGCTTGCAGTCACTATTATTTATCAGTATTTTGAAATATTTGTTAAGGAACAGGCTGAAGTTGGTGGGATGGGTGCTTTGTTTTTTTAAGTGTTCCAAATATTTCTTTTTGTGTGTGTGAAAGGGAAAATATTTTGACACATTGTTTTTGTCAAAGAACGCCAGTCCCCCTTCTCTTCCTTCACGGTTTCTTGTTTTCAAGTGCTACCTGTCCCATTTCCAAAATGGGCACCGAGCTAAGCCTGTGTGCAGCGTTAGTACCAGCTGCCTTAAAACTGAAGTTTACATTCTCCATTAAGAAGTGTCCATCCAGTGTCGCCTGTGCTGCGGGAGAGCAGTGTGACTGCCTTGCTGTGTTCAGTCACCACAGGGAGGCGGTGATGTGGATTCCTTTTGCACACAACGTTCAGAACACTATCCCCCCACGCACACTTGTTTAAAAATGAATCTAGTTCAGATCGCCACTTTCCAATACTTTTGAGCTTATTTAATGAGTTCTGGAACACTTGTATCTAGTCTATATTTTAGATAATTACTTTTTATACTTTTTTAACTCATAGTATCCATGCTCCCGGCCCTCCCTCCCCAGACCCTCCCTCTTATTGGTCCCTTTCCAAAGCAGCCACGGGCAAAACTCAAGATGAGTCACTTCTGTCACTAGAGCCAGCTGCTTCTAGTCACTCTTCCCGCCCTTCTTCCCCCTTTCTTCCCGTGACAGCATACGCGGTGCTGTTGGACTGTATTGGCTATGCCTTCTAACTCCAACCAGTCACTTGAGAATGCCCTTTAAGACACTATGTCCCAATTCGGTTTTTTCTTTCTTTTTTTAAATCCCTGAGGCAAAGATTTAATTCTCAAGCAGTGTCTGTAGCTCAGTGGGGGTGAACAATAAGTAATTCATGCTAGGAATTTATGTATGTTGTTGTGTTTACAGCAGCAACATGAGTGTAAACAGTAGACAATAAACTTTTATTTAATAAAACTGTTTCGGCTGTGTTGGAAGAATAAAGAAATCTGATACTGTGTTTTCTGAGATTACTTGTATGGGTTCACTGTATTCATACAGAGCCCATGGTGATTTGCCTGTTCAAAGAGGCCAAATGTGATTACATACTGACGTTTAATCCTCAACTGTTCAGGGACACTGGCCAATTTAAAGGTGCTCATGTATGTGACTAGTATTTGGAAAAGGACAGGAAGACAGTGGTCTCAGAAGTTTCTCAGTCTCTGTTTGAAACTGCAAAGCTCTCTGTCAGTATTTCTTTTTTCAAAGTATGTGCTTTATTTTCCAGATCAAACTTAATTCTGAAAAGATATTTTCAGAAGTAGTTTTCCGTCATGGTTTGCTCTTTCTGTATGTGTAGCAAGTATGTCTTAAGCTTAGGGTTACCAAGCCAGGTAATTCCAGGGCCAAGACAGATGAGACAAAGGCAGGCAGAAGGGCAACAAGAGCCAGCATCTCCAAGGTGCCCAGGACCGCTGTCACCACAGGAATATGGGACCCAGTGTTGTCGCAATATGACATAAGAAACCTGGTGTTTTAAAATGTAGGCAGATAAACAGTGCTAGCCAATCAAAACATGCAGACTGCCAGTTCTCAGACACGTCGTCCCCACAGCATAGCCTGTGATGTTAACAGATACAGCAAGGGCTTTAGAGATACGGGCTAGGATTCAGCTGCCTCTTGAAGAAAATGGGGAGAGAACAGCAGACAGAATGGACAGGTAGGGGTTCAGATCTCATTCCCCCATCGTCATGAAGAGCTGGTCCTTCCCATCAGAAGTGGCTTGGGAAGAACGTGTGTGTGTGTGTGTGTGTGTGAAGAGTGGTCTGTGTTGGGGTCTGTGTGCCTTGTCTCTTCTTCATTTTTGTTTTTTCTTCTGGATTTTGAAAGGAGTAATGTGGCAAATTATAGGATGTGTCCTTGTGGGTTAAAGGAAAAGGATTAAGCTCTTTGGAGCATCACGATACCCATGATTAAAAATCAGGACTCTGGGGCTGGCGCTGTGGCATGGTGGATTAAAGCTGCCTCCTGCAGTGCCAGCATCCCATATGGGCGCTGGTTCGAGTCCTGGCTGCTCCACTTCCGATCCAGCTCTCTGCTATGGCCTAGGAAAGCAGTAGAAGATGGCTCAAGTACTTGGGCCCCTGCACCTGCATGGGAAGACCTGGAGGAAGCTCCTGGCTCCTGGCTTCAGATTGGTGAAGCTCCAGCCGTTGTGGCCAATTGGGGAGTGAACCAGCAGATGAAAGACCTCTCTCTCTCTCTCTCTTTCTCTGTAACTCTTTCAAATAAATAAAATAAATCTTAAAAAAAAAAAAATTGGCCGGCGCCGCGGCTCACTAGGCTAATCCTCCGCCTAGCGGCGCCAGGACACGGGGTGCCGGATTCTGTCCCAGTTGCCCCTCTTCCAGGCCAGCTCTCTGCTGTGACCAGGGAGTGCAGTGGAGGATGGCCCAGGTGCTTGGGCCCTGCACCCATGGGAGACCAGAAAAAGCACCTGGCTCCTGGCTCCTGCCATCGGATCAGCGCGGTGCGCCGGCCGCCGCGCACCGGCAGCGGCGGCCATTGGAGGGTGAACCAACGGCAAAAGGAAGACCTTTCTCTCTGTCTCTCTCACTGTCCACTCTGCCTGTCAGCCCCAGCCCTCACAGGAAGCTGGTTCAGTGACTCTAAAAATGTAGCAGCCAGTATAGTAGCGCTGAGAGGGGATCTTACCTTCTACAGCATTTAACACAGAAAATGGCGCTTGATGTGAAGCTTACATAGTTCCTGCATGCTTTACATGGCTTGTTTGGCAAGTCTATCTCATGATGAGCTGAGACGCAACCTGGCAACATGAAGTATACTGCAGCATTTTGGCACTAGTACCCTGGTTTCACCTAGAGAACCACTTTTACATGGTCCGAGGGGCCTGGCTTAGCTCCAAGATGGAAACATGACTTAGTGCTGGTCAGGGAGAATCACCCTAAGACTTGCCTGGAAAGAGCTGACAGGAGTAACTAAGAAAATGGTCTACAAACACTCATCAAACTTTTGGACGATGGGCTTCAGGTATGACATGAGCTAGAAGAAATTCCTGTATTTTTTCCTTTGAAAAGTAGTTTGTATTGTGTTTCAAGTGCTGACCAACCCTTCTGAATACGTTCCTGGTTAAACATCAAGATAACAGTGCCTCAGACCACGTCAACTGTGGATCTGTTTTAGAAACGTCAAGTATTTTTTGAGGATAGGGGTCAGATGCTAACATATACCCTTGTGGGAGGGGCCCTGAGTTTCACCTAGCCTTGGTATGGGGAATGGAGTCAGCCAATGCCTGTGACCTAAGGGCTGGTTCAGCTTCAGTAGTTCGTGGGTGCTGGTTGTGAATATCCTTCTCTTGATTTTATATCCTCTGCTGCCTTGTGTGCTAACTCAAGTAGCCCGTCTCTCTTCTAAGACTTCATTTTAAACACAATACAGTCATAGTTATTTGCATACCAAGCACAGGGTTGACCGTGGGACTAGTTGGCCTAATTTGGAACTCAAGTCTGTTCTTTAGAAATATCCTTATACCCTGGATTAGAAAAGTAACTGGTGAGCTTTAAAAAAAAAAAAAAAAAAAGAATAAACATCTCTGTGTGTGTGCTTGTTCATTCATATTAGCTGGAGTTTAACACATTTCAAGTAAGGCTATAGCCTACTTGTAATCACAGTACCGTATCACCACCATATGCATTCTGCTGCTTTTATTTTATGAAAAAACTAAGTTCAAATCTACAGTCAACTAAGTTGAATACAAAGTCTCAGTGAAGGCCTGGTGGTCTCGTTTACAAAGACATGGCCAGTGTCCTCTTTGGCCTTAAAATTTCAGGAAGGGCACTTCAAATGGCTTCGTGTTTGCGTGTTTCAGTGCCAGAGCATAGGAGTAGACCCTGGCATCCACTGTGAGATGTTCTTCGGCTATCAGAGCTATGGGAAGCAAAGAATACAACTTAGGTAACGCGGGCAATAGAAGGGGAACACCAGTTAGTCAAGTTACCGAGCAACCGCTCTATGCTACAGGCTGCTGCTACCGTTTTTTGCTTTCAAGGATGTACAGGATTACCTTCTCAGTGAGGGCCCGGGATACTGGGGTCAGGATTCTGTGCGTGAACACAGCAAAGCCACACGTTCACAGACCCAGATGTACTTCATTTGGGCTCAGGTGGGCTTGCAGACTCCGAGACATGCTGCTGACTGCACAGGGCTGCAGTGAGCGGGACTGGAAGTATCCTACCAAGACCATGGTCTCAGACTCTCCTTCCCGCACACTTCAATGAGAACTTGTGCTTCGCTCAGATGGGAGGCTATCAGACTGGGCAAATCTGCCCCTTGCTTTCCAAGCCCAGAGACACTGCGCTTGCAGGCGAGGCCAGACCTGTGCCCTACTCCCCTGTGTGTGACAGGTGCTCTTGGGAAGGGCTGAACACTACTCAGGCTAGCAACCTGACCGTGAGCGACTGGCCTGCCAGCTCCTCCGGTGTCACTGGGGAGGAAATGATTTGATGACTCGATTTTGGTCCTGTTGAAGCTAGGCAAGCCAGTCCCTTGATCTGCCCCCACCTTCCTCCCTTCTCTCGCTCTATTCCTCCTTCCCCCTCCACCCTGTCCCACCTCCCATCGCTTTTCTAACACCAGTCTGGAAGTTCAGTTAGGTAGAAGGGAGGGCATGTGTAGATAGGATACTCTCCTAAGGAACACACAGAGCAAAAACACATGGCATAGAACATGAAGCACTTGTGGGCCTCGTGCTTTGCCTACGTTATTGCGTTTAATTTTACTCCTGCTTCCTCAGAGGTGAGATGGAAGCTTAGAGAGGCTGGCTCATGACGAATCGAGGTGGGCTGGGCAGCCCGCCCTGGGGCCTGGCATTCTCTGGAAATGTGCCTTGTCAACGAGCACATCTCTCTGCCATGGTGGTTTCTAACGCTGGCCTTGACGTCTTCGGGTGGGTTTTACCTTAGGTGTAGTTTGCTACAAAGGTGAAGGCTGGAACGAGGGCCCTCTGAACAGGGGAAGCCACAGCGGCTTTGGAAAGCGTCACGTGACCCCTCAAACACACACATCGGAGATCCAACCTCTGCCTCCCAAGTGAAACTGAATGCCACCAGCATTCACTCCTGGAAAGAAGGGAGGGACTGTGCTCCTGAGGTTCAGGTCAAATAACGCTCCAGGTTCATTTGTGGAATAATTACTTTAAACCAGCAGAAACATGAAGTGATCGGTTTCCCGAAATACTTAAAACCATTAAAATATTCCGATTACGAGAAGCGCCTTGCTCCTTAGGAATGAGCAGCCGGCACAGGGCAGCTCTGTGGCAGGGCCCGTGCTGTATCTTCATCCACAGCGCCTCCTGCTGGAGCTGCATCAAAGGGCAGCTCTCCATATAGCCCTCTGTCTATAAAACTCCCATAGGACGGGCTGGCCAAGAGTTACACGACGTAACTATGACCAGTGATTCCACCAAGGGTCACACAGCTAGTTAGTGCGGGCCGTTATATCAGCCCATCACAGGTAGTATACTCTAGATGTCTCCAAGACTGGAAGAAATATTGTCGGATTCTCCTGCTCACACGCGCTGCAATGAACCATTCAGTATACTTGTATATTTGAGGAAAGGCTAACAAGACAGCCACTCCCACCTTTGCCCTCAAGGTTACGATGCACTGAAGTTCAGGATGGTTCTGGCTCCCGAGCGGGAATAGATTCTTGATTGTTCTGAAGGGGAAAAAAGGCCCCAGCTAAAGCTGCCCTGTGACACAGAATGTCTTGCTCATCCTTTCAAACCCGTCCCGGGAAGGAAAACTAGCCCTGGCCCACTGCAGTTTTACAGCAGTCTAGGTCCTGGGCTTCCCTGAGATACAGAGACAGAGAAATGCAGTTGGATGTAAGCCCCCAAGGTCCTGGGGATGGACGGGGGAAAACAGACCAAATCGGGGTAGCAATGTTCAGGATGCTTACCATCAAGTCTCTTGAGCAGGTCGTTCTTTGGTAAAGAAATGACTTCCACAAATTCTAAACAAACAAAGTTCCGGTGAAAATGAAGCTAAAGGCAAGAACCTACCCAAGCAACCCAAAGTGTCTGAAGCCACCAGGCCACACTAAGGCTCGCACGTGGTCAGGCCCTGCCAGTTGGGTCACGTACCTCCTTCTCCTGTAAACAAACACAGGGCAGTGTTTTAGCAAGGCCTGGAGTGGGAATTCAGCGGCAGTCTCCCAAGCAAGACAAAACAAAAAGGCTCCAAGGATTTAGCAGAAATTGGACTCTTTAATCTCATTTATATCATGATGAAGCAAAACCCAACAGCACAAAGCTATTACTGTTCCCCAGATGAAATGTGTAATAGCAAAATGTAAAGCATATTCATACCACACATATTTACAAATGTCTGTATCCAAACATGTGGTGAAATACAAATAACAAGTCACCATTTTCATCATTTAAAATTGCACTATTTATTTAAGAGGCAGAGAGAGAGCGAGCGAGCGAGAGTGAGCCATGTGAGTACCAGATCTCCCACTGGTCGGTCACATCACAAATGCCCGGAACGGCTAGGCCTGAACCGAAGCCGAAGCTGGGAGCTGGGCAGTCTATCGACGTTTCCCACATGGGTGGACTCCATTACTCGCGGCATCAGTGCCACCTCCCCGGATGCTGGAGTCAGCAGCTGGCAGTGGGTACTGAATACATGCACTCTAACATGGGATACAGACATTTTTTATTTTTTAAAACGTTTTATTCATATTTATTTGAAAAGCAGAGTGACAGAGATGTGTACATGCAAGGAGAGGAGAGGGGGAAGAGGAGAGAAAGAGATCTTCCATCCACTGGCTCACTGCCAGAATGCCTGGGGGTGGCAGGAACCATCACTGCCTCCCAGGCACATTGGCTGAGCTGGAAGCAGTGACAGGACTTGCCAGCAGGCACTCTGATACTGGATGCAGGCGTCCCAAGTGGTGGCTTAACCTGCTGCACCACAGTAGCAGCCCTGGGTGCCAGTGCCTTAACTGCTCAAACTCCATTTTAACCACAACTCAGTGGCACTAAATGACATTCACAGTGTTGTGCAATCAGCAGCACTCGCCATCTCTAACAGAAACTTGGTACCCACTGAACATAACTCCGGTCCCTGGAAGCCTCTATTCTACTGTCTGTCTGTGAACTGGCCTATTGTGAGGACTTCTCATAAGCAGACTCTCACAGCATTTGCTCTTTTGTGTCTGGCTTACTTCCCTTCGCACAGTGTTTGCAGAGTTCATCCATGTTGTAGCATGGATCAGTGTGTTTCATTATTTCATGGCTGAATAATGTTCCACTGTATGAACGCATCCCATTATGTTTATCCATTCATCTGCTGACAGATGCTTGGGCGGCTTCCACCTTGGGCTACTGTGAGTGATGCTGCTATGAACACGGGTATTTCAGTGTCTGAGTCCCTGCTTTCAATTCTTTTGGGTACATACGTGGAGTGAAAATGGTGGGTCATATAGTAATTCTGTATTTAACTTTGAGGAACTGCCAAGCTGTCCTCCAGTTTGTTGTATATACACATGCAGTACATTTCTGGTGTAGAAATTTGGCATTTTAAGACAGAGCAGCAATGAGATATTGCAACACAGATACAAATAACTCAAGAGGCTAAGAAATGTAAAAGTTCTCTACGTATGAGTCTGCTCATTCCCTGAGGTTGGGGGAGAGGTTATGAAAGTGATAGAGGCGTTATAGCTTTGGAAGCCAACCTCGCCAAGCAGCATTATAGAGCAAAGGACTTCCAGGTTCTCTCGATACGGAACTCAATCAGGAGCAGTTAATAAGCTGCTTTGCCTTCACAGCTGCCTATGTATATCACTTACAATAGCCACAAAAACAGGGTGGTTATGAAGTTTCCATTTGCTTTCTATTTAGACCTGCAGCTCTTATTATTAAGCAGAAATAACCTTCATGCAGAAATGGTGTGAAATTTTACCATTTATATAAAGATCAATGAGGCATAAGGATGACTGAAGTTGTAGAAGAGAAGTTAAAATACACAAGAGGAGAACAGACAAGAGTACTGACGAAATATTTATGAAAGACTAGGATTCTTTCACCAAATTAAAACTAACACTAAGGGCAGCATCTGGCCTAGTGCTCAAGACTCGTGTTACGATGTCTGCGTCACGTGTCAGAGTGCCTGGGTTTGACACCCAGCTCTGCTCCTCACTGCGCCTCCTGCTGATGCAGACGCTGGAAGGCAGCGGTCACGGCGCAAGCAGTGGGTTCCTGTCATCCATGTGGGAGACCTGCACTGAGTTCTGGGCTCCCGGCTTCGGCTCAGTTCAGCTCCAGCCATTGTGGGTATTTGCAGGGAGTGACGCAGTGGATAAGAACGCCTTCTGTCTCGCAGTTCTCAAGTGTTTGTGTAAAGATCCAACTAAGAAAATGCAACCACCTTAAACGTAGCCACCAAACACTTACCTGGCTTCGGCTTCGGTCTGACGTTCTCGGCATCATCTCCATTAATGGTTACTGTCACTATGTGGGTGGTGCAGTTGGACAAGCCTGGATCCATACATACAGCTGTGGAGAGAAGCGGCAGCTCACCTTAAACCACCCAGATGCCTCGGTCCCTCCTGTCATCTGTGTCACTGCTTAAATGCTTTAGGAAGACAGCGGAGCTCCTGACGCGCAGTTCCCAAGGAACGGATGCGGGAGGAGCAGGTCCCAGGGTCAGTGAGTAGGGGCTGTGGGACCACACAGCACGCACGAGTGGGAACTCGATACTCCTCTCTGCCCAGGGCTCCTGAGGCTGGCCTGCAAGTCTGAGGGGTGAGCTGGGACTGACCAGTCGTAAAATCCTTTCAACACGGCAAGAAAAAACATCTTCGAGGGAGGAGTGTGGCACGCGGACAAGGTATGGCTTAGGGTGTGGAGAACTCCGAAAGGCAACTTGGTTTCCTAACTCCACAACTTTGGGTCCTTCTTCCCCCAACTTGTTCTCATGGGAAGGGAAGACAGATTTAAGAGATGATGACCAACTCCAATTCCTGATCTTTTTGGGTGAATTAGAAAAATAAAAGCCATCTGAGATGTGACCACAGGGAATACCCAACAAATCAGCACCCAGAGGGATGAGTTCCGTGTTCAGTGTTGGTCCCCGAAGCGCACAGCTGGGAAGTGGCTGACAAACCTGGAGAGCACTCAGCAATGTCACCTTTGTAGCCCGTCTCCTCCTCCAGCTCCCGGAGCGCAGCTGCTTCTGGGCTTTCACCGTCGTCTATGAGACCTGCAGGTCCAAACCAGATGTGAGATGCCACAGGGGACCCCATCCGCCCTGAGCGTCTCCCTCTTCTAACACGGTGTGGCCAAGCTCCATCACAAGTGCGCTCACATATGAAAACCGACTGTGGTTTGGAACTTATATAGGGAGAAAAAGAGGTAAAAGACTAAAACTTGGGGCCAGTGCTGTGGTGTAATAGGTAAAGGCTCCGCCTGCAGCGCCGGCATACCATATGGGTGCCAGTTCATGTTCCGGCTGCTCCTCTTCCAATCCGGCTCTCTGCTATGGCCTGGGAAAGCAATGGAAGATGGCCCAAGTGCTTGGGCCCCTGCACCTGCGTGGGAGACCTGGAAGAAGCTCCTGGCTCTGGATCGGCACAGCTCCGGCCACTGCTGCATATTGGGGAGTGAGCCAGTGGCTGGAAGACCTCTCTTTATGTCTCCCTCCCTCTCTCTCTCTCTGTAACTCTGCCTCTCAAATCAATCAATCAATCTTACAAAAAAAAAAAAAAAAAAGGGTAAAACTCAGGGCAGGTTGAAGCACCTGTTCCTCTACGTATTTTTCTTCACTGTCTCAAGCTGGTTTTGTACAAAGTGGGCAAAATTTATGAAGTGGCCAACTGGCCTAGGTTTTCGAGCTGGCTGGGTGACTACAGCACAGGAAGCTGCTCAGAACTGTCTGCTGGCTTACACCCAGCGTGGTGACAGTTTTATCCATGCTGCCTTCTCCCCTCGAGGGAGAATATCGAGGCCTTGTGGTGGAATGCCGGGGAGGAGCCGAGGGAAGGCTACCAGGACCCTTGCGAGGAGTTCAAGTGGGAGGAGGGAAGGAGTGACTGATTTTTGCCCCCAAGAACGAATACAAAAGTGTATCAGGTACTTTAAATATTCTAACATTTCCTTAGGAAAATGGTAAGTGAGAAAGAAAACAGTTGCTAACTCTGTTCCTACTCATACCTCTAAGAACAAATAAATGAGATTTAATCTCTTCAGATGGGAATAATCCCATAGAGTCATAATAACAGGAAGCATTAAATTCTGGATGGCTCTAGTTACTGGGCAAATGAAAAACACTGTTCTAGCTGAAATGAAGACAACATCCTTGGTCTGCTTACATATGACCCGTTAAGGTACTTGTCCGTTCACGGATTTTGGAGTTACAGTCTAACATTACTGTCAACTTCTTGTCAAGGGAGGTTGGTTGAGACAGAAAAGAGAAGTTAATGTGGGGACAAGTAATTATTCAGGGGGTCTAGTGAGAGTGCCGTAGAGGGGGGATGGGCCATGGTTGGGAGGGGGGAGGGGAGCTGTTCCACTATGCCTGGCATTGCCTTCATGGGTTCACGGATCCCTGGAGTATGGCTTGTGCCTTGCAGAAGCCTCAAAATAGGAATGGTATGGCTGCACTTAGAACCACATGGATAGACAGAAAGGTGGTGGAGAGCCTAAGCACTTCCATTCTCGGGCTCTTCCGCAGGCTCAGGCCAGTCGTCCCAGGAGAAGCCATCTGGTGTCTGGTTTCTCACCTGCCGGGAACTCGAGACAGTAGCCTCCCATTGGCGGCCGGAACTGTTTCACCAGAACTATACACTCATAGTGAAGAGTTCTTTGCAGCACCGGGATGACCGCTACACCTGTCAGCAGGAAAGGAAACCAAGGAACATGTTTCACAAACTGTCACAATGCCAGCAACTGGTTTAGAACAATCTAACTAAAACCCTCAATCTTGGGAAACTCTGCATCCAAAATCTAACCTGTACTTGCTATTAGCAATAACAAGTTAAACTTAATCTACAACACTGGCAGTTAACTTTGCAAGCTATTCTCATTTTAAAATGTAAAGAAAAAAATAATCACACTTCTATGTCATCTGGATTTTCTTTTAGTTGTCACAATTTCATAAAAATCAAATCAAACACTTCTCACTAGGCCTAGGACACACAGTTTTCAGTCTACACTGATCTCTGCATGGAATAATTTCTCACCATGCAGCAGCTAGCTCGCTGGTGATGGTAAAGTGTTCTATGTGCTCTTAGATTTCCTTTCAGCAATAAATGGGTTCCATTCTTTGTGGCATATACTAACTAGACTGACTTCACTGTTTTAGGGTAAAAGACCTTTTTCTTCCCAGTTACTTGGCCTTAATCAAAACAAAACAAAAAACCCCCACTGGGTTCTGGAAGACACAAACCACCCAGGAGCAGTACTCAGCTCCCACTAAACCTTCCTCCAGCAGTTAAGAATGGCAGCTGCAGACGAGGCATTCGGTTCGCTTCCAGTAAAAACAGAGACCAACACCAAATGCAAAAAGAAAAGGGACAAACAAGAAGGACCTATGGCTCAACCTCCCCTGGACCAGCGCTGATTTTTCAGGACTGTTTCTGGGGTCTCTGCGGTCAAAGAGAGGGAAGGGAAAGTGAATTGAATAAATGGTCTTTTCCCCAATTCCACGTCCTCAACAAATGCTAAAGCACGTGGCCAATAACAGAAAGGTACGCCAAGTGATTTTCCCAACCGAAGGCCCTCACCTGGGTCCCCTGTACAGAGTACATGAACAGCAAGGATCTCCAGGAGTCCCAGCGTATCTAACAGTATGGGGCTGCACCCTGTATTCGTTCATGCTTGGCTTTAACTACTAGTACTTCTTCCCTCATACGCTTCTGAGCTTCGATAACAGAAGCCAGGAGTACTTATAAGGAAATCGTAATTGAGTTACACAGCACTGCAAACGCAAACAGATTTAAAGATAAAAGATAACTGGAGGTAGCCACATGAAATACCCCCCCACAATCACATGTGCTAGCTTCCTCTGCGAAGGCAGCTGTGGCTCGTACCATCGGCGGACTGTGCCTTCTTGGTTGTACGTTTCACTGTTTCCCAGGTTCTGTTGGGGCAGAGAAGAGAACGCTGGTTAGCGCTGAAGAAGACACTGTCCTTTGGCATCCATGTGCGACTGATGGACCAAACTCCACAAATGCGAGGCATGCAAATATGCTAACGATTCATGGCAAGAAGTTATCAATGACAAAGACCTATAGGAAACCAGTCAAATGGGCTTTTCCTACAGCCTCTGAAAGTTAAAAAGAAAGCTGCTGCCACCCGCCACCTCCCCTCGGGGTGCCATCTACGTAGGAAACCCGCTGGGCTTTGGTACCAATCTCGGTAAGTCATAAGTCAGTGCGTGAGCAGTGCAGCTGGTGCGTGCAGCTGTACAGGATATCAAGCAGGTGATGCAAATTAGGCCTCCAGGACAATTCCAGTCTTATCTCTAAGAACAAAAAGTACCATGCATGATGCGGAGTACCGAGATGGTTATTTATATAATTTAGATTTTTAAAGTCTATGACCTTAAAATTCAAGAATTAAGAAAAGTAGGACTTCCTCATTTATTAGTTGAAGCATTATTTAGAATTATCATTATTATTTTGAAGAATTATTTAATTAAGTGCTCTACTTTGTATGTGTGTGAGATCTTATCTAAGGTGGGGGGGGTCCCTAGGGGAAAAAGTGAGGCAAATAACAGCACATTGCAGCTCTCTTTTATGGCTTTATTCCTGGTTAGTGATTTGTTTCTGGCTGCACTTGCTACTTCAGTTTTTTTTTTTTTTTTTTTTGTCAATATCTGTGTTTTCCTACTTCCTCTCCTAGGAGCACTGGGCAGAGCTGTGCAGAAAATCCCGCCAGCGGCACAGTCACGCTGTTTAAAGGGGAAAGGGCCTCAGGAAGGGAAAGCACGTCTATCCCTTAAGTTAAAAGAACGGTGGTGAGAGGCAGGAGGAGAGAAGAGGACAACTTTAGACTCTCTTGTGAAGGGATCGAGATGCCTGGGTTGTTCCAAGGACTAGAATCAGAAAGCAGTCCCCATCTGGCCCCCGACACTACGAGTTATAAAATGTGCTCCTCTGAGGAGCCCTCTTCCCCCATCTGGTTGTGCCTAAGGTTTGGACCATGCTGCATGTATAGCAAGGCGAACAAAAACAAAATCAAAACCAAAAAACCCCACCTCTTCCAATCTTTAGTTTAAAAAAAGAAACAACAAAACACCAAACAAAAACTCTCTTCAAACTATAGATCTCACTGTATTGTCGCAGGACAAATACCTCAACGTGAACCTGTGAAAATCAGACAGACCAGTAGGACAACTCACAGCAGTCCACCATTCCTGTTAGTAGCCAGAAGCCAACCAATGCAAGTGTGATGAGCAAAGGGCACAGATCACAAGAGACAAAACACCTTTTGGCATAGCTGTCTGCTGCCTCTTAAGATTAGTCCTAAAGATTGAAGAAGACAGTGCTGGGAACAGCACTGACGGTCCCATCCCAAACACACTAGGAATCAGGGAAACAAAAAAAAAAAAAAAAAAAAAGAAAGAGTTGCATCAGTAGACAGGTAGAGGTTAAGATGAAGTAAATGAGTAGTAATGAACCATAAATTATGAGCACTAAGTTATAAATGCAGGTATAAGAAACACCGGAACAAGAATACCCTGTGAGAGCACCAGCGATCTTAAAGTGACTCAGAGATGTACATGGAATTGGGAGTCGGCAAAATCCTTACCTCCACCTGACTACCAGCTAAACCCAAAGCTACAACTGCCCGGAGACTGTTTTCTCGTTTGTAAAACACAGGAATGAGCGTGTCGTATCCAGTGCTTCCAGCTTGAGGATTCTGCTTCCAGCTAAATGACCCCATTCCTTAGTTGCCTGTGTTATGGGAGAGCCCCGTTTTGCCTCCTCCTCTCAAGTCCACCAAAGTGAGAAAGGAGAGGAACAGAGGATGGCCTCAGCACTATCTCCAGTGTCAATAAAAGGCCACACTATTACACTTCCAGGACTAATTCTTCATCCTCTTCTGTGAATGAGACAAGGGATTCTCTAGCTGCTCTTGTAGCCCTTGGATACATGCTTTTGTATCACAGAAAAAGGGAACATGTTTTATAAATTTATAAGTGATGGTCTACTGCAAAGGCAAGAGACCTGCATCGTTCAAAGCTTGACTGGTATGAAATACTGATGCTTTACCTAAGACCTCTTCGGATGCCAGGCTGAAGAGCTACCTATAGGAGTTAAACATGCTATAAATATGCTGTATAAATATGGTAGCTGGTAGAGATTTTTTTTTTATCTTTTTTATTTTGAAAAGCAGGGTCACTGGGGGTGGGGCAGGACATGGAGATGCCTGAGAATTGGCCAGGCCTGGGCCGGGCTGAAGCCTGGAACCAAGAACTTCATCTCATTTCCCATATGGGTAGCAAGGTCCCAAGTACTTGGGCTATCATCTGCTGCCCCAGGGTGTGCATGAGCAGAAGCTTGATCAGAAATGGAGATGGGACTTAGTCCCAGGCACTCCTACATGGGATGCAGGTGTCCCAAGCCAGTGGCTTAACTACTTGTTCAGACTAATTAGTGTAGAGAGCTAGCTATATTTTGTGTTATCAATTTTACAGAAAAAAGGGAACCAAACTCTTTCAGTATAAACTGTATTATAGGCTCTGAATATATGATATTTCAAAGTCTGTGGGAAAAATGGAATTAAAGGATTAATGTATTGTGGTGCATAAAATTTTGAAACCCATGCATAGTTTTTTTATAACATGCATTTTGCATGAGCTTTCTGAAATCCTGTATTTTTGCAAATATAAATACATGTGAACACACCGTGACCCTTCAGGCAAGGGCCTTGCCACACTTCTGCATGGATTCGGCTCCTAACTCCTACTTATTTCATATTTAGATCTCCATACCAAATACACCTGATGTTTAAATAAGAGTTACTAGCCTTCCACTGTGTTGATGGATCATGATGTGCTCAGCTTTCTTACTTTGGGGTTTTAATTTAACAGCCTAAGGACATTCTAACATTTGTATGTTTCCTACAGCTTTCCAACACTGGGCCTTAAGGTTTTTTTATTTGTTTAGTAAATCACAAGTGGTTTAAACCACTGGCCAAGTCCATGTATTTTCTTTCTTCTTTTTTTAAAGGTTTATTTCATTTATTTGAAAGTCAGAGTTACAGAGAGAGGCAGAGAGAGAGAGAGAGAGAGGTCCTCCATCTGCTGGTCCACTCCCCAGATGGCTGCAATGGCCAGAGCTGAGCTGACCTGAAGCCAGGAGCCAGGAGCTTCCTCCAGGTCTCCCACGTGGGTGCAGTGGCCCAAGCACTTGGGCCATCTTCTACTGCTTTCCCAGGCCATAGCAGAGAGCTGGACTGGAAGTGGAGCAGGTGGGACCAGAACTGGCGCCCATATGGGATGCTGGCGCTTCAGGCGAGGGTTTAACCTACTTCGCCACAGCACTGGCCCCAAGTCCATGTATTTTCAACTTGATGACAGATTGGCCGGCGCTGCGGCTCACTAGGCTAATCCTCCGCACAGATCTGTTTCCACACAAAGGAAGCTAATATACTTCTAATGCACACTCTAATCTGACCACTTAGCACCTGCAGCCTTCATATTAATGTTTACATAACGTAATCTGGACAACCTTTTCATTTTCTCTTTATATTTATTTATATATATCATATATATTATTTATATATATTTATTTATTTAATTAAGTAAATACTTTATCCATTTTAATATTTTTTTCCTGATAGCTTATTTGCAAGCCAGAGAGAGAGAGAGAGAGAGAGAGAGGAGAGACAGAGAAAGGGAGGGGGTATGGAAGGACGGTGAGTGCTTCCATCCTCTGGTTCACATCCAAGATGCTTGTGATAGCTGTGAGTGGGCTGTACCAAAGCCAGGAGCCAGGAGCCAGGAGCCAGGAGCTCAGTCTGGGTCTCTCATGTGGGTAGCAGGAACCCAGTTACTTGAGCCAGCACCGCTGCCACCCATGTTTTGCACCAGCTGGAAGTTGGAGTCAGGAGCTGGGGCCGGGTACTGAACTTGATTACTGCTAGGTCATATGACTGCCCCCTGATGGTCTATAGTATCAAGATTACTAAAGGGCTGATGCCGTGGCTCACTTGGCTAATTCTCTGCCTGCGGCGCCAGCACCCTGGGTTCTCGTCCCAGTCGGGGCGCCGGATTTTGTCCCGGTTGCTCCTCTTCCAGTCCAGCTCTCTGCTGTGGCCCGGGAGTGCAGTGGAGGATGGCCCAAGTGCTTGGGCCCTGCACCCTCATGGGAGACCAGGAGGAAGCACCTGGCTCCTGGCTTCAGATCGGTGCGGTGCACTGGCCATAGCGGCCATTTAGGGAGTGAACCAACAGAAGGAAGACCTTTCTCTCTCTCTCTCTCTCTCTCTCACTGTCTAACTCTGCCTGTAAAAAAAAAAAAAAAAAAAAAAAAAAAAATTTCAGAAAACAGAAGAAAATGAGTCACTCACACAGATGCCTTTTTGCCTTTCTAGTCTTTTTTTTTTTTTTAATTAATGATTTATTTATTTATTTGAAAGGCAGAGTTAGAGAGAGAAAAGGAGAGACAGAGAGATACTCTATCTGCTGGTTCCCTCTGCAAATGTTGCAATGACCAGGGCTGGGCCAGGCTGAAGCCAGGAGCCTGGAATACCATCAGGGTTTCCCACATGGGTTCAGGGGCCCAAGCACTAGGACCATCTTCTACTGCTTTCCCAGGTAATTAGCAGGGAGCTAGATCAGAAGTGGAGAAGTTGGGATTTGTAGGTGGTAGCCTAACCCACTGCGCCACAAAGCTGTTCCCTCTAGCCTTTATTTTCTTTTTTTCTCTCCTCTCCCTTCCTCTCCTCTCCCTTCCTCTCCTCTCCCCTCCCCTCCCCTCCCCTCCCCTCCCCTCCCCTCCCCTCCCCTCCCCTCCTCTCCCCTCCCCTCCCCTCCTCTCCTCTCCTCTCCTCTCAGCAGTGGAGAAGTTGGGATTTGTAGGTGGTAGCCTAACCTACTGTGCCACAAAGCTGTTCCCTCTAGCCTTTACTTTCTTCCTTTCCTCTCCTCTCCTCTCCTCTCCTCTCCTCTCCTCTCCTCTCCTCTCCTCTCCTCTCTTTTCTCGATTTCTTTGTTTCTTTATTTGAAAGGCAGAGTTACAGAGAGGCAGAGGCAGAGAGAGAGAGAGAGAGCAAGAGGTCTTCCATCTGCTGCTTCACTCCCCAAGTGGCCGCAACGGCTGGAGCTGTGCCAATCTAAAGCCAGGAGCCAGGATCTTCTTCTGGGTCTCCCACGTGGGTGTAGGAGCCCAAGGACCTGGGCCATCTTCCATTGCTCTCCCAGGCCAAAGCAGAGAGCTGGATGGGAGAGGAGCAGCCGGGACTTGAACCAGCGCCCATAAGGGATGCCGGTACTGCAGGCTGCGACTTTACCCACTATGCCACAGCACCAGCCCCTCTAGCCTTTTTTTATACATTACTTTACAGAGATTACAAAGCATTTATAAAAATTTGTATTGTCAAGTTTTATTTATTTTTATTTACTTATTATTTTCACATATTGCCAAGTTGTCTTCATAATTTGCTTTTTAGATGGCAGCATAGATTTTATCAAATAAACTAGCTATAAAAATTTCCTTATTTAAAAAAAGTTCAAGTTGCTTTCAATTTTTTTGTTTTTTAAAATTTGATGAACGATTTTCATGTATAAACTTGATTCCAAATAATTTTCTTGGCACATCTGCAGACATAGTATTATTAGGTCAACTCATTTAGTATCTCTATGCCTACTGACATGTATTATGAAAAATGCTTTACAAAATGTCTTTTTTTTCCAATTTACATTTCTGAGTAAATCGCTAGTTCTTCTAATTTAAAGATTAATGATTTGTTTTACTAGAAGGAAGCAGCATGTACTGTGAATTATGCTGACACCTTATCACCTAAAATTTGGATTGGCTCAAAAGTTTTGAGTTTGGGGCTGGCACTGTGGCATAGCAGGTAAAGCCGCTGCCTGTGGTGCCAGCATCCTATATAGGTGCCAGCTTGAGTCCCAGCTGCTCCACTTCTGATCTGGCTCTGTGCTCTGGGAAAGCAGTAGAAGATGGCCCAAGTCCTTGGGCCCCTGCACCCGCGTGGGAGACCCAGAAGAAGCTCCTGGCTCCTGGCTTCAGATGGGCACAGCTCCAGCCGTTGCAGCCAATTGTGGAGTGAACCAGAGGATGGAAGACCTCTCTCTCTCTCTTTCTCTCTCTGCCTCTCCTTCTCTCTGTGTTAACTCTGACTTTCAAATAAATAAATTAGTCTTTTAAAAAAAAGTTCTGGGTTCACATTAGTCTACTTAGGGACAATGGTGTCAAAATAATACCTCATTATTTACTGTTACAAATTTAGGCCGGCGCCGCGGCTCACTAGGCTAATCCTCCGCCTAGCGGCGCCGGCACACCGGGTTCTAGTCCCGGTCGGGGCGCCGGATTCTGTCCCGGTTGCCCCTCTTCCAGGCCAGCCCTCTGCTGTGGCCAGGGAGTGCAGTGGAGGATGGCCCAGGTGCTTGGGCCCTGCACCCCATGGGAGACCAGGAAAAGCACCTGGCTCCTGGCTCCTGCCATCGGATCAGCGCGGTGCGCCGGCCGCGGGGGCCATTGGAGGGTGAACCAACGGCAAAAGGAAGACCTTTCTCTCTGTCTCTCTCTCTCACTGTCCACTCTGCCTGTCAAAACAAAAACAAAAAACAAACAAACAAACAAAAAAATTTATAACCCACATTTTATTCACAGATTATAAATTATTCAAATGTCCTAGCAATAGAAAAACAGCTAGGTTCCAGCGCTATAGCACAGCAGGTTATGTTGCCAGCTGCAGCGCCAGCATCCCATAGGGGCGCCAGTTTGAATTCTGACTGCTCTACTTCCAATCCAGCTCCCTGCTAATGTGCCTGGGAAAGCAACAGAGCATGGTCCAAGTGCTTGGGCCCCTGAATCCACGTGGAAGACCCGATGAAGCTCCTGGCTCTTGGCTTTGGCCTGGCCCAGCCCTGGCCATTTCAGCCATTTGAGGACTGAACCAGCAGATAAAAGACCAGACCTCTCTCTCTCTGTCTCTCCCTCTCTCTCTGTAACTCTGCCTTTCAAATAAAATAAAATAAATCTTAAAAAGAAAAGAAAAGAAAGATAAACAGCTGAAGTAGATCTCTTATTTAAAACAGTTAATGAGGAAAACAACAAAATATATCCAGACACTCAGATGAAACCCTGAGAACCCAAATACTGAATGTTTTACAAGGAAAAAAAAAGTTTACCGAGTTTTACCAGTAGGATCCAGGTAAGTTGTTTTTTCAAGCTTGACCCATTTTCCTTCTGAAATTAACTAAAAGGAGATCACATAGTAAGTTGGGAAACTTTCAAACCAAGTTGATTTTTATCTACAATTATTTTTTTTTTTCAGATTTTCTCTATGTGGCCCCTTCCCCTAATAATTACGTTTTTCTCCCAAGTAACTATGGGCACATTTTCAGGTTCACAGCAAGTGTTCAATGTTGTTTTTCTGAAAGGTAGATCTGCTATTTTGAAGTCCTGAGGTAGTAAGGAAAGGGGAAAAGAAATGACCACTTACAAAATCTCCTGGGAGAGGGCGGAGGGGGTCAGTGTGTGGGTGTGCAGGGGTGAGGGCTCTTTGGGGCGCTCCTAATGGTGCGTCCCGACCTGGGTGCCAGCCTCGCGAGTGTGTCTAGTGGTATTCCCTATCAATGATCACACAGGAGACACACTGTGGGAAAAAGCCAGTCAGTGACTCAGCATCCCACCATGACTCGAGTGCTTCCCAGGGTTGTTGGGCCTGGACCATGGGGAGCTGTGAGCACGAGGACGAACTCGCTTAAGGCACTACACTGAACGGACAGGCAAGCTTCACTGTGTACATACAGCAGTCGCCTTTCTCTTACTCTCCTATCTCCAACATTCTGCCAGCAGCAACCCAATAATTAGCAGCAGATCTGCTCACAGACAACATGCAAAGACCCTAAATCAAAAAGATGCCCAGAAAGGTGTCGAGATCAGAGTTGAAGAATTTAAAATTGAGCCACTGCAATCAATGGTTCTTTCAAGAAGAAAACTTTTTAAAAGCTGACGTGAATGATGTGTAAGATTTTACAGTAGTTCTAGAACTTGCTGGAATTTAGACTGTAATTAACAATTCAGGTTTTACTGTTCTTATACATGTTGGGACCATACTGGCTCAGATATGATAATGAAATTGGAAACGTCTAAGTCTTAAAACCCACATGTTATTTATTCTTCTATCTAGGAAAACTTTTAATAAGAATTAACAATTCTTCTATCAAGAGCCAACACGTACGTACAGTCCTGATTTCAGTAATGCATATAACTAGGGATATACTCCTGCTCCCATGTAAGAGCAAAAAGGGTATGAGCCCTTAAGAGGAGTAGGAGAAATGTTTAAAAACCATCCAGAATGAGAAACACTCATTTGAAACAACAAACTGCTTGGGCATTTCTTTTAAACTCAGATTTATGTGGGAGACGGGAAAGGAAGGTGAAAAAATAAGTTATACCTCCTCTGAAATAATACACTGTTTGACATTCTGAGTAGAATCTGTTGCTTCTTGATTTTCCATGTCCAAACTGCCCGGTCTTTATAGGCCTCAGGCAAGCTGTTCACGCTGTAAGACAATGAGAGCTGTTAAACTTTTCTTTTCTTTCTTTCTTTTTTTTTTTTTTTTAAGATTCATTTATTTATTTGAAAGTCGGAGCTACACAGAGAGAGAAGGAGAGGCAGAGAGAGAGAGAGACAGAGAAAGAGAGGTCTTCCATTCATTGGTTCACTCCCCAATTGGCCGCAACAGCCAGAGCTGTACTTATCCGAAGCCAGGAGCCAGGAACTTCTTCTGGGTCTCCCATGTGGGTGCAGGGGCCCAAGGATTTGGGCCATCTTCTACTGTTTTCCCAGGCCATAGCAGAGAGCTGGATCAGAAGTGGAGCAGCTGGGTCTTGAACTGGTGCCCACATGGGATGGCAGCACTGCAAGCGGCAGCCTTACCTGCTATGTCACAGTGCCTGCCCCTATAGTATTTTTCGAAATCACACGTGTGTCCATATGCTATTGGTAAAAGTACTTTAAGTGGGGGCTGGTGCTGTGGCGTAGTAGGTTAAGTTGCTACCTGCATCACTGGCATCTCTTCTGGTTCATGTCCTGTCTGCTCCCCTTCCAATCCAGCTCCCTGCTAATGGCTTAGAAAAAGCAGCAGAAGCTGGCCCAAGTGTTGGGGCCCCTGCCACCAATGTGGGAGCCAGAGGGAAGAAGTTCCTGGCTCCTGGCTTTTGGCCTGGCCCAGCCCTGGCCATTGTGGCCATATAGGGAGTAAACCATATATGGAAGAACACACACACACACTCTCTCTCTCAACTCTTTCAAAATAAATAAATCTTTTTTTTTTTTAAAAAAAGTACTCAAATGGCAAAAAAAAAATTCATATATCATCAAAAATTTCTTCGATGTATTTGGGGGAACTTCCCCAGATGGAAAAGTAAAAACATGGACCTTTGAAACACTGGGAAAAGAACTTATTCAATCCAACAAGTTTGTTTGTTGCATGTATAGGCCCTTAGATACATCCTTCATCAGCTATGTTTAAAAAATAATTATTCACTTGGAGCTGACATTGTGGTACAGCCGGTAAAGCCACCGCCTTTGATGCCAGCATCCCATATGAGCATTGGTTTAAGTCCTGGCTGCTCTGTTTCCTATCCAGCTCCCTGCTAATGTGCCTGGGAAAGCAGCGGAAGATGGCCCCAGTGCTTGGGTCTCTGCCAACCACACGGGAGATCCAGATGGAGCCCCAGGATCCTGGCTTTGGTCTGGGCAAGCTCCAGCCCTTACAGCCATTTGGGGGAGTAAACCAGCAGATAAAAGAACTCTGTCTCTTCCCTCTCTCTTTCAAATGAAAAAAAAAATTATTTATTGATTTCAAAGGCAAAGTGACAGAGAAAGCTTCTATCCACTGGTTCACTTCCCAAATGGCTTCAACAGTCATATCTGAGCCAGGCCAAAGCCAGGAGCCAGAACTCCATCCTGATCTCCCACACATGTGGCAGTGGCCCAAACACTTGTGCCATCATCCACTACTTTCCCAGGCACATTAGCAGGGAGCTGGATAAGAAGCTGGATAAGAAGCCTCAAGGCTGGCGCCGTGGCTCAATAGGCTAATCCTCCGCCTGTGGCGCCGGCACACCGGGTTCCAGTCCCGGTCGGGGTGCTGGATTCTGTCCTGGTTGCCCCTCTTCCAGGCCAGCTCTCTGCTGTGGCCAGGGAGTGCAGTGGAGGATGGCCCAAGTGCTTGGGCCCCGCACCCCATGGGAGACCAGGAGAAGCACCTGGCTCCTGCCATCGGATCAGTGCAGTGCGCCGGCCGCAGTGCGCCGGCTGCGGCGGCCATTGGAGGGTGAACCAACGGCAAAGGAAGACCTTTCTCTCTGTCTCTCTCTCTCACTGTCCACTCTGCCTGTCAGAGAAAAAAAAAAAAAAAAAAAAAAGAAGCTGGTACTTGAACCAATGCTCCAATACAGGATGTCAGCATTGCAGGATGTCGGCATTGCAAGGTGCAGCTTAACCTCACTGCGCCACAAAATCAGACCCCTTCATCAGAGTTTTTGACTCCAAATCTCAGTGTCTCCTTGGGGGTGCAGTAGAAAGACTATACCACTTTCCAAGCCTACCCCTCAACAACTATCTGCTACCAACATTTTACAGCCAAGGTTTTTACATAGCTGTTGGTGCTCACTATTCTACCTCCAATTTAAGCCCCGCTCACTCTTTTAATGCAGGGGTGGGGAACGTCTGGCCTGTGGGTCAAATAAGCACTGTGCAATCATTTGGCCTGCAAGGTGGGACTCACAATAAATCTATAGCAGGCTAATTTTTAAGCTGATGATTTTGTGTGGCCAGCAAGTGATGTATAAATATTCAAATGGCCCTTGGCAGAAAAAAAAGCAAAGGTTTCCCCACCCCCACAAAAGTCATGGTACATGGACTTTACTACTTTGCTCATTTGAAGGCAAAGTTCATTGGCATGAAATACATTCGTAGTATCGTGTCCCATTTAAGTTTCAGCCTATATCAAAGTCACAGCTGCAGACAGCTAGTGCCTCAAGGTCCTTATGAAGAGGGCAGGCCCTATCCCATTTGATGCACCGGGGCTTTCTCTTTCATTGTTCATTCCCTTATTTTTTGGACACTACCTATCGCCTAGCCTCACAGGTGACTAATAATCTGGCTGCATACAGAATCCTAGGCTGGAAACAACTTCCTGTCAGAAAGTCAGAGGCATTGCTTCTGGTTTGGCTGTTGAAAAGCTTCTGGTTCTGAAGCCTTTTGCATGTGACTTGTTTTCTTTTTCTTTTTCTTTTTTCTTTTTCTTTTCTTTTTTTTTTTTTTGACAGGCAGAGTGGACAGTGAGAGAGAGACAGAGAGAAAGGTCTTCCTTTTGCTGTTGGTTCACCCTCCAATGGCCGCCACGGCTGGCACGCTGCAGCTGGCGAACTGCGCCGATCCGAAGGCAGGAGCCAGGTGCTTTTCCTGGTCTCCCATGGGGTGCAGGGGCCCAAGCACTTGGGCCATCCTCCACTGCACTCCCTGGCCACAGCAGAGAGCTGGCCTGGAAGAGGGGCAACCGGGACAGAATCCGGCACCCCGACCGGGACTAGAACCCGGCGTGCCAGCGTTGCTAGGTGGAGGATTAGCCTATTGAGCCACGGCGCCAGCCGACTTGTTTTCTTGTACTAGTGAGCAGCATGTAGTTGAGTCAGGTCTTCATGTTGATGTTACGCTAGTAAGCACAATACAGTCTGGAAGGGTCACACTGTACTTCTTTGTGGGAACTTTTCTTGAATTACTTCACTGATAATTTTTCCCCTTCCAATTTTCTCCTCCTTTTTTTTTTTTTCAAGTACTGTTTTGTTTTTTTTTAAAGCTGTTGGACTATCTGAAAGGACCCTGTGTCTAATTATTTTCATTCCTGTTTTCTATTTCCTTGTTGTTTTATCTACAGTTCTCAATGGCTATTCTAATCATCCACTACTCTTCAATTCCATAGTTCCCTAACCTACCCTACTGCCTAACTCTATCTTCAGAGAAAATACATACCATCAAGCATCAACTCTCTTACCCACTGTCTTAGAGGAGAAAGGGTCTTTGCCCTTTGTTTCTTTTAGGACCCAAAATGCTAATTATATCACTCATCAAAATCTTCCACTTTTACCCCAGATCCCTCTCCTAAAATAGATCATGAACAGAACTACCAGTTAATATTCATAAATCATCTTTTCTAGACAAATACCTGATTGAGTATCTTAGGAAATCTGGCTAAAATGCCTGTAGTGGGCCCATTAAAATAAGAGAAGGTGCAAGAATGCAACAGGGGGCAGAACAGACACAGATCTCTCTGTGGCAGAAAGGGAGGAAAGGAGACAGAGTGAAGAGCAATCCATAACATTTACGTCAAGTCAGGAATGGGTGCTTGGCCTCGCAGTTAGGAAGCCTGCAGCCCACTTCTGGCTCCCCATTGCAGCTTCCTGCCCTTGCAAATCTTAGGAGGCAGCAGTTGACATCACAAGTGAGTGGGTCCCTGCCTTCCACGTGGGAGACCTGGACTGGATGCCTGGCTCCTGGCTTCCGGCCCAGCCCAGCACTAGCCTCTGTTGGCAACTGAGGAGTACATCAAAGATTGGGAGTGCTTTCCCTCTCTGTCTCTACTTCTCAAAAAAAAATTTTTTTATATCAGCTGACTTGGAAGTTTCATGAAGAAAGATTAAGAAGGATAAGAAGAGTGTGAAAGATCTGTGTGTGCACATGGAGGGTTACGGGTAAGAGTAATCACATAAGACCTCTTAATTTGGCGGCATCTGAACAAGTATTCAAAAGTAATAAGGAAGTAAGTTACACTCTTTTTTTTTTAATTTTTATTTGACATGTAAAGTTATAGACAGTGAGAGAGAGACGGAGAGAAAGGTCTTCCTTCTGTTGGTTCACTCCCCTAATGGCCGCTACAGCCGGCGTTGTGCAGAACCGAAGCCAGGAGCCAGGTGCCTCCTTCTGGTCTCCCATGCAGGTGCAGGGCCCAAGGACCTGGGCCATCCTCCACTGCCTTCCCAGGCCACAGCAGAGAGCTGGACTGGAAGAGGAGCAACCAGGACTAGAACCCGGGGTGCCGGCAGAGGATTAGCCAAGTGAGCCACGGCACCAGCCAAGTTACATTGTTAAACATTTCGAGATGGGGTGACTATCTGGCCTATAAGTTGGGATGCTGGTGGGATGTGTATCCCACATTGGAATAACTGGGTTTGATTTCTGGTTCTGCTCCTGATTCCATCTGCCCATTGATGGGGACTCTGAGAGGCAGTGATTACTCCAGTAACTGGGTTCCTGCCACCAGTGTGGGAAACCTGGACTGAGTTCCTATTGCTGGCTTCCACCTTGCCCCAGCCCCAGGCACTGCAGGCACTTGGAGAGTAGATCAGTGATGGGGGTTCCTTCACTCATGGTAGCTCAAGGAAGTAAATTGGAATTTTAAGAAGTTTACCAGGGGGTCGGTGTTGTAGTGTAACAGGTTACACCGCCACCTGCAGTGCTGGCATCCTGTATGGGCACCAGTTCAAGTCCTGGCTG